AATAGAGGAGAGTTGTTCCTTGCTCATGTGCAGAGTGTTGTTCTGTCTTACCTCTCTAATGAGTAGCTACAGATCAGGCTCCCAGAGGGGAGTGGGTGGTTGCACATGTGGATCTGTCACCTCCCAATAGTCCAGAGCCTGCTGTTTGAGGTGGTTGCCTCTCATGCATCATCAGTGGGCTGGGTCAGGCCTGGAGGGGCACCATATTGGCAATGGCTAAACTAGCCATTGTTTGTTGCCCTCCACAAACAGGCAACAGAAATTCATGTTATTTATTTATTTATTTATTTATTTATTTTTGTATCTGTAAGCCCCCTCCCCTGCTGTTCAGTGGTTAATCCCTGGATCAGTACCATCTAAAGTCTGCACAATAAGTTAAACCTATTCCTTTTTGAGACAGGTACTTAGGCCAGCATTTTCCAACCCTGGGTCCCCCAGATGTTGTCAGACTATAACTCCCATCATTCCTGACTGATACTCCTGCTGGCTAGGGATGGTGGGAGTTGTAGCCCAACAACATCCTAGCACTGTTTTGGCTGAAACTTTGTTAACAGCTTTGACAGCTATCACACTGCTTAATAAATACGAGAGCATTGTGCTCTGGAATGATTCTAAAGAAGTTTTTTGTTTAGTGAAGTTCTTTGAAAATTGGTAACAAATGGAAATGCCAATTTCATATTATTGGGAAATACTGGAACACTTAGAGAGGGCAACAGCAAACTTTTCTTAAACTGTATGCAGAGTACTTGATATACTATTACTCTGTAGAGACGCATTCAAGAGTGCTGTTGTTGGCATACATCGGTCTTTGGAGACATTGGAGGAGTGCACCTTTTGGGGGTAGAGTCAAACTATGGGAAGGTTATCCAGCTTTGGGAGAGAGACATGCTTTGTTGCAACTGGGGAAAATGAAGGTGTCCAGTTGTGCTGCTGCATATGCACCATGGTGTCTCTTCTCTGTGCTCTTCCCAGTGGCCATTCCTCCTCTGGTCACTGCTATGGATGCACAACCTCATTGTCTTTTGCAGCTGGCGCATTGAAAATCCTGTTGACTGTTGATCTCTGAGCTCTAAAGCTGCATTGTGACTTGACTTGTCAGAGAGTGACTGTACTTTCAGTAAAAATAATTTCAAGCAATTGCAGAAAAACATAGGAACTATAGTTACTATAGTTACTCTCACATCAGATTGATCAGCATTGCTGCTATATTTTAATAGGTGGTATTTGCATTAATAATTGGCTCAATTGTGAAGGTCTCTTGTTGCATAAAAATCGCTATCACTAAGCATATTCACTGTAGGACCCTAAGCAGCAAGAGCGCAGCCCCTCTGGGCTTCCTTGCAAATTGGCTGTGGTATTGCATTGCTTTCTACATTGCAGAAGCAATAATATTATGGAAAAATGATGGAGGTCTGCGTAGGGTATATTAGAACACTGTTGCTAGGGAAATAGACTTACCAGCTAGTCTCATTTTAAGGCAGTGTCACTTGTTTCAGAGCTACTCCATTTCCTTACAAGATGCTATTTACTTCAGAATACAACTACAGTGGTAATAAAAGAAGTGCTAAAATATAGCTGTTAATGATAATCTTTTAACTGAATTTCTAATTGCTATTTTAAACAGTATTAAAGAATTGTATGTATCCAGCCCTGAACAGACCTTGCGGTGAAGGCTTTGCTATAAATTCAAATAATAAGTAAATAAGATAGCCCCTTAAAAAAACAACAACCAAGCAAACCCTGTTTTGACAACTTTGTGGATACTGTTATGCATTGAAGTATAACTGAAAGAAATAATGGATATCTGTAAGTTGAGTGAACAATACAAGTTTTTAAAATACAGTATTCAGTATAATTTCTTTCCTAGTGCAACAAGATACTTTTGAGCAGAATTTATCAAAGCTGAAAGAGGATTTTTTTTAATCAAACCTTATTTATACACAGACACCCAACTCTCCTTTCAGTATTACTTCATCTCCAAATTAGTTACAAAACAGCTTGGCATTTGAAGGCATTGTACAGTTTGTTTTAAGTACAGCAACTTTTTTTCTGGGTTTCTGTCTTGTCTGCTGTACCCCTACCCTTCCTGAGCTTCTCTCCAACTCTTTATCTTGTTTTATTTACTTCCTGTTTCTTTCTGTGGCAGCTTCTAGCGCCACAAAACTGTGTGTCTGTTTAGGAATGCAGTTGCTATGAGAGCAGAGGCAACCAAATACTGTAATCTGCATGCAGTATCTACACAATACTACTTCGGGGTTTGGAACTCCCCCCCCCCCCAATCATACAAACCACATAACTGTTGAAAGCAGCTGTCTGAATGAGTCTGCACTGTGCCTTTTGCATGACAGAGCAGAGCTTGGTCTTGCTTTCTCTGTTAAAAAGCTTCCCTTTTTTGTGTGTGTGATTTTGTTGTCCTTTAAATGCCAGGTCCAAGTGTTTGATACTACCCTGCCATCTTGTGGCAAGCATGCAACTCACAATTTGTTTTTCTCTGGGTTTTCCTATTGTCATGCAAATTTATTCTTTTAAAAAACTTTATTTTTCTTGGGGCATTCATTGTACACGAAAAATGATGACTCTCCCAGTACAATAGGTGGAAACTGCCTTCCACAATGACATGGGTGTCTGCAATTTTGAAATTTAAAAAAAGAAGTTGATGAAATAGCTGTTCTTGTAGTTTGTGATGTGCAACTGCTCCCATAAAATCATAGAACTGTAGAGTTGGAAGGTAGCCTGAGGATCATCTAGTCCAACTTCCTGCAATGCAGGAATCGCAACCAAAGCATCCATGACAGGTGATAATGCAATCTCTGCTTTAAAACCCCCAAGGAAGGAGAGTCCACCACATTCCAAGGGAGTTGGTTCCACTGTCAAACAGCTCCTACTGCCACAAAGTTTTTCCTGATGTTTAGTCAGAATCTCTTTTCTTGTAACTTGAAGCCACTGGTTCAGGTCCTGCGCTCTGGAGCAGGAGAAAACAAGCCATCTTCCATTTGACAGCCTTTTCAATATTTGAAGATGGCTGTTGTCTCCTTTCAGTCTCCTCTTTTCCTGGCTAAACATACCCATCTCTCTCAAGAGTTCCTCACAAGCCTTGTTTGGCAGACTCTTGATCATCTTGGTTGCCCTCGTCTGCACACGTTCCAGCATGTGAATATCATTTTAAAATTGTGGCACCCAGAACTAGGCATAATACTACAGGTGTGTTCTGACCAAGACAGACTAGAGCAGTTCTGTTACTTCCCTTGACTATGCCTCTGTAAAGCAAGATATTTAAGTTCTGCCATGTATCTAGAAAAAAATAACCCTCCAAATAATTAATACAGGCTTTACAACAGTGTTTTGACTGGCATTTTTGGAAATATTGGGCCCCCATAAGTGGCAAGATGACCCCTTTTCTTTGGAAAAACTAAGGTCTGCCAAAATTATTGTTTCAGGAAAAAGAGTATTAGAAATGAATGTAGCTAAACTTTCATGGATAAAGTTCTCCTGTGGCCAATATGCTAAAATTTCAGCACAATGCTATCTGATCTGTCTCATGATCTGTCACTTTAATATTCCACTCCCAGTTAATAATGTTTTATTAGAAAGGACTCCTTTTAAATATTTGAATCAACCTGTATCTTAAACAATAATAATCTCTGAGGCATCAGGTTGAATACAGACACAACAGAATTCATAGCAGAACTATGATGAAGTGCCCCCACTTCAAACTCATGTACTCTATTCTCTTGAGCCATTTGAATTAATTTATACATTTTTAATATTTTAAGTATACTAAGTCTGTGCATGCTTTCTACATGGTGTATCTTCCTTCTTAATTTGGATGTTACAACATCTGGATGATATGGTTTAATATGGGAAGGAGGCCATGCCTGTTGCGGATTTGGAGGAGGTTAAAACAAATGGGAGTGAAAAACGTATTTAATGTTGTAGACTGTAGTGGTCATTACACTGCTGCAGTTGCAATTTTTGCCTTAAAGGTTAGAAATGTAGTTTTTATGTAGAAAAGCAAGCACGCAAATATCTAGCAATATTACAGAATTTCATCAGCTTTTTAAAAATAGCTGGCAGCCTGCTTTAAAATTGAATTGTACAAGTGATTTTCAAACTTTTTTTCCCTTCAGGGAACATATTTGGTATAAACATGTCTGCAATGCCAAGTATCTTAACACAGAGCCCTGTATGTTGCTGAGGATTTGGGGTGTGTGCACAGTTCACAAAGGCCTGGTCTGTTTGGGCTCACTGTTGCCTATCATGATCTAAGAGTAGACACTATAACAGCAGTGGCCAAATGGAACGTCCCAGCTCTTCCCTGTGTATTTCCACCAACTCCCCCTGCCCTTTGCTTTAGTAAGTAAGCTTGGAGGAAAGCCTGCAAGTGACCCTGCCTTTGGCAACTAATTTTGGAGCTTCCTTCCCAACTTGCTGATGCTCCACAACCCCTGTAATTTGACGGAGGCACTACAATGGTCTTTGAATATAGCTAGCTTCTTTGAACCTACCAAGCACTACATCCAAAATGACAGAACATCCAGGAGGACACTGGTATCTCTGGTGGCTCTTAGGCACCTTCTCATTACTCAGTGGCAAGGTGGTGGGGAGGGCATCCTAAAAGCAGCACCTGCCGGGCAAATGGCAGTGCTATTCTTGGACAGTCTGTTCAGCCAACGAGTTGGTATGTGACACAATCTTTCTGTGAACATGAGATCTAAAACAGAAATAATAGGAAGTTGGTGGTTATGCTATTTTATAGGGATACTGTTCATGTTCACTGATGGACATATTTGAAATCCGTTTTCATTGAAGATGCCTCATACGCCCTGGAATTAAGTTTGAAAACCATTGAACTAGATGATCTTCGGGTCACTTGCAACCCCAACATTACAAAAGTTTAAGTTCCTAACTTTATTGTTTTTGAACACCTTTGTTTTTTAGTTCATGAGAAAATTTCAACTTGGTTACTCCTTGACTGTTTCAGTTGCTGATGTGTGATCAGAATGAGTGGATTAGGGGAGAACTCCTTGGACAGCATGACCAGTGATTCAAGAAAACGCAAGCCATTGCCCTGTGATACCCCGGGACCAGGGTAGAGAGTATTCATTTTTTTTATTTTATTATGGGTTGTTTACAAATAGTGAATGGGGTTTTTTCAGTATTTAAAACTGATGTGTTGGCATTTAGTGCCAGATTGTAGTTGGTGACATGCCTAACATTCTGATATTGGTGTATGTGAAACAGTCAAATAATATTATTGCAGGAAAAATTAGTTGTATAAACAATTTTAGAGGCAGGATTTGTTAATTAATTTTTAATTTGGAGGGGAATACATACTTTTTAAAAAAGGGCCCTAGAAAAGCATAAATATGTAATTTGGTGTATATTGCTTAAATCAAAAAGTAATAGTGGTACAATAACATGTTTTTCTTCTCCCTTCAGTATTCACCTTCTGTTCTTGTGTGCCTGTACCACTCAACATTTTCCAAATGCAAGATGTCCCTTGCAATGCTGGGCGTTTTTGAGTAGTTATCCTATTCTGATGTCTTCCTGATAGAAGTTTTTTCTCATAAATTTCATTGCATATATTTACCCCACTATATCTTACTGCCCTTCTTCTATTGATTTCCTATTGATGTGAAATTTCAACAACATTGGTGTATATCCCTACTCAGCCACTAATTTTCCTAGTGGATTACTTTGAAAAGTGAGGGGTAATGGACTAGTAACTCAGCCTCTCCCCACACACATAGTGGCTGTTAGAAGATACTTGCCCAAGATTGACAAATGGAAAGAGGGAGGGAAGTTGGCATTTCTAAGGTTGGTGGATTTTACTTAGTGAGCTCCAGTTGCTGACCATATAAGTATGTATAGTGGGTAGCCAACATGGTGCCCTCCATATGTTGTTAGAGTGCATCTCCCATCATCCTTGATCATTAGCCATGCTCATAGTCTGGAGGGCACTATGTTGGCTATCTATGATGTATTACATTTGTAACTCACCTTTCTGTACACAGGTTGGCTGCATTTGCACATTGTGGTAAGCCATGGTTAATGGTTTGACACTGAATTCAAAGAGTGCTCCCACTTCACTTCTAGCTAGCTAGCGAGAGCAAAAAAACCCACAATATTTTTCTTACCATTACATCCAAACAGGATGTTCGCTCCAAGCAAGCCACAATAGGAAGCCAAGAACAAACCTTAGCTTCATATTGTGCATCGTAGTTTGTTGTCCCTGCTCACTAGCAGGGTGGAGAGAAGCTGGAGCGAATTTGCACATTGATGGCAAACCATTAAAAATGGCTTACTGTGACACAAAAGTCACAGTCAGAGTGATTTAAACTTAGAATGAGAAGTGCATACCTGAACATTTAGCAATTTGAGAATAAATAAATGATTTGAAAGAAGATCCTATAATAATTAGGCTTAACTACTTTAAAATGTTGTCTCTTTTTTCTAGTCTGATCTGCAGTGGAGAGAAACGTCGACGTGAACAGGAAAGTAAATATATTGAAGAACTGGCTGAGCTGATTTCTGCTAATCTGAGTGACATTGACAATTTCAATGTCAAGCCAGATAAATGTGCAATTTTAAAGGAAACTGTTAGACAGATACGGCAGATAAAGGAGCAAGGCAAGTCCTGACTTCTTATATTACAAGGGAGAAATTATATTCTATTTTCAGGTTATCACATATGGATGTTTAAATCTAGCTTTTAAATAAGGCTTTAAAATTTTGTTACATTTCTCTTCTGCATTATCTGCTTGAATGTTGACTGTGAGTTTACCTTAACAAAGTTTTCTGCAAATAGAATATTATTGAACTATAATGGGGGGAAATGAAGTAATGATTGACAAATTTTCCTAAACTGAATTCTAGTTTTACATTCATGGTGTTGGGCAAGTCACTGTAGAATAAAAGGTCAGAATGGTACTGAGGATCCAAAAGTGTCTTCACAATGAATTCAGAAGGGAGGTTTCAGGCTAACAGATCCCTTTCTTCAATTATTGAACTGGTTAGAAAGCACGGGAACCAAAGTTCTATCCTGCAAGCTTAGGCACTTCCCATGTTCAAAGAAATGTCTACCCCCTGCTCAGTCACATTGCATTTTTTAGATGAGCAAGTAAAGAATACAGAAGGTATGGTGGAGGGAGCATGTGAATCCAAGGCATGATACAATCCTGGATGCTAGATTAATAGCTCCATATACCCCTTCTTCCAGCAACTCCTGCAGCCAAGCTGGTGCTTTCCTTTGGAGTCGGGGGGGGGGGTTGTCATCTGGGTAGCCCAGGACCTCCATACACACTGTCCATGCTTGCGCCCCTGGGAGGTCACGTCAGTGCTGCTAACACAGTGATTTGACTTCACCCCTGGACGCGCATTTCATTGTCTCAAGACAGATGCCAATAACAACAAAAGGATTTGAGTGTTGCACTGGGTGTGTTTTTCCCATAGCAAGTTGAAACTCTGAGATGTAAATATTGTGAAAATAACAGCCATTAATTCTACAATCGCATTAGATTTTCATTGCACATCTTAAAGAATGCTTAATATATATGACAGACGTTTACAAAAATACTTACATGCAGTACAGGTTTCAAAATTTGCTCTATTTTTTTTTTTAGGAAAAACAGCTTCCACTGATGACGATGTACAGAAGGCTGATGTATCTTCAACAGGTCAAGGGGTTATTGATAAGGATTCATTGGGACCTCTTTTGTTACAGGCAAGTCTATAGGCTATTACATTTTAGTACTGAACAGTATATATTACAGCAACATTTCCCCCCTCACGTGATAAATACTAATAGTCTTACATAGGCTTCAGAGGAAACAAAACAAACCTTTGCAATCAAATACTTCAGAGTTTCTTGCAAAGGTAATTGATACACATGTTTTAAACAACTTTAAACATTAAAGCAGCGATGGGAAACTGTGGTACTCCAGAAGCTGCAGAGCTACAACTTACATAATCTTTGATCTTTGGTCATTTTGGCTGGGGCTAATGGGAGTTAGAGTCCAACAACACCACAGGTTCCCCATCCTCTGGTTACAGCATTCCGTCCAGTCAAGGCAGAGCATAGGGTTCATGGACAGAGCAGGAATATGGGAGGCACACACAGGCTTCCCATTTCCCATTTATTATTTATTAAATTTATTTATTAAATTTCTATACTGCCTTCCATCTGAAGATCACAGAATGGCTTACAATATAATAACACAATAACAAACATAAGCAAAAACCACCTCACCCTTCACACAGAGCAGGAATATGGGAGGCACACACAGGCTTCCCATTTCCCATTTATTATTTATTAAATTTATTTATTAAATTTCTATACTGCCTTCCATCTGAAGATCACAGAATGGCTTACAATATAATAACACAATAACAAACAGAAGCAATAACCACCTCACCCTTCACACAGAGCAGGAATATGGGAGGCACACACAGGCTTCCCATTTCCCATTTATTATTTATTAAATTTATTTATTAAATTTCTATACTGCCTTCCATCTGAAGATCACAGAATGGCTTACAATATAATAACACAATAACAAACAGAAACAATAACCACCTCACCCTTCACACAGTTTAAAAGGCCATGGATTTATTTTTTATTATAATGGCCTGGTATGCTGGCTGCATGAGCTGAAGCTCAGAGGGATTGGTAGATAAGTAAGCAATGAATCCTTTTTCCCCCCTGGAAAGTGATGCACTGTCTTCAACTGAAACAGCAACCTTCATAAAATCATAGAGTTGGAAGGGACCCCAAGAGTCATCTAGTCCAACACCCTGCAATGCAAGAATCTCAACTAAAGCATCCATGACAGATGGCCATCCAACCTTTGCTTAATAATAATGAAGGAGAGTCTACAACTTCCTGAAGGAGTTCATTGAACAACTCTTACTTTCAAAAGTTCTTCCTGATGTTTAGTTGGAATCTCCTTTCTTGTAACCAAAACTGGATTCTCAGTCTAACAAATTGGGTAATCTCCAGATTGGATTACTGTCATATCGTCTGCATGGGATTGCCTCTGAAGACGGTTCAGAAACTTCAGTTGGTGCATAAACAGTGCTAGAATTTTGGGTGCAGATTGCAGGGACAATGTAAGATTGATCTTTAAATATTTATGTTTGCTGTATGTTTCCAGGCAAAATTTTGAGTTCTAATTCTTAGACTTTTTGTTGTTTCATTCATGTTCTTCTGAAGAAGAGTTTTCTTCCAGGTTACTCAGCAGAGATGTGTTTATACTTAGGCATGCATACTACATGTATGTGTGTCCATTGTTGTATGTATCTGCATTATTCCCCATTTCAGCTGCAACACTGTACACACATACCTGGGAGTATGCCCCATTGAACTAAGTATGACTTATTTCTGAAAAGACATGTAGGACACCCCCCCCCCAAAAAAAGATTGCTGTCTGAGATTGGTGTGCCTCTATTTTCTGTATCTTTCACATATATAAAAGTCTGTATACTTGGATAATTTGCTATGATTTTGTTTTTAGGCATTAGATGGCTTTTTATTCGTAGTAAATCGAGATGGGAACATTGTATTTGTATCCGAAAATGTCACTCAGTATTTGCAATATAAACAAGAGGACCTGGTTAATACAAGTGTTTACAGTATCTTGCATGAAGAGGACCGGAAGGATTTTCTTAAAAATTTACCAAAATCTACAGGTAATAAGCTTGTTAATACTTGGGTTTGTTACTGTGTAGATACCCATTTTAAACAGGAAGATAGCTTTTAAGTCCTTAAGTGGTGAGGGCAGAGACTTCATCAGGCAAGGCCTCCTTCCACCTGCCTTGCCCCACCCTCCAACCCTGGGAGTCCTTATAAGAAAGCCGTGCCTGGAGGAAGAACTGTGAGGGGAGAGACTTCATCAGGCAAGGCCTCCTTCCACCTGCCTTGCCCCACCCTCCAGTCTCTGCTTCTCAGTTTGTATTGTATTATTTTATGCACCGTTGTTTTATTGATTGTAGTTTAGAAATTATTTATTGTAATTGTTAAGAGTGTATTTCTGTTTAATTTTTATATGCTGATATTTAATAGTATTCTATACTAGTCTAATGGTTGTTGAATGTTACTTTATTTGATGTAAGTTGCTTATTTTAAAGTTACGTTTTATTATTACATTTTTGTATTGCATTAGATTGTTATGAGGTGTACATTCTTTGTTTCTTCAGCTTGTAAACCGCCTTGGGTGTTGTAAGATAGAATGATGGTATACAAATTAAAAGTGATGATGATTATTACGTATTAAGCAAAGTATTCCTTTTTATATTTGAATTAGTTTCCACTGTTTTAAAAAACATTTAGTTTTAATTAATTTATTGCATTTATATGCTGCTTTTCTGTCAAATTATTTTAAGTTTTCAAGAAAATACTAGCGTTATGTCTCACTGTTACATTTGCCCTCTCATATATAACTGCCAATTTTCTTTAAAGTCATACAAAAATACCTTTCAAAACAGTTTAATTTAATATAAGCTACTATTCCATTTACTGTTTTAATTACCAGAAATATACTATTAAATTCTCATACCTTAAATGTAGCTGCTATATAGCTAGCACCATTGCTTTCTTTCTAGTGTTTGCTTCTTTGTTATTGATATGTGAGAAAGTAGAATGTCCATTCCTTTCCCCTCTTCAGTAGCACTTAAAAAAAACATTTCTGGCATAGGAGAGGCATCCATTGAGTTAGATGTCTGATTTTAGTGAAATTTCTTCCAAGCATGCTTAGGAATGCAGTCTTACCTAATACCTTGTGTAAAGTCTTATTCTGCTCAAACATAATATAGTTCTTAAATTTGTGTGTACACTAGTGAATGGAGTTTCTTGGACCAATGAAGCACCTAGACAGAAGAGTCATACATTTAATTGTCGCATGATGGTAAACACTGTACATGATCTTCTGGAAGATGTAGGGAACAACCAAGATACACATCAAAGATTTGAAACCATGCAATGTTTTGCTTTATCACAACCAAGAGCCATGCTGGAAGAAGGTGAAGGTAATAACATGCAGCTGATGTGGCTGTTGATTTTTTTATCTCTTAAGTACAACTTTATTTATAACGTGATGAGCTGTGTTCAGTCAGTGCCTTTTGTAAAATAACTTAGCAATACATAGATGTCAGTATTTGTATTTCTTAATAATAATAATAATAATAAAACAGAAAGCTTTTGTTTTCTTTAAATCTCAAGCTATCTATAAATGTAACATAAAATGTTTTGAATTGCAGATTTGCAGTCCTGTATGATATGTGTGGCACGCCGTATCTCGGCAGTAGAAAGGGTATTTTCACCAAATACAGAGAGCTTTGTTACTAGACATGACCTTTCAGGTAAGTAAGCTATATGAATAACTAATGAACTCTATTATCAATGTAAATGATCACAAGCATGTTTTGTGCAGTTATTTTACAATTGCTTGCCTAGAGGCTTTTTTAAAAAAAAATATATTTAGTATTAGAGCTTCCAAGGCAGCTAATATTTCAGTAGGTTTTACTTGTATTTTTCTTAATCACTCCTGCACCTAGTTTGTTTATTTTAGCTACACTTGTTCTCTGCAAAATAAAGGCCTGGTTTGGATTGTCCCTTCATGCGTAAGTAGATGGAGATTGCAGCTTCCCAGGACAGGGGCATGTGAGGCTGGGCATGTGGAGTTGTGCACCCTGAATATCCATGGATGGATGTAATAGTTGAATACATTACAGAGACATGTAGTTGAAAGCCAAGTTATAAATAGGATTGTGTTGTAAAATCCAGTATGCAAAGAGTTGAATCCTGTTGTCAATTCCTTTTCTCCCAAATGTTGGGATTCAGCACATGGTTTGGAATTTTACACAGTAACACCTAATTCAAATATAACACCCACACATGGGTATTCACAGGAAAAGTGTGCCTGGTGGTAATTGTAGGTATGAACAATCTTATTCTCACCAGCCTAGGAAGAAGGTAAGGGAGAAAATAATCTGAACTGGGCTAAATCTGGAGCGTAGAGCTAAAACTGCCAATTGACCATCTTAACCAGCAAAAGATCTTGAGCTGGCAACATAAAGCTACTCTGGCTGAATTTAGTCTGCTATGATTTTTCCTAGTTGGTGATTATCATTACCAGCATTTTTCATTTGCTTTATACAAAACAAAGAGTCTCAAAGCAACATAATAAGATCAAATAAAATAAGTAAAACAGTGTAAATCCAGACAACTCTAAAACAATGAAAAGTACAAAAGTCATAAAATGTTCACCCAGTAAAATAGCTATGTGTTGTTTGTGGGAACAGTTTTGGGTTTATTTATTATTTTTATTTATTCATTGAATTTATATACAACCCTATACCTGGAGGTCTCAGGGCGGCTCAGGTTGGATATATCCCATTGGTATTTATTTCCAGGAGTTATGTTGACTGTTAATGATGATCCAGATTATCTGGGGAACACTGTTTTCGAGTCTGTAGGTGCTCCTTTAAATAGTTCATCCTTCTTACCTTGCGTAAAGAACTGACCACTCACATGTACATGGTCTTTCAAGTTGAGACCTTGAGATATTCGGGTCTGTATGCAAGGCAAAAAGGTTGAATCATGACTAGGATTCCAAGAATGGATTTGTACATATCTGAAAGAACTGTGTTTGCAGCCTAGTCTTTCTTTCTTTTTTCTTATTCTTTCTTTCATATTAATGCCACAGAACATTGCTAACCATGCTATGCTCATTTTATTGTTTTTAGCTTTTTATGTTTTACATATTTTATATCAAGTAAGCATTTTTCTGATTGACAGGTAAACTTGTTAACATAGATACAAATTCTCTAAGGTCCATGAGACCTGGCTTTGAAGATACAATTCGTCGTTGTATTCAGAGATTTTTATGTCAAAATGAAGGACAGCCCTGGTCAAACAAACGCCACTATCATGAAGGTAACACCACACATTTCTAAATGCTAATTTATTTAATTTGTACAGAGTTGTTTCATTTAGGACCAAATTAAAATCAACACAATGAATATATCTCTTAGGAAATGCCTTTACAGTAAAAAAATTAAATTGTATACACCATTTGGTTATATTAGGCTCATTAATAATTATAACTAATTTGTTATACTATTTAGTGTTAGTAAAACACTAAATTTGGGCTGTGCAGATTCATTCACCTATTTTTCTCACACTTATCTTAGTAAAACAAGTGAGAAAAAGTAGGTGAAGGTTTTGTATTGCAGAGCCTAGGGTTTCATTAAAGAGTATGGGAATTCCATTTTCATGCCATATTTTGGGCTGTTGTTTTACTAAGATAAGTGAGGAAAAGTGTGAGAGAGAAATGGATGAATGTATCTGAACAGCCCAAAATATTACACGTTTTCATTGCTTTGAGACACGTGATTATCTAAAAACTCATACACTATTGAATTACTAAAGTCTCTGGAAATATTATATTAAGACAGGACACATGTGAATATAAATTTTACTCATACACAAATTTGATAATAGAATTTCACGAAGCTTTGGGTTTTCCAAAGTGTATTTTTATTTTTTAAGTGACCATTTTGTTAAAGTAGTTAATGATGTAGTGTGAGTTTTATTTCTGTTTCTAGAATGGGAAATGTAAGCAGATTGCTTCAGTACTAATAGTTTCTACTCTTCCTAACAGCTTATATGCAAGGTCTTGCTGAAACTCCACTCTATCGGTTCTCCTTAGCTGATGGAACAATAGTGACAGCACAAACAAAAAGTAAATTGTTCCGGAACCCTGTTACCAATGACCGGCATGGGTTTATCTCCACTCACTTTCTTCAAAGGTGAAATCAATAATCTGTTTTAGCAGCTCCAAAATCATATGTGTCTAATGTGAACCAACATAATGAAAACATTTAGAGGGCAGTATAAGAGACAATAGATGCGGAATTTTAACCCATGAGCACTGTTAAATTTTATTTGGTCAGATATAACAGGAAGATAAAATTGCTTAATGTTAAGTTTCAGTTCATACAAATTTCATACATATGCCCACTACCGTTTTTTATCTCTTCGGACAAGGACAGGATGGCACATCATCTCATGGTACATTGTGTTTATATTGAAACTTAGGAATACACCTTTTATTGAGTTAGACCCCAAATCCAATATTACCTACTTGACTGAGAAGTTCGGAAGGATCAAAGAAGCTGGTTTCTCTCACAATAATGATTTTAAACATTGCTAGGGTAAATCCTACTACTAATAATATGATAATTTTGTACCCTGCCCATGTGACTGGGTTGCCCCAGCCACTTTGGGCAGCTTTCGCACGTTGAACCTTTGAAAAAGAGGTTTTGAGCTTATTCATTTTTATGTCTTTTTGAGATAAGACAGTAAGCCTCATTATGTAACAGCAACTGACTTCTACCCACTGTATCACAATTTCTATAAAGTTCTCATTAAGGGTGGAATATTTTCTATTCTTATCAAGAAAATTAGTGGAATATACAACTTGGAAATACAGTTTGTGCTCTTCCTATACCTTGTTGATGTTGATAAAAAGATTAATACAATGGGCTAAGGAAGAATTTTAAATTTCATCATAAATTTCTATGAGCTCGATCAGTGTATATGGCAGTGCTCCTGTGTTCTGCTGTTGCAACCCAGTATTGTACATTGATTCCTAGAAGAACATATAAGATCTTTTAAAACATGGACATTACTAATCCACTGTGCCAAGCTTGATTGCCAATGCTGTGTGTTTCAGAGAACAAAATGGATATCGACCAAATCCCAGTGCAATGGGACAGAACATCAGAACATCTACAACTGCAAGTACAAATTCAGTCAGTGGTGTCATGAACATGTCATCTGGGCAAAATATACCTTTGCAGAACAGGAACTATGGTATGGGAGATCCTAACTTAATGGGGCAGATGAGTGGTGCTAGATATGGAGGTCCTGGAAACATGGGACCGGTGAACTCTGGACAAGGAATGCAGTCTTCTCCTTATCAGAGTAACTATGGATTAAATATGAGCAGCCCACCACATGGGAGCCCAGGCATGACTTCCAGTCAACAGAATTTAATGATATCCCCTAGGAATCGTGGGAGTCCAAAAGTGAATTCACATCAATTTTCTCCTGTAGCAGGTAATTATTTCTAGTATCTTTTTAAAGTGTGTTTTGTTTTGTTTTTTTGTTTCAGCCTCTGAAATCAGATACTATTTATTCAGTTGGCCAGAAATGGTGATGATTATCATTGTTTATAATCCACTCTTCAGCTATCATTCCCAGAGCAGCTTATAGCATAAACATAAAAAACAATCTAATACAGTCAGACTTACTGTGCCATTTTTCATAGAATACCGTACTATGAAAAATATTGTTATGCAGAAATTATGGAAGGCAGTTTTAAAACTTTCCCTTTATATACTTTCTGCTGTAATGTTTCAAAGTATTTTTAATTAAATGATTCGTTAATATGTAATACCTCACTTAGTGTTTCTCCTCTTTTTGTATAGGTGTGAACTCTCCAATGGGAACTGCCAGCAACACTAGCAGCAACAATTTTTCAAGCAGCTCACTTAGTGCTCTTCAAGCGATTAGTGAGGGAGTTGGAACTTCCCTTCTGTCTACTCTTTCTTCGCCAGGTCCAAAACTAGACAATTCTCCAAATATGAATGTTTCTCAGCAAAGTAAAATGAGTAACCAGGATTCAAAGAGCCCTCCTGGCTTGTTTTGTGAGCAAAATCAAGTGGAGAGTTCCATGTGTCAGTCAAACAGCAGGGACTCCCTTAGTAACAAAGAAATCAAAGAAGAGGGCCTTGAAGGCTCTGATCAGAGGGGACTACCTGAAAGCAAAGGGCATAAAAAACTTCTCCAGTTGCTAACTTGTTCCTCAGAGGACAGGGGACACCCTACACTGTCAAACTCCCCTTTGGACTCCAGTTGCAAAGAACCTACTGCCAATGCCACAAGCCCTTCATCTGGAGTCTCATCTTCTACATCTGGAGGGGTCTCTTCTTCATCAAACATGCAAGAGAAGCATAGGATTTTGCATAAATTGCTGCGGAATGGTAACTCTCCAGCAGAAGTGGCAAAAATCACAGCTGAAGCTACTGGTAAAGACACGTACCATGACAGTAGTGCTGTTTCCTGTGGTGAAGGAACAGTCAAGCAAGAACAAATGAGTCCTAAAAAGAAGGAAAACCATGCCCTCCTTAGATACTTGCTTGACAAGGATGATGTAAAAGATCCTCTTTCAAAAGACATTAAACCTAAAATAGAAAATTTGGACAGCAAGATGGGACAGTGCTGTAGTTCTGCCATAACTACTTCAAGTCAAGAAAAAGAGATGAAAATAAAAACAGAACCCACTGAAGAGGTAGAGTATTCTAATGTTTAGCAAAATCCCTGTTAAAAGACTCAGTATACTTTTGTTTTCTAAATAAGCCCCTGGAATGGAACCATGCACTTTCTTTTTGTAAGTCTGAAAACCACAGCTAACCTGAATTCCCAACTATGATGTATCAAAGTAATTTTTAAAACGTTGCTTTTAAAAATTATTTCACATTGTGCCAGTTTAATTTTCCACTGATTATAGACGATGATGGTATTCCACTCAATACGTGAGAGAACATGGAATGCCTCTTTTAAGAAGGAACCTGCCCCCCATGTATTTTAAGCATTTACCACCTTAAATAATTAATATAGCTGACTGAGGCTGCAATCCTAATCCTGTGTACCTGGAAGTGAGCCTCATTGAATTAAATAGGATTTACTTCTGAGTAGATGCGGTTACAACTGCATTCCAAGCCATTCTCAGCATCAGCCTGTTGAAACTGATAGGCATGAGAGAATCATGACTGAAATAAATTATTTGATTTCAGTACATGTACTGCTACTAAGCATGACTTAGTCGGTGACCACTTTTAATAATTAACATTAAAAAAAATATTTACATGATCAAATATTTACATGACTTCTAGCTTGTTCTCTTAAGAATTTGTAGTAAGTTTCGAAGACATCATAGTTTTGAACGCATACCAGCTTCTGATTTTTTCAGTAGAAATCTAAACAACTAAGTTTGTTTTTAATTTTTTTTTTTCAGATGAGTGGAGATTTGGTGGATAATTTAGATGCCATTTTGGGTGATCTAACTAGCTCAGATTTTTGCAGTAATCCAATGTCTGCAAATGGAAATAACATGGGGAATAAGCAACCATTGTGCCAAGGAAATGCACCACTGGGTAAAGTTTATTTGACATAATATTTCACTTTACTTAACAGTCATTGTGTTGATTCAAGCCATTCTTTCTGTTTGTTCTTAATTTCCCAGTTTAGCCTTTTAAAAAATGGTTTTTATTGTTGTCTACTAGTAGACTAGAATTTCCTTGTAGATACCCTCTGGAATCTCTGATAGTAAGCTGTATAAAGATTGAGACCTAACACAAGAAAACCTTGAGTTTAAAGTTGCAAGCATAGATTTGATAGAAACCAACTGTCGATCACTGGGGAGCCTGCAGATCAACAGGCCAGATACTACCACTTTCTGCTGTTCCTGGAGGCTGTTCATGCTTATTAAATCAAATAACAGTGCATTCCAGAGTGCACAATAAGATGAATCAATAGGTCAGAAAGTTCAGCTTTGATTAGCTAAATAATTTGAGAAAGGTAAACTAAATCAGAAGTGGTAGTGGGAGCATACAGCTAGGTACTACTTTATGATGAGAAAGGGAATCATGGTTTCCGTGTGTGTGTGTGTGTGTGTGTGTGTGTGTGTGTGAGAGAGAGAGAGAGAGAGATCTAGTTGTATTTTCTGAACTTTCTATGAAAAAAATGGTTTTTTTAAAAAAAAATCAGTATGCAATTCAAAAGTGTTGAGAACATCAGTATTTAAAATGTTGTTTATTCAGATTTTTGTGTTATTACAGAGTTAGAATAAATACCATAAACAGAAAAAATACTTGATAAAAGGGAAGATACTTCAACTGTCGTCTAACTTGTTTTCCATTTTGTTTAAAACTTTTGACCTTTTGCAAAGTGCATTACTTTTTTGTATTCATAAATATATATAATCAAATCTGTCTTGAAATTCCCTTTTTAAAAAAATAATAATGTGTTACTACATTTTAAGCAGGGACGCGGGTGGCGCTGTGGGTTAAACCACAGAGCCTAGGACTTGCCAATCAGAAGGTTGGCGGTTCAAATCCCCGTGACGGGGTGAGCTCCCGTTGCTTGGTCCCTGCTCCTGCCAACTTAGCAGTTTGAAAGCACGTCAAAGTGCAAGTAGATAAATAGGTCCCGCTCCAGCAGGAAGGTAAACGGCATTTCCGTGCGCTGCTCTGGTTCGCCAGAAGCGGCTTAGTCATGCTGGCCACATGACCTGGAAGCTGTATGCTGGCTCCCTCGGCCACTAAAGCGAGATGAGTGCCGCAACCCCAGAGTCGGTCACAACTGGACCTAAAGGTCAGGGGTCCCTTTACCTTTACATTTTAAGCATAGCAGTTAACTTAATATGTATTTAACTGTACTCATACCATATTAGAGCTAATTTATTAGGCTTCTGATTCCGCCCCTGCCCCTGCCTTTCTAGTTAGGGTTTTGATTATTTTCTAACATTTTATAGAATTCTGTATATAGCTATAAGAGATTTGAAATTAACAGAGACTGTACAGATCCAAAGAGATACACCATATTCTTTTAATAATTATAGTAGTTATAGTAGTTATAGGAAGTTAACATCTCAGTCTGAAACATTATAGATCAAACAATCCAGATGAATAATTTCTGTATTAGTCTCCATCAGTGACTCGTATAGGACATACAATTTCTGTAGTTTTATTAAAATTACATTAAATAACCTTATCGTGGATGATAAACATCTGTCATGGTAGATCAATACCAGGTTTAAAGATGGTACAGTTACAATTATATTTTAATTACTCAACAGGTATGAGAAGTCCCCAATCTATGCAGGCCACCCGTCCTCCTTTCAACAGAGCCTTGTCTTTAGACAGCCCCATATCAGTGGGATCAAGTCCGTCTGTGAGGAGTGTTAATACATTCTCCATGCTACAGAAGCAAAACATGATGGGTGGGAGTCCAAGAATGATGGAAAATCAGGAAAATTTTGGAACTAATATGGGTTTGTTGATTTCCTCATACTTTTAAAAAAATAACGAACAATATCCCAAAGGTTTGCTGGAGTATATTATTAACTACGAGAAAAATTGTTACAATTGTATTATACTAGCTTATTCTAGCTAAGCTTCTTAGACCTTTTGGCTCAATTCACACATCTCACCAAAAACATTTGTAGGGTTGGGTTTAGTTGTGATGTCTGAATTAACAAATCATGGTTTGTGAGGAGCTAGCAAATTTGCTTGCACCAAGTGCGGTGAGGGTGGTGTCTGAATTGGCAAATCATTGTTGTGGCTGTTCCTTTACCTCCATTGCCACCACACCTAGGGTCTGGAGTGGTGAGCAGATAGAAAATAGAAGCAGTCAAGCATCCCTAAAGCATGGGTTTCCTGTACATTCAGAAGTTCACGTCTCTGTGTTGACATGGTTAGAGTACCAGACTATGGTCTCTGAGACCCAGGTTAAAATCTCTGCTCAGTCATGAAGCTGTCCAGGGGACCTTGGGGCCGTCAAGAGCTTCATGTTCTGGCTTTTAAACTTTGGTGAGTGCAAACTTCAGCAATTCTGTTTGAATTGAACCACTGTCACAAAAAATACACAGTGATAACAACAACCCATCTTCGTTGTTGTGCAATGCTTTATATCTCAGTTGAACCTGACAACTAGATTATATTTGAGATGTTACAGTGAATGGTGGCTGAAAAGCCCTGATATATGCAGCCCTTTGGGTCCTGGCTAAAACTGATTTGGAGTGGGTGGGTATAAAAATGCCAACTGTAGCAAATTGTATTGTATTCTATAGTTTTCTGTAGGGAAAGCAATGTGTATTTAAATACGTTATTTTTCTAGGGGGACCTAACAGAAATATGCCTATGAATCAGCATTCAGCAAGTGACTGGAGCCTACAAAACTCAAAAGTGAGCAGGATGGAACCTATTAGTTCTGGTTCAATGCCAAGACCAGGGCCAGACTGCAACCCAGCCCTTGCCAGATCTTCAGTTGGTGGTCCCATGCCTGGTTTACCCATGAGGTCAAATAGTATGCCTGGCACCAGATCCATGCTCCAACAGCAGATGATCCATATGAGTGAGTTCTTACTATTCTTTTTTAATTGGACACCACAATAATTTGTGTCTTACGCACTGCACATAGGTAAGATAATAGAATCATAGAACTGTAGATTTGGAAGGGACTACAAGGGTCGCCTAGTTCAACCTCCTGCAATTCAGGAAGCTTTCACCCAACATGGGGCTCAAACCCACAACCCTGGGATTAAGAGTCTCAGGCTCTGCTGACTGGCAATAAAGTTTGAAGCATTTACGCTTTGGGCTGTTTGCACAGTGATCTGTACTGTGTTCTGAGCAACTAGTGCTCCAGTGTGGGTTGCTGGATACTGGTAGACTTCAAGGAAGCAAAGCATTTAAATTCAGTGATAGTGATAAACAATTTAGACCACTACCTCTCAGCTTAGGGTTGCCATACTTCAAGAATTCATCCAAAAAACACAAATAGCGATCCTAAAACAGACACTTCTTGGTTCTGTTGACAAAAACCCTGGATATTTCGCCGATTTTTCAAAATTCCTCATGGACGCTGCTTTCGCCATTTGATTCCCGGACATGTTTGGGGAAATCTGGGCATATGGCAACCCTATCTTAGCTGCCTTGTTACTGCTATTTGAGTTTAATGGGGGAGCACCCTGGTGCTGTCATGTCTACAACAGTTCAAAGATGTGGAAGGAACTACTATTAGTTGAACACACACAAACACCCTGTTAAGAAGCTCTCTCCCTTTTTGCACACCCATTTGAATAGAAATCTTACATTCTGAAAGTAATGCCATACATTTTTACCTAGGCTTCAAGTGAGAGTAAGACCGATGAGTTTGATATTAAAAATAGTTGTATAGTGGTTTTGTTGAGATATTTTATCATTGTGTTTTATAATAGTGATACATTGTTTTTGTACGCTGCCCTGTGTTGTTGGATTGCTGCTCCAAAAATTCACCTCTTTTCTAAAAGTAAATTTAGTTTTGTTTCATTTTGTAGGGCCAAATGAAATTAATATTGGTATGGGAGGGAATCCTTATGCACATCAAGGGCCGTCTAACCATCCAAATGCATGGCCTGACAACATGCTGTCCATGGAGCAAGGACCTCGAGGTTCACAAAACAGGTACAATAAGGTTTAGAATGTAATATGTTATTTAACTGACAGCCTATTTTTCATCCACAAATGGTATCAGAACATTCTGATCATTCAGGAAAAACACTCATTTAAATACAAAATTAGTTAAGTCCATTGATTTCAATGGCTCTGCTATGAATATGACTTCCCCTATCTGAACTAGAATGCTGGACTAGACAGATTATTTGTTTGTTTGTGATTCATCAAAGAAAATGCTTACATCATATTTGTAATTTGTTTACCATCTTAGTCTTTGACATTCTATTGGGGATTTGTTGGATAGTAATGATCTATCAAAGGTGATAAAAGTTTTAACATGGAGGGTCCTCCTTTCAGTTTCCAGAATCCTGCTCATTTGTGAAATGACACTAGGCATATCTCATTTTTGCACTTATGTATACTGGGAAGATATGATTCTTATCTGGAGACTTCAATTTATGTGTGATATGAGAATTTATCTACTCTTTGACCAGTATTCTTAATTGTTGCTACATCTTGGTTTTCCTAGGCAACTAGTTAGGAATTCTTTGGATGATCTTCTGTATGCTGCTCCAAATGTTGATGGCCAAAGCGATGAAAGGGCTCTTCTAGATCAATTGCATACATTGCTGAGTAACACAGATGTCACAAGCCTTGAAGAAATTGATAGGGCCTTAGGAATTCCTGATCTTGTAAATCAAGTAAGTTGCCAGTGCTCTTGAAGTGCAGATTTTTCAGTTTGCTGTATGCTCTTAAAATGTATTTTTGCAGGGGGGAGAATAAAAACCCTAGTACATTTCTTCCTCAGTACTTTGTACATTCTTCTTTTGGGTGAGAAGAACTTATTTTATATATTATAGGCTCCAGAACTTGCTACTCACCTCAAGCTAAACATAGCCCACCTTCTCTGTATTGTGGCCTGCCAAGTATTCTTGCAGTCCTAAAAAGGCTGTAAAAACAGAAGATTTATCCAACTGCTGGTGACCTGCATTACATTTGCTGGATTACAAATTATGCAGACCTGATATGATTATAAACATGATATTGCAGTGCCCCTTTAAAAAAATCATAGTGAGAAAATGTTTGCCTATAACATAACAAGAGCAGCCTTCTGATCTAAAAATTGTTTATTTTCCTTTTAATTTGTGACAATACTACATTGTAATTAATGTGTGCAGGCATCTTCTTTAGAAAGGTAGTTGTAGAATAGTTGCTGAATATTATAGTGATGAAGTCTTAATATACCTGACTCAGAACTTGCTCATAGGAGATGGATTTTGTCAATGTAATTTTGAATTGGGCAATTTTCATTGGATTATTGGATAATCCTGTGTGTATCCCTAAACTGTTAAATGGTGAAATAGGGTCCCATAACTGTTGTACCATGTGCTTACTGGTGTGTCTCCTGAACATTTACTATGTTTTTTACACTGCCAGCTACACACACACACACACACACACACACACACAAAGCTCAAATTTTCAAATATAAAATTCCCCTGTATAAAATATTCTTAATATACTATTGCAGTGTGTGAAATATTTGCAAGTTCTATATTCTTTTTAAGGGGCAAGCTTTGGAACCCAAGCAAGAATCATTTCATGGCCAAGAATCTACTGTAATGATTGACCAGAAGCCTCCAGTATATGGTCAGCCATACCAGGGCCAGGGAGCTCCCCTGCCAGGGGGTTTTAGTAGCGTGCAAGGCCAACAGGCAGCCTTTAACTCTGTGATGAATCAGATGAATCAGCAGGGCAGTTTTCCAATGCAAAGTATGCATCCCCGAGCAAATGTCATGAGGCCCAGAACCAACACACCAAAGCAACTTCGGATGCAGCTCCAACAGAGACTTCAAGGGCAGCAGGTAAACAATTATAATTTTTCAGTTCCCTTCTGAAGAGGGAAACTTTTTGGCTTTGCTAAGGGCAGGAAAATGAAATATATCACTTACCCATTAACACATACATTCATTTGTTTTATCCTGTCCTGATATTTGGTACACACAGAGACTTAGTTTACATGTCAAGATGTTGCCCAAACTATGACTTAACTGGTACTATGCAACCACGAGGGCTCCTAAAATGGAGCTACAGCTTTGGCTACAGCTCATGGTTAGAGCACAAACGTTGGCTAATGATAATGCAGGAATAAAAAAGACAAGAGAGGAGGAAAGGTGCTGTGAGCTCCCCAGGAATCCACATGTTTGCATGGTTCTGATAGTCCATAATTTGGCTTGCCATGACATGTGAAGCAGGCCTGCAATTCCTCATCATTGTAGTCTTTATTTTCAGTTTGGTAATGTCATTTCTGAGATTAAATACTGCTGGACTAGACAGATTATTTGTTTGATGAAAACTGATGTTTGATGAAAACTGATGAAAACAGTGGCACGGTTGTTTTCTGAATTGCACTATTAAGTATCAGTATGAAAGTTAATGATTAGGTTTGTATATTTAAGGCCCTTGTTGGCATCCTTCTGCCTTGGAGACAATGGAGGAGTGCGCCTTTGGGCGTGAAGTCAAACGTTGTGTTTCAGCGCACTTAATAAGCCACACTGAGTGAAGTAGCTTCTTTTTAATTATTACTTTTGCCTAGGTTTGTAGTGTAGCATGGGTTTTATAGAAACCTGTTTGATGTATTTTGACATCGTTCTGTTACACACTGTTGCTTTCTGTTTCTTAAGTTTTTGAATCAGACTCGTCAAACACTTGATATAAAAATGGAGAACCCCAACCCTGGTAGTGCATCAGTGATGAGACCTGTTATGCCCCCACAAATGGGATCACAAGTAAGTATTACTAATCAGTTTATACAGTAGCCTCCCACTTCCTGCTGTTATTTTACCTCTCCCCAGTTCTGCTTTCTATTACTTCTCTCTTCCTTCATACATCTTTTAAAGCACTAAAACAGACACACATATTTTTATCTAATGGATCAAAGTCCAATAGAACATAACCATAAACCAAAATACGATTCTACATGAATCATGTCATCATTAGACATACATCAGTTGGGGCATATGACTGGTGAAGAAACATCTATATAATAATGTCATCCTAAATAATGTCAATATTTTTGATTAGGAATTACAATGCTCTGTTTTACCATTGTTGCAATTCCTGTTCAGATGGGTGAGGCATTGGATCTCAACTGCAATTGTAGAAAAGTACAGTGGTACCTCGGGTTACAGACGCTTCAGGTTACAGACTCCGCTAACCCAGAAATAGTACCTCGGGTTAAGAACTTTGCTTCAGGATGAGAACAGAAATCGTGCGACGGCAGCAGCAGCGGGAGGCCCCATTAGCTAAAGTGGTACCTCAGGTTAAGAACAGACCTCCGGAACGAATTAAGTTGTTAACCCGAGGTACCACTGTATTCCAGAACCATTCTGGGGATTGAAACTGTTGAGCAATGCTAGTCTGGCAAGTATGGATTCAGTTACTTGTATCTAATTTAGCTTTAAGTAACCGTCCTGTCAGTACAAATATTTATTATGCCTGTGCAATGGGACTTTCCTCTTGTGCATCCCCTTAATATTTTCTGCTGGTTTCCCCAACCATTTGGAGCAGATTTGGGAAGGACACATTCAGGGTGGGTGGGGGCGAGAGAAGGTCTCATTGTTCAATCATAAATTTTTGCACTGACAGAAAAGTTGCTTAGTGCCACATTGGATATAAGCCACAGTGCCTGCTGAATGTTCAAGCTACACAAAGTGAGACCTGCAACAAAATGTAGAGTGCTGCTGTTTGGGGTTTTAGCCACCCAGCTAGTATCTGTTCCAGGATGCTCCATTCCCTTCCATTCCACCACCTTCACCACTCCAATAGTCATCAAGCCAGCATTCTGTTTGCTAGGTCATTTTTGGTTCCCTCCTTTTACCTTTTCTTTATAACTTAGACAAACTTTGGGGATTCCCCAAGCTGCTGATAACTTGTGCATTGATATCTGCGTAAGGGTAGACCCAAAGAGAATAAGCTTGCTATTGGTATATAGACTGTAGACCAGATGTGGGAAAACTTTGATCCTGCAAATGTTGCTGCAAGCAAGGCCAATGGGGCAACATCTGGAGGGCCGAAGGTGGTTCCCCACAGTTACTGTACACTGTGCTACTTATTACTGCAGAATAAATGTGCATTTTCTTACTGTTCCATTCTGCTATTTCATTAATGGGAGAAAAATAGACTGTATTGTGCTTTTTTAATATAAAAAAGCTCATGGACATAAAACTCTTAAGATATGTTTTTTTTTCCTTGTCAACTTAATAATTCTTCCTCTGTATTCTTTAATGTGCCTTTTGTCAATCCTCTTTGGGTGCTAGCAGCAAGGCTTCCTTAATGCTCAGATGGTGGCGCAGCGAAACAGGGAGATAATAAGTCATCACATCCGACAACAAAGGATGGCCATGATGATACAGCAGCAACAGCAGCAGTCTCAAGCCTTCAGTCCTCCTCCAAATGTGACCACCTCAGGAAGCATGGATGGTGCTGTTACAGGCCCTCCGATGGCTCCAGTCCCATCCCAGCAATTTTCATACCCAGCCAATTATGGTACTTACTTCATTTGTATCTTACTTGCTTCTATTTCCTGTGGCTGCTGTTGGGCTTAGTAAATTACAAAAAAACTTATTAAAGCTAGAATATTTTTATAGAAGAGTATAAGCACAATATTTTGGAATGAGGGAGAAAGTGGGGTTTTGAGGGATTTGACATATTCTGTAGCCGAATGATCTAAAATAGAACAGCCACAGAGCAGAAATGTTGTAAAATTCACGATCTTTATACAGTAATTTCACAGCTCATTGGTTCTCTCAATTTTGATTTGAATTATGTCTTAGTCATTACTTAATTCTGCAAGAAAACTTTTTTGTACAGGAAGGGTCTGGCAACAAAAAGCAAGCATTTGATCTTTTTTTATTCTGCTTTGCTATATCTGAAATTGCTACAACAAACAATGAAACATTAGTAAGTTATAGTACCTTGTAACCATGTTTAGGGACCAAGTGAAACTGAGAAAAGCAAACTTGCATGATGGGGGAACATAAGATGCTACTTTATATACCGAGTCGCACCATTGGTCCAAGTAGCTCATTAATGTTCACACTAACAGTGGCTCTCCATGAGGTCAGGTGGAGTTCTCTCACAACTCTACCTGGAGATGCTGGTGATTGAACCTAGGACCTTCTTCATGCAAAGCAGATGCTCTACTACAGAGCTATGGCCCCTTCAAGGAGAGGGAGTCTTGAGTGAATGCAAGCTGGTAACACCAAGGGTGGAAATTTACCATTAACTTGGGAATCAAAGTGCAGTTCTCCTGAGCACCATTGCCTCTCCATGAGAATTATTCCCTTCTGGCCTTTCATTTGTACCGTGCTCCAAAGGTACCTTTCTTCAGGGCTTTTTTGATTGAATCAGGTAAGAGAAATTGTGCAACCACAAGAGTGAAATTCTGTAAATATTAGAGGACACATGTGCCTTCAGCAGAAAATAGCTAAGTGTCATAACCACCAAACTGTTATCTTATTTATTTTGTAAGGAATGACCCAGCAACCAGACCCTGCCTTTAGCAGGGTATCAAGCCCACCCAATTCCATGATGGCTCAAAGAATTGGACCCACACAAAATCCCATGATGCAGCATCCTCAGGCTGCACCAATGTATCCAACTCCTGAAATGAAGGGCTGGCCATCAGGAAATATGGCCAGGAGCAGGTGAGAGTCAGATATCTCAACTAGTGTTTTGAAAGGGGAGCCTGTGGCTGTGGAGAACTGAAGAACATAGCTTTTAGCAGACTGAATTGTGTGATTTTTTTAAAAAAACATGCAATCTAGACAGTCTTCACTCTTGCACCCAGATTCTTAAAAAACAACAACCCTAAAATAATTTGTTTCATAGAAGATTTCAAAATATTTGTTCAAATTTTTAAATGTTGCATATTTCACAAAGATATGGGGCCTATTTTTGTTTCACAAAGTTAAACAAGCTGATCAAGACATGATGTGTTGTTAAAAAAAGATTAAAGGAACATCAAAGTGTCCAAATCTATATATGTTGAACTATTTGTTCCAGATTGGTTACGTGCAGGGCTAAAAACTCAGTGAGGTAGGCTTAAGTTAACAAAACAGTTTCCGACAATGGATGAAGAGATCCTAGGATGGGAGTGATTTACACTGATCCATCATTTTTGCATTTCCTTTCTTTTTTATTTAAAGCAAAGGATTTATTCATTTGTTGATCATAGGCTCATTTGTTTATAGCACTAGTCAATCTCTAGAGCCACAGGTTGGTGTGAGCGCCTTACAAATAACTACATCTGATCTTGAAGACATTGTGATGAGACAACTGTCTCTGCAACTGATTATGGACGGGATTACGAGGTTTTATAGTTGTAATGCCAATGACGTAACATGCCAGTGGTTGAATGAATCTGAGAGCATTTTTTTTTTCTTGTGTCCTCTAGTTCTTTTCCACAGCAACAGTTCAGCCATTCAGGGAACCCTGCAACTTACAACATGATGCACATGAACAGCAATGGTGGTCACATGGGACAAATGAATATTAATACTATGCCTATGTCAGGAATGCCCATGGGTCCAGACCAGGTAAGATGGCTGTAACTGTTGGTTCTCCACATGCAGCTCTTTAGATCTCCATATGCATATCAGCCCCTAAAATTGCCAGTGCCAGTGCCTAGCAAACATTAACAGAAACTTCTCAACATTTTCCTGGCTCAGAAAATAAGGTTTGACTTGCGTGGTTGTCATTTTTGCTCACTCTGCACCCTTTCTTATTTCTCCCAAACTCCCAAACCCCTATTTCTCCAGTGGGTTCTCTCTCAGTGGTTTTACATAAAATGGTAAGGCTAGCTGTGAAACAGCTATTGCCTGTGAGCATCCCAGGTTCATTGCTGAAATAGATTTACTCAAGGAATCCACAAGGCTCTGCAATCCTAGCCTTAGAGTAACTTAAGCTCAACACCAGGCCATTTCCTCCCAATCCCCCTTCCCCTAAAACGAATCTATATTTTTAAAAGCATTTTCAGTACCAGTGCAGTATTAATTTATACTTCTTTCCTTAACCTTCAGAAATGACAGCAAAAAATTTGCTTGATTACAAAGTTTGTCTCTCTTACACTGTTGTTTGTTCACTGGTGTGTTGTGTTTTTTTCTGCAGAAATACTGCTGACATCTCCAGCTATGATCTCCTAACAGGCTGATGCCATAGATGATGGTGAACTAAGTATTAAAAAAAAAAAGTGCACGTGAACTTCATGGCAACATGTAGCCTTATGGAAATACCACTTCTTTTTACCGTGAAGATGTCCTAAGTGACTTCATGAGTTATGGACCTTTGGGTGGTGAGGGATAGGAGGAGGAGTAGAAGCAAAGTATCACTGTATAATGTACAAAAAGAAAAGAGAAAGGGTGATTTTTTTTTTTTGGGCACTTTGCCTTTAGCAATGTGCGTTTGGCAATGTCATTTGAGTAAATGTGTTGGATAGACACGGTCTGTACCAGTTCTATTTACTGTAGCTATCCAAAGCCCTTTAACTACAGGCAGACCAAAGTGCCTGGAAAATACTTGGTAATAGTCTTGAGTTCTCTAGTAAGAGCCTCTGATAGAATGTAGTTTCTGGCCTTGATTTAAAAACAAAACAATGCTCTGAACATTCATGCTGCTGTTCAATCTCACTCCCAGGTGTCGGAACTCTGATGTGCAAGTGGCAATGCAAATGCGCTGTTGCAGCCTCTGAATCATGCTCTTTGGCGCCAAAGGGGTATGCAGAGATTAAATATGTATAATCATGATAAAAGATTTCCATATTGATGTGCAGTTTTGTGCACTTTATAAAATGCTGTATGTAGTGGGTTACTGCAATACCTATAATAATGAATCAATGGATATTAAAGTAGGCAAGTTCTTGCCCCCTTTCAAGCCCAGTCTGAATTACTGTTACATAATATCTCCAATATGGGCATTTGAGCAATAATCATACATCTTTTTTGCCATTAAATGTCATAAAATGTAAGGCAAGGCATTGCAGTTTGAAGAGAGATTCTCTTTGTGAATACATTTTGTAAATATGATCTTAAGATGTTGTACTATATATATATATGACTTTTGTAGGCCACTAACTCATTTTTGCAGAGTTTGTGAAGCTAAATATTTAACAAATATAATTTCTGTAAACTCGAGTTTAGTCCAAGTTGTCCAGATAAGATTTTTTTTTTTAATTTAAATGGTTTTGGAGTTGGGTAACTATGGCCTTTATCTTATTTTCATTGGTCTCTGACAGTTTATTTAGAACTTCATTTATTGGTTTTTTAAAAGAACATTTGTTCATATTTTAGCAGTCTTTTAATATTTTCTCTACACCTTATGTGTGCACTTTGTTACTTTTTTCTTATAGATGGCAATTTGATGACAAAAAGGCTCTTTTTAGCTGTCAAATCAATTTGTGGAATTTTTAATATAACCTGTCTTTTAAATGAAAGAGCCTCTGCTCTAGGACATTTGGTTAACTTTTAAGAAAGCCTCAGTGGTGTTCTGAACATGTTTTTTGTGTTAAGTGTCTATCAGAAAGCACACCTGATGATACATCTGATTAATTGGCACAAATGATTTTGGTTATCACATTTTATTGCTCTGCTGGTAACAAATATATTTATTTTCTGAGCAATTTTTAATAGCTGGAGGTCAGAAACACCATAATCATCTCGGTGTCAAATAATGCAGATACATACTGATTCCTCCCAGATTTAAACAAGTTGTAGTGATTCAGAACAGGATCTTTCTAAGAAAGGTAGACTAAAATGTCTGAAGTGGTGTGTGAGTTTTTTTCTATTCCCATTGCACATTCAATGTAGTTCTCTTGAATATGTGAACTGGTGATTTTGATTAGTAATGAAATTTGAGCTCCACTTTGCAGAAGCATGTAATTCTGTGAGATTTTGTTCTAAGGCAAGCAGTCTGTGATTACCCCCAAAACTGCTAGTATGCTGAGTACAGGTATAAATATTGCCAGTTCTGTGTAGTCCACCAGCTATTTATTTAACTTCACTAAAGCTTATTTGTACTTAAAACACATTTGGGCTCTGGTCTGGAATTGTGTTCTGATTTGCACATAGTGTGCCTCACATGTTACAAGTGCTTCCTCGTCCTTTAGGGTTGTTTTTTTAAAGCATTTTTTTCCATTTACATATTGTTTTAAAATAGCTTTGAGTTGTTGTTGTTTGAAGTATATGTCCTTCCAAACCTCCACATATGGATGTGTAGTTTGCTTAGACATTAAAGTCAGCAGGGGAGTATTTTGTACACATGCACACCTTTGTGCACATCACATCTTTTGGTTTTGTAGGTCTGCCATTAAAGTGTGACAAAATATTTTCCGCTTCTCAGAAGCCTCTTTCTGATACCATCAATAACAACCTCATAGTAAAAGACCCACAAGCCTATAAAATGGGAGTAGACTATCTTTTAACTTTTATAGGCGAATATGATAGCTCTGATTACTTTGGCGAAGTGTGACCTCTCTTTTTATAAACTACTTATTGCCCTTCTTCTTTTCATTTTGATTCTGTTTGTGTTTTTGAAATGTGGTGGTACCTGCCGTTCATTGGTTAATCTGTTATTTAGAATGTTACTCCTTTTCCCAGTTGCTTTTTTTTTTTTTTGCTGAATCCAAAGATATTAGTTCAAACTTGATAAAAGTATTCACACCTTTTTATATATATATATAAATGCGTTTTGAATTTGCATTGTCGGGAACGTTCTCAGCAGTGCTGATTCAAATGATACCTGGAATCAGAAGTGCATGATTAAAAACTCTCATTCTGTTGCAATGCAATCTCTAGTACCAAGAGTGATTATATGGGGTGGGGGCTTGTATGATAAGTACAGTAAACATGGCTGAATGGGGCAATAAGCTTAGTTTGGTATTGGTGCCTTCTGACCTAATTGTCTTTGTAGTGAATCCATTCTTCCCACCTTTGTATGGATTATCCAACCATTTTGTGTGTTGAGATAAATACATAATTTCAGTCTTCATGATTTTTCCTGTAATTCAGCCTTCCCCAACCTGGTGCAATCCAGATGTTTTAGACTAACAACTCCCATCAGCTCCAAGATGGGGAAGGCTGCCTTAATAAATGAGGAGCATTTTTCAACAGAAACAATCTATTTGAATGTTGCACAGGTCAGCACATCGAATTTAGTAGCAGACTGTCATGTGACAGCAATGCAGCAATTATGAAACCATTTAACTGAGAGCAATATTTCTTAATATCTCAGGAGAAAGGCATGCAGAATTGAGAATTGACTCCAAAGTTAGTTTACATTAAATATTGCTTGTAATAATTGATCTTTACATAACAAAAAAGCCTCCGGTGGGCTGGCATTAAAAAAAAGGGGGTAGGTCATATGGTCTTGTTTTTCTGTGTTTTTGTTTTGTTTGGATGTTGTTAATAATGTAAATAAAGGTTTCTATTTGAAACGGGAGTTTTTGTGGCTTAATAAGCTTCTTGGTAATCAAAGAGATAAAAGTTCCCATTATGCCTTAACACAGGCTACATTCCAGTTACCAAAACTCATGTTCAAGTTGTCTGTGCTGGTTAGATGTTTAAGATGTCCTCTTTTCCAAGACACAACCAAATGGGAGAAGTAAAACTGTAGGCTTACTTCACTTCCAAAGGGGTGAACACAACAGTTGCTATTGCCACCCTCAGACTTCTTTTAAAATTAGAGCACCATGAAAAAGGTAAAAACCAACTGAATGCAGCCACTGCATGGAAGAAGATAGGGAATTTCGCCTTATTAACCTCCTGTCCAGCCTGCTTTGTTTCCAGACCCTTGATCATCTGGGCTTCCCTCCTCTGTGCACGTTCCAGCTTGTCAACATCCTCCTTAAATTGTGGTGCCCAGAACTGGACACAGTATTCTGGGTGTGGTCTGATCAAGGCAGAATAGAGTGGGACTATTACTTCCCCTGATCTGGACACACTAGACTGCTGTTGATGCAGCCTAGAAGAGCATTAACTGTTGACTCATGTTAAGCTTGCGGTCCACTAACTCCTGTTTCCTTTTCACATGTACTACTGGCAAACCAGGTGTCCCCCATCTTGTATTTGGCCAGCTGGTGTTTCCTGCCTAAGTGTAGGTACACTACCTAAAGACTCATTACATTGCAAATACTATATCATACCTACATTAGATATCTCAAACACCAATTTCTCTCTGTGATTGAAATGCTGCAGTACATTGGAAGAAAAACAAGTAAGTTGAAAATTGGGGTCAACTTGTGAATTTGGACAGGTGATGTATGCTGTAGGAAAACTTGTAAGTTTGAGTTTGGATAGTCTGTTCCTAAAACTGCTTCCAAATAGTATGTTCTTTTCTTTTTTCTAAGGAGGCACAAAACCCAGCACTGTGTTGGGTAAAGTATGTCTACTTGTCTGCTGAACTGTGCCCATAAGTGCTTTTTTTTTTTAAACCTGCATTTTTATTGGTCACAAAATAGCCATTGTTTAAAACAAACAAATATAAAAGTAAACAAGTGCTTTCTTTTATAGTAGTAATTTTGGTTTTTGAACATACAATATAACCACAAAGACTTAATACAAATCCAACTTTGTTAAAATTCAAGACATAACACAAACTGCTTTTAATTTTGCAGTGCTTTTAAAAATGGCTAAATTCTGAATTTTTTATTATGCAATGGAGTGACTTTTCAGAAATGGAATTGGGGCATGCCAACACTTTAGTAACAATTCTTCTGAACTTGGATTTCTTTTGAAACAGGACACTGAATATTTACAGTACCATGCTGGAAAGCTGGTTTCACTGAGTGAAGATTTCAGTTTCCTCATGAGCCAAGGTAGATGTGTGAACTGTGAACTAAACTGGCTTCTGTGGTAGACAAACACCTGAAGACTGTTAGTGCCGAGTCTGTGCATCTGTTCAGTAATATCCACGATATCCTGCATGCCTCAGTAGCAATTTTCTACCACTGTGTCTAATTTTGACTTGCCTAATCTGTAGGTGGGGGAAGAGATCCTTCTCCATTTGTCTGTCCTTTCAAATGCCATTTAAAGCTGTAGATGAAGTTGCAGAGGGGCTATTTGGCTTCCACTGAAATAGTCTGTGTGGTTTTGCCCCTTAGGATTCCAAGTCTCTCAATGGGTCACCCTTGTTTTTTCTCTGCTGCCATTTCTTGAAACAGTATCTGCAGTGATCGGTGGAAGTAAAATAGCTTGTGAAGCAAGTGAGGTATAACCCAAAGCAAAAGCAGGTAAACCAGTGGGCTTCAAGAAGGGATACATATGTTGGATGAAAGTACTCCCCAGAAGGTCACTGTGTCTATTTAGATTGCATAACAGTGCAAACATCCTATCTACCTTAGCATCAAAGTTTATCCAGTCCTCCAGGCTAATGTTATATTTCAGTCTGAAATCATACACACTTTCATTAAGTCTGTACAAAGATTCAAGTTCTGGCCAGTTTATATCCTCATTGAGGTCCAGCAGTTGCAGGAAATTAGCCTTCCCAGCCTTCCCAAAGTTGTCCTCTGAAAAAGAACACACATTTAATTAATTCACTCTCTGAAGAGCAAAGCAATCTGTTCTCACAGCCGAGCCATGCAAAGGGCATACTTTTCCACTGTGCATCACCCACAACACAGAAGCAAAGGATACATTCATTCATTCATTCATTCACTAACTACCTTTCTTAACAGCAGTTGAACTTTTAGATGAATCTTCAGTGTCTACATGTCTACACTATTTTCATTGCACTGTATGTGGGTCATTTAAATGACCTCACATTTCTTGCAAGCATTGTACAAAATTCTGAAATCACTGCCGTGATCTCTGCTCAATGATTTTGACCTCCTAATTGTGTAATGGACTGCCTGTCTTTCCTACCAAAGATTTTTCTCAAAGTAACAGTGTTGGAGTCACCATATTTCAACATGCGCTACAGCTTTTGTTTAGCACAACACAGAAAGGTTGATTCTACAAGTGCAGCTGACAGAGGAACAAATACTATCTTATAATAATGAGGGCCTACCTCTGTAGTACTACACTTCTATCCAATAGCAACCTTAAAAGTAGGCTGCGCCTGCCAAATGTTTTGGACTACAGTTCCAATAACTCCTGGAGGGAAGGGGAGTCCACCAGATCTGGAGAGGACAGGCTTCTCTAGCCCTTTAGAAACCTGGAGTTGGATTCCCCTACAATGAACCAGAAGGGCATGCAAGATGAGCTCCTAGTGCTTCTAGCAGATGAGTCATTGTCTGGGCTGTCCTAGGCCTCTGAGAACTGCATTGAACAGAGCACCCCTGGTCTCACTTCTGCAGTCGTAGTCTGAGGCTACTGGAGCAAACACCTTGCACTACAGATAGGACTATCAACTGGGGTGCAGCTGTTGCCATTTTACAGGGCTCAGTCTCAATTTGTTGTTGAAGCAGCTACTAGAGTTCTGCCTTCTTATAGCACCACCTGAGCCTTGCCTCCAGCCTGAACCCTACCTTGCTACAGAGCAGGACAACACAAACTCATTTAAACCTTAATTGGCTGCAGTTAAAGAGGTTAGAGTCATCACTCTCCCAGTCGTTTCATTAGGAAGAGTAGGATTTAAGAGCAAGAATAGATGAAACTACAAATATGGACTGCATGCAAAAGAGAGAGAGCAATGTCAAGGCTCCCAACTCACAGTGACTTGGAAGATGGTTTCTTCATGTCTGGCCACTTTCGACGTTGAAATTGCCTTATGTCCGAGCCGCAAAAAGAGAAAAAAGTTAACCATGTCAAGAAAACCACCAGCACTACAGCACAGAAGAAGGGGGGGTGAGGGTTTTAGTATGTTTCATATGCTACACAAGTATTGTTACAGGAGGGAAGAGTTAAGGTAGGTACAGCGGGGCTGCATGCTTAGGCCTGTGCCCAAACCCCTTGACAGTGATCTTCTGTAGCAGAGTCTTTTGTCTCCCTCACCCAACTTGACAACACATACCCAAGTTGCCTCTTCCCTCTTATACTGTAGAATTATGCTATAAAGTGAAACCTATCTACCAATGAAATAGCTAGAGGGACCCAAACTTCTGGAACCACCCAGAGAGAGTATCCTAGTTCTAACCCCACAGCCTAAGTCTTCTTGCCCATATCTTCCCATAACCTATTGCTCACTGGGGAGAAAATAATTATATTTTTAGTAGTACCTGTATTGCTCATAGCTTCCATCTTTAAGGCCTGAAGGGGGAGAATATATTATTGGTTATACAGCAATGACCACAGGAGTGGGGGAAAGAACATTGTAAGGCACAATTTAAAAAGGGGAAAGGCATCTTATTAAAAGAAAACACATTGCTGTCTGTGAAAGTTTCCAAGCAGAGAGATTTAAGGATCTGCACTCTGAGTGAAGATTTTGGTTCCATCCCCTTGGAGGAGAGGTTAAAAGTCAAGCTCCTTGTTTTAAATTTACATTGCCTGCCTGCTATTGCAGCATCTGGTCAGTTAAGACAAGTTGTTTGGAACAGAAACAAATTAATGGAACAATTAAACTTACACGTGTGGCCACTGGGTTAAGCCCCCAACACTTTCCCCGATTGCTGCTGTTCTCTGTTGCAAATGCACTTAGAAAGTTAACAAACAAAGCATATGTACCCCTTAAACTGGTCTCTGGTTTTCAAAATCTTACTATGACTTCTTGATTCCCAGCAATTGTATCAATGCAGGAGAATAAATTTAGCAGAAGGTAGAGACCATGTGATCCGTGTGATCCGTGCATCCATGTGATCCGTGCACCTCATTATTTTGTTTATCAGAAAATACTTCTATAAGGTCATGTTCAACTTCTGATTACAGTATACCCTCATCTAGTTTTCCTGTTTAATATAGTTAATGGTTCATCTACAAGTCTTTTTTTTCAAAAGTGCCACCTCAGTTACTTTAAACACTCTAAAAAAGGCGAAGATAAGAGACCCCTCACCGAGTTCCATGTTCCGAGTCCTTGGGTTACATTGCTTATACCCTTTGCAGCTTCTTAGTTCCATAAGCTGCACGTGCAGTTGATTGAGGACATCTCTGTCTAGTGTGTTCACTGCATTAATTAGCTGCAGATTAAAAAGTTTTGTTTTTGTTAAAGTCATACCATTTATTCAGAGGACATTGTAACATCTTTTGGATGCTCACCAAGAGGTACATTATTAGCAACCAAATACCATATATTACAACATGTAGAGGCTCCAATCACAACCTCCAAGGCCAAATTGGCCTTCCCAAGCAAATGACTATGTTATGTGTTAAATTAGTAAATTTGATGTATTGGCTACAAAACTCTACAGCCACAGATTAACTGTAAAAAGGGGGATTATAATAGAGGGAGAACGATGGTAAAAACTCCTGCAGCTGCCTCCCCCCTCTGCCCAGTTGGTTTTTGGGGGAAGGAAGGGAAGGCAAAGATGGTAGTGGATACATGCACTGGAGTGCACACTACTTGGCCCACACTTCCTCATAAGGAAACAACCTTATTTGAGTCTTCACAGTATCTCTACAGACAGACCTTCACAAGCAAAAACCTATTGGCCATCAATGAAGATCTTTACATACACAATAAATGCAGCCGTAAGTCTGAACTATGCATCACCATTGCAGGCATGCATTTTGGCCAACAGCAAATGTTTTGTGGGCCTTTCATGGAAAAGAATCTGCACCACCAGATATATCAGTTGCATTTGATAATGTAGACTGTTGCTTAACAGAGGAAGGGTCATAGATCCATTAGCAGAGCACATCTCTCTTCTTCACATGCTAAAGGGACTGGAAAAGACTGGTTCAAAACCCTAGCTTGCCATTGCCAGTCTGTGTAGATCAGGGATGGGGAGCCTATGGCCCTCCAGATGTTGCTGGACTACAACTCCCTTTATCCTCTACTATGTTGCCTGGGGTCAATGAGAGTTGGTATCCAACAACCATCTGGAAAGCCGCAGGTTCACTTTCCCTGATGTTGACAATACAGAGCTGTATGGCTCAATAGCAGGCTTCCTCAACCTCGGCCCTCCAGATGTTTTGAGACTACAATTCCCATCATCCCTGACCACTGGTCCTGCTAGCTAGGGATCATGGGAGTTGTAGGCCAAAAACATCTGGAGGGCTGAGGTTGAGGAAGCCTGCTCAATAGCCTGACTCTGGGGATGTGACCTATATTCCCAATAAAATTCATCCATTTGTTCTATTTGTTTATGTTTAAGAGCATCTTGGGTGGACTTGAGTAGAGGAGGGATGTATCTCCAAATAGAAAGTGGATATATTTTCCAATGCACGGCCTCAAGCGTTTACCTAGCCTACTGCATAACAAACATGGCTGTTCCTTTTAAGGCAATTGTCAAGAAAACTAAGTTAAATATGAGTTTCAGCTTCTATTCTGAGCTCTGCACAAGCCTGAATTTGCAGAAATGTTTTCCCCGCTGCAAATCCTGCCACTCTGGTTACTAGCTTTACAAAAAAATAAAAGGATACCTGGTACGGATCTGTGTTGAGATCAAAATATTCAAGGAAGCCGGTAGCAAATTCACAGAACAGGAAGTTGTGAGTCTCATTGATTGTCCTCATACACCAGTATGTGTTGTTGTTTGCACTGGTACAGGCACAGAATGGACCCACTGCAAATACAACAGTAACAATAGTTAAAGCTGAAAGTTTATAATAAAGTATGTTGTGAGATAACCCATAAATCAAGGTAGTTCCTACAAATGCATGACCACACTGGGCTCTCCTGCCCATTTCAAGCAAGACAGCAGCCCTATCTGTATATTCCCTTTACATGCAATGGTGCTTCCAATATTGCAGAAATGGGGGATCTTTTCCAGGCCACATTTCCTTGTAAGTGACCTTTTGATGGTTACAAGCCTGTGCAGAAGCAACTCTTCTTTTTGAACAGTGGGTTACATTTCACCCACACAGAAATCACAGCTGTCTACATACATACATACAGTGGTACCTCGGGTTACATACACTTCAGGTTACATATGCTTCAGGTTACAGACTCCGCTAACCCAGAAATAGTACCTCGGGTTAAGAACTTTGCTTCAGGATGAGAACAGAAATCATGCTCTGGTGGCGCGGCGGCAGCAGGAGGCCCCATTAGCTAAAGTGGTGCTTCAGGTTAAGAACAGTTTCAGGTTAAGAACTGACCTCCAGAACGAATTAAGTACTTAACCCGAGGTACCACTGTACGTACATACACACACACACACACACACACACACACACACACCTCATTCCCCATCTAGGCAAGCAAGAGGAAATATGATTTACTGACACATTCCAGCTTGGTCAGAGAACTCAAGGTGGGCATGAACCAGTTGGCAGGGGCATGGCCTGGAAAGAATTCTGAGTGCTGCATCAATAGACCTGAATGGTTCATTCAGATCCCTAACCTGTGGTTTCCCACTCTTGTTCTGTTGAAAGGAATGCGAGACACTGTGCATAGCACTCTGGATCCCATGCTTAGCAGTCTCGTATTATCTCTGAAACATCAGCACTGCAGATGGCATTGTAATGTCAAGGAGCTTCCCTGTGGATGCCTCTCCCTCACAACTGAGTCTCTGCAGCCAGTTCCCCACCACCACCTCTGAGATAAAAGGGGCAGGCCTCCCAGCTCCAAAAAGGGTGGGGTTCAGAAAGTTATTAGCACGAATGCCTCTCATCATGGAAACCAGCCTCAGGTTTGTTTCGTTCTCTCCAATCTGCACTAAAGACACAGGGTGATGATGGGTCTCTCAGGGATATAGGAGACAGCACTTCTCAGAGGAAATTTAGTTCTATTTGGGGGACGCAATTGCATGCTTGCTTGTTTTGGAAGAAGAGTGCATAAGCTAATGCACTCTTGTGCCTTGGCAGGCAACTCAACAGTCATGGTGAAGTGCATGCAGCCTTGAGTTAGTATCGGGGGAATATCTTACGTGTCCACAAGGGGGCAGTCTGCCAGTGCTGGTTGTCATGGGTGAAGCAAGTCAGGCCGGGCATACTGCACGTGTCGTTGTTTTTAATCCTCTTGAGCAGCTTTCTCAGCTTCTTCTTCCGCCTCTGCTCTCGGAGGAGCCACAGCTTGTCCTTCTCTTGCAGGGCTTTCCTACAGCACAGAGACAAGGGTGCAGGGTGAACTGATAGCTTGTTGCATAACTTATACCAGTAAATTCATGGGAAATGAGGCTATCAGTCACTACCGATCACGATGGCTATGCTCTTCATTCATTTCCTGTGTCTGGCACAGTCAAGAGGAAGGCAGATGAAGGCACCTTCAAAGAGAGTGCACCTTTCTCTATACTCTGAAATGGCACAGTCCAGAAATCCAGGTAGTGGATTGTTTTTGCTGGAACAGCACAACCAATAGCTGCAATCCCAAATGTCTCCACATTGCATGTGAAGCACACCCACTTCCCACAATCCTTGCCCTCCAACCCTTACCAATTGTTAACTGTGACCAAGATGTGCATGTGAGTCCTAGAGGCAGGAGTTGAATCCCTATCATTTCCTTATGCTTCTGGTTAGATTTTTTTGTTTGGAACTACTGCAGCAGAACTGAATTTCGGAGCATTTCACATTTGCTACTCGTCTAGTGATGCCTGCTTGCACTTACTTGAAAGGGTGGACACCAGAACCTTTGTGCCTCAGTTTGCCTTTGTGCTTAGTATGGAAGCTGCAAGACAAAAAACCCAGATGTACAATTAGCTAAGAGACGACCTCTCCTCCGTTTATGTCTTTTATACTTTCACTTCCCCATAAGCTATAGGCAGCTTATGAAGCTTGACAAAAACAATATTAAAATATAAAACAAAGGCATTAAGGTTCACTAAAAGGACAGCAGAATTGAAGTAGAGGCAAGAGACAGAGGAGGAGAGAGAACCTACCCCCCCCCACAATACACAATAATTGAAAGGAACCCCATGGATCATCTAATAGTCCAACTTCCTGCAATGCAGGAATATGGACCCATACAGGGTTCAAACCTGTGACCATGGCGTCATCAGCACCACTCTCTAACCAACTAAGCTAACCAGCAAGGCACACTATTCCCACCAAAAGCCAATATGGAAAGGGAGGGCTTTGTACTTTCTACATACGTTTGTTCTTGGTTAAGAACAAGATGGGTATAATGTGAAGTACTAAAAAGTTTCTGGCCCCTTTCAACATGTTTTTTGCTCTCTAGAGTTTCTCACTTTTTGTTTCCACACAGTAACAAAAATGAAATATAACATAAGCACTAGAGCAGCAGAGGTCCTCCCCACCCACAACCCATGTAGCTACTTCAGGTCTAGTTTTCGGAAGCAGCAGACGAGGAAGGAAACCTGCTTCTTGGTTTTACTACTTCGGACTGCAGGGCAAGCATTCCTAGCAATTCCCATGAACAAAAAGCGAGAATGTAACGGAGAAGGGCTCCATCCTAGCTGTGCCAATGGCACGCCCGTTTTCTAAATGTAGGGATTTATTTATTTATGGGTTTTGCTGCTGTTAGTTATGGAACAGGAATATTCTGCCCAGCTGTAGGCTGAAGTGGTACAGTCCAGGCACAAGTCCACTCTACCATCAGCTGGTTTTGACGACGAGGCCCACATCTTTAAATATTCCAAAGCAGGGCAATAATGAAACAAGTAATAATTCCCTTAGAGAATTATTGGTGCTCAAGATATGGGTTGGGAAAACATTACTGTGGGAATCCCAAAGAATGTGGTAGGCAAGAGAAAGCATCTCTTTGCACTGCTAAGAATTTCCAACAGCCTCATAGTTTGTATGGCCAACTTGCCCAAGCTAATAATAATAATAACCCCACCCCCACCCCACCCCAGAAACTACTTCTTAAGGTTTGCGAATCCAGTATAGGTGGAGGAGTACCTTATCTTGTTACAGTCACATTCCTCTGGTCGCTTCTTCTTCAAATGACCTCTCACCTCCCTTAGGTTTTTAATTTTATTTTGTAGAGTTTCAATCTAGCAACAGCAGAAAGTAAGGACACAAGGGAAAGCTGTAAGATGCATTGGTTAGAGTTCTACTATCCTCTCACCCAATTGGTGTCAATAACACACACACGCACCCTTTTAACATCTTCATAAACACAACCCCAATAAGGCCCCATAAGAGCTACACATTTAAAGCAGTATTGTACCACTTTAAACAAACATGGCTTTCCCCAATGAATCCTGGGAGCTTTGGTTTGTTATGGGTGTCTGAGACCTGTTAGAAGACCCCTATTCTCACACAGCTATAGTTCTTGGAGAGTTTTAACACTCAACCTGTCTTCCCAGAAAACACTGGGGATCGTAGCTCTGTGAGCAGAGCAGAGGAGTCCTAACAGCTCTCCGCATCCTTAATAAACTACAGTTCCCAGGATGGCACGACTGTTTAAAGCCAGGGGTGGCCGACCAAAGTTGTTGACCTTTTTTTAGGACTGACGTTGTTGACCTTTTTTTAACTGACACTGACCGGGTTACGCCCCCGAAACGGACTTTGGACATGCCTGGTTTAAAGTAGTACAATACTGCTTTAAGTGTATAGTGCAGATGGGTTCTCAGTCTCTTGTTGCACTTTCACCCCTCTTTGAAAAACCAAGAGATTTAAGCTGCTGTACCAAATTTTCCTCTCTAGCCAGAAGCCAAGCTTGACAGCTGCATCCTTCAGTCTGTTAAGTGACGGACATTTGGAACTGCAGAAGAAATAAGAGCAATTTCTAGCTAGCTATTAGCTTGAATTGGCACTTGCTTTCCCTCAGGAAGATCATCGTACTTGCATCATTGCACTGCGGAGGGGAGAGCTGCATTTCTACTATTTGCAAGAAACCTTCCTAATCCTCAAAAGATGCAATATGTCAGGAACTAAGTAGGCAAACTAACACTAGCTCGTACAGTAATTTGTTGAAAATGTTGGAATAGATTGGGAGTCTCTTTAAAGACAAGGGCTGATGGTCATGTTTTTTCTTTGCCTTGTTTTAAAAAGATAAGAACAGGCACGAGGCTATGCCTATGTCTGAAGTTGTAATGAGAAAAGTATCTTGTCTCTCATTACAGAGTGATGGGGCTACACAAGTTCTTATTAGTTATTTATTACATTTATATCTCACCTTTCCTCCAAGGAGCTCAAGGTGGCATACATAGTTCTGCCTTCCCCTCCATTTTATTCTCCCAACAACCCTGTAAGGCAGATGTTAGGCTGAGAGACTGTGACTGGCCCAAGGTCATCAAGTGTGCTTCATGGTTTAGTGAGGACCAGAACCCTGGTCTCCCAGTCCTAGTCTGACACTCTAACCACTACACCACACTGGATCTAGACATGGCAGAGCACACATTTTGGGGCGTAAGGTCCCTGTTTGAACTGTGGGATCTCCAATTAAATCACATCAAACTGCAGGGATAGGAAATATTTTAGAAAGCTACTGCTAGGCAGAATACACAGCACTGGTTTAGAATAAATCTTTAGTCTGAATGCAAAGGTTGCAGGAGGGGAGAGATCAGAAAGAAGAGGATGTATTCATCCATTTTTCTGCACCCTCTTGGGGTGGCATTTATGCTGATTATATTATAGGGATGTTACTCTCTAAACATTTTTAACAGAAACACAAGGTGGGTTTCCTCATTTTTGCATGATAATATTGAATGTGTCTCTGCTATTTCTAAGCACGATACAACCTTCCTTTTCATTTTCCATGGTTGATTACTTCTATTTTCAAAATGGCTGTCATTGATTTTCTAACACTGGGCATATCGGTCAATACTGTTCAGAAATCACTACGACAACGATTCAGATCAAAAGCCCTTCCATGGACCAAGGGAAACCCTTAGGTGCATCCCTTTTACAAAAATACACTCAACAAAATGGTAAACCACCATGCACAAAACAGTGAGAAAAGCTATAATGTAGCACTACAGTGGTACCTCGCAAGACGAATGCCTCGCAAGACGAAAAACGCGCAAGACGAAAGAGTTTTTCGTTTTTTGAGTTGCTTCGCAAGACGAATTTCCCTATGGGCTTGCTTCGCAAGATGAAAACGTCTTGTGAGTTTGTTTCCTTTTTCTTAAAACCGTTAATACCATTAAAACTGTGCTTCGCAAGACGAAAAAAATCGCAAGACGAAAAAACTCGCGGAACGAATTAATTTCGTCTTGCGAGGCACCACTGTATTTCAAAGGAATTTCTGTATAGCAGCAACAATTTCTTTTGGCAGGAAGGAGCTACCAGTCTCTGCCATCAAAGGCGAAACTGTCTGCAGACTCTGACCTGGAGATGATGGGAAAGTGTGTGTGGGGGGGGGATATACTGTCAAGACTATCCATCTTCATTTGCTGCATTTGCTTAAAAAGAAAACAGATCAATTAACACAGTGAAGAGGCTTAGCACCTGGTCTCATTCTACGAAACATTTCAAGAGACCAGCAGCATCTAAACATTTTACAGCTGACCAAGCGGCACTCACTCAAAAGCTGACAGCTGTCCAGTTACTGCTTCCCCTTGATACCTTTGATCATGCTGCCACCCTCTGTTAAAAAGAATGCGGACAGCACACAATTTAGAAGAGGTAGATTCTCGGGGGCTGGAACCTACAACCTTGTCAGGCAAGTCTGCCTGAGATATTATGCAAAGTCTGGCTAAGGGTCTGCAGCCTCCCAGTTTTGTTAAGGCATCAAGATTTGCTAGTGTCTAGGAATGCAAATTCAAGTGGCGTTTCCCGTGTGTGCCAGTATATATGCAGCTGTCAAAACCACTCACCTCATGGTCTATATGAAGCTTATGGTCCTTCCAAGCTTGCAGTGATTTGTACAGATCTGTGTCACACTGAACAGTGTCATTCTCTAAGATGTAACATCTGGGAAGAGGGAAAAAAGGTCACTGGACTGGCCAGCAGAGCAACGACTGGAAAAGGCAACATACCATAGCTGTCAACTTTCAGATTTGAAAATAAGGGATCAGCAGCCTCACCTGTCCCGGGGACAGTCTACGGGATATCTAACAATCCAGGATAGCAGCGGGAAGCGGCGATGTAATAAGGGAATTTCCCGCAAAAAAAGGGAAGGTTGACAGCTATGCAACATACTTACTCTAGAAGAAAGCATCAAGCGCATGAACAGGGGTGCAAAATGGCCCCCCAAAGGTGACATACAGCATTTGACCATTGTTAAGATGTGTATGTGTTAAGAAGCATCGCAATCTATTTTATAATCCCTTCCCCCACTTTGGAAACAGAAGCTGCGATCAAGCCATTCTTTTAGCCCTTGGAATTCACAATGTTGTCCTTAATGGGCATACATTGTAGTATTTCAGTGTCCGTGATAGAGCTTCCACTACATAGTAGCTTATATTTCCCAATCATCTTGAAAACTGATTTGAGAGTTAAATTGGACAGATGTGGTCCTCAACATGCCCATAAACTCTCTTGGATTAGAGCAGCGGTTAAAATTTAACACCCTGCTCTTTCATTTGTTCCATCAGCAGAAACATTGCAGCTTGCCAGATGGAACTATCCCCCCTTCTCCTCCTGCTTTCTGTTCTGGGGACTCTCCCATAGCTATTTTTTGGGGGGTGGGGGAAGCCCCATTGTGCAAGCAGAAGACCTTGTTCAGGGCCTGGTTAGGTGAATTCTGCCCACTGTCTTGTATTTTGCATTTCACTTTTAAAAATAAAATAAAATGTATAAACAACTTGATCAAAATGTTCTCCAAGCAGCGTACTAATAAAAAGAAAATAGGTGAAATCCCCAAAATAATTAAAAACAAATCTCTACACTCTTAACAAACTACACTTCACAGGATGCTTTAGGAGAAGCCATGACTGTTTAAACAGGTTTAATAGTGCTTTAAATGCACAGTGCAGATGGGGCCTTGCCACTCTACAAAGTGGCACATATACTGCTGTAATGGTAATTTCAACTATGCTTCAGTAGGACTTACCTATGTGTCACTTTTATTAAGTTAGGGGCTGCATTCTCCAAAATGCTGCCTGTTCCACTGTATTCCTCCACATCCTTATCATCGTCTTCTCCTTCAGCATCTTTATCATATTTGTTCTTAGCTGTGATATTTCTGGGTAAGACAGGCTGGTAGCCATCCTCCAAATCCAAGTTGTACACCTCTCCATCAAGCTCAACAGCCACCGAACGAATTGAGCGACTCCGAATATAGCTTGCCTTGTATTCTGTGGAAAGGAGGACAAAACAGAGCTTGCCTTTCTCTGTCTTAATACAGCATATGCGGGTTTGACATGCAGGAAAGTGTTTGGAAAACTGACTCAGAGGTTAAGTCAGAAATGGCCAAGTTCTCTGATCCTGGGGAACACACTAATTCTTCAGATTGCAGTCTGGTTCCAGAGGTAAGAGACCAGCCCTTGCAGATGTGGTCAGGTTTTATCATAAAATCAGCACTGCTGTGGAAGTCTTAGAGATTATGGGGCACATGCCATTCAGTATGCTCAGGACATCACATGAAAATCAACATGGAAATATGGAAACATCTCTCTTATCTTACAACTCCAGCAAACAACGTTGTCTTCCTTACAAGTAAAACTCATCTATCTCCTACCACAATAACATTTGACAGGGTTGACAGAAGCCAGACAATTGCTTTAGTGGGCAAGAGCAGGGTTTCTCAAACTTGGGTCTCCAGCTGTTTTTGGACTACAACTCTCATCATCCCTAGCTAGCAGAACCAGTGATCGAGGATGATGGGAATTTTAGTCCAAAAACAGCTGGAGACCCAAATTTAGGAAACCCTGGGCTAGATGCCCACAAGATGTCTGTTGGACCTCCCAGGCTGAGATTATCTTTCTGCTGGTGTGGGATTAGACAAACCTCTAGGTTGCATTTTTATACACAACCAGTATCAGTCCATTAGTTAAAGTATTGGAATCAGTTAAGTCCCACCTTTGCTATGGAATCATCCTGAGGAGCAAACCTCTTGCCCGCCAAATTTCCCACCTGCAATTTGAGAATAATAAACCCTAAGTAGGTTCCCATGAGAAAGCAAAAATAAAGATGGGCAAGAGCTTTGTAAAATTGTGTTATATACATGAGTATCAGCAGCAGGAAGAACAGCAGCAGCAGCATAAGCAGTAGTATATTGGGTGTGTGTGGATTTTTAAAAACAGAATGTTTCTATGCGTCTTCTTCTTTGGCAATCCATCATGGCCGAATAAGATTGTCTTGCATGAACACGGTCTTAACGGTGTGCCCGTAAGTGACTGTGGAGGCCAGTTCTGGATCCACATGTCCTTCCACAGTGGGGACATAAGAACTGAGAAACAGTTTCTACGCAAATGGAATTCTGGTTCTAAATGCAGCATAAGGGGTCTCTATAGTATAGTGTATTTTAAAATGGGGTTTCAGAGTTTTTAGGGGTTTTTGAATGTTTTATGTAGTTTTTCAATTTCATTGTTCTGCATGGGACAATGACAATAAAGATATCGTATCGTATATGTTGATCATGGTGAGGATTTGCCAAACATGCCTTCGTTTCTCTGCATGAAATAATGCTGTAAAGAATTTCTGTCTAATAATTTACTTACAGCCACGAGGTGGCAGTAGACACCCAGAATACTGAAAGGAAGATATGAGAATTATGTCCGTTGCCAACAACTTATGCCAAATAACAACTGTCTCTTTAAGAACCCTTTAGGGAGTTGCTGGTGGCCTTTCCTTAAAATTTCCTCAGATACAGAATCCTTAACTTTCCCCATGGAGACAAATCAGAGACACACCTGAGTTAAAGAACATGGTTTTCTCATTTATCCTCTCTACCTGGTCTCTCTTGATTTCAACTCCATTCTAAAAAATCAAGCAGGTTTTAAACTTCCTATCTTTAAGCTCTAGGTCCAGGACCATCATTCAATATTCCTCTGCTGCTTGTATTTTCTCTCCCATTCAGACAAGCAAACTTCCTAAGTGAAGCTCTGCATAGTCTGGGCTGCAAAAGCTCTTTCCTCTGGGCACAGAAAGCCCAATCAACTCAGCAGGTGCACCTCCACAGGCACATACCTCCACATGTGGTGGGAGTGTCCCAAAATCCAACTATTCTGGACAACAGCCATACAAGAAATATGTAAAATAACTAAGCAAGTAATAGACATCACCCCAGAATTGGCCCTACTAAACATCTTCCAAGACAACAATGCCCATTTACACCACAAAGAACTCATAACCCACCTGCTCTCAGCAGCCAGAAACACCATAACCAGACACTGGAGAGACCTGTCAGGAGTAAGCATGGACCAATGGTACCAAATAGTATGGGAAACAGCCCTACTAGAAAAATTAACTAATAAACTGAAACTGACACAGGGACAAACAGAAGAAGACGCCTTCACCCGTGTATGGCTCCCCTTTATCACATACACAGCCCAACAGGACAATGACAATAATCCACCAACAGCATACAAATCAATATGGCTAACCTGATCCAAAACACCCACCCACCTCACTCACACACGAAAACAAAGATCACCACAGCCAATCACAAGCAAACAATCACACCCTAGGCCAACCCCAACCTCTCTCACCACCAAAGGAACACAAGTGAACAACACAAGCAACGCTGACACCAAACTCTACATACATTAAACATAATAGAAACACCGCCCCCACCCCCATCCATCTTCCCTCTCTCCACCCCCCCTTTCTTTTTTCTTTCTTTTTTCTTCTCCCCCTAATGCCTCAACAAATGAAACGGAATTGTAAAAATGTTACATGAAAAAAAAATACGAGGCACTACACTTCTGTAAAACAAGAAAATCCTTAATAAAATATTAAAAAAAAAAAAAAACCTCAGCAGGGTTGAATACTGCTGGGCTACCCTTGCAAGCTCACTGTCGGCTGTGTCAGCTTACACCTCTCTTAACAAAAGAGTTGTGTGGTTTAATAGCAGAGCCATCTGCTTTGCGTGCAGAAGATACCAGGTTCAATCCCTGGCATTTCCAGGCAGGGCTGGGAGAAACCAGTTTGAAATTCTGGAGACCTGCTGCCAATCAGTATAAAGATGAACCAGTGGGCTGTGTCAGTATCATGAAGTTTGCTGTGGTCACACTCCTGATCAATAGCTGTTGCTGGCATTGTTTTAGGGCAGGGATCAGCAACCTTTTTCAGCAGGGGGCCGGTCCACCATTCCTCAGACCATGTGCTGGGCTGCGCTATATTTTTTGGGGGGCGAAATGATCAAATTCCTATGCCCCACAAATAACCCAGAGATGCATTTTAAATAAAAGGACACATTCTCCTCATGTAAAAACACACTGATTCCTGGACTGTCCACAGACCAGATTGAGAAGGCGATTGGGCTGCATCTGGCCCCCAGGCCTTAAGTTGCCTACCCCTGTTTTAGGGGGAAAGGCAAAGCAAAATGACATCAGAGTGGCTGGAGTAACCCAGTATATTGGACATTACGAAGGTGGAGGGGAAAGTTTGACATACCTTTTCAGTGTTGGCCCCTCTCATTTTTAGTAATGTTTGACTCTCACCAGATGGCTTTGCACAAGCTACTCTTTCCCAGTCTCCATCACCCTCCCTTTATCAGCAGCACTGAGATAATATTACTACTACTACTACTACTACTACTACTACTAATAATAATAATAATACTGACCTACCTTTAAGGATTATGCCAAGGCCTACTGAAGGGAGTATATGAGAAATGCTACATAAATACAAATTTATATCTGAAGTACTTATTATCGCAATTATTTCAACCCCTGTCCTAATTACTCCTCACACTGAATCATCATTTCGCACTGTTTTCAGCACACTGAGCTGATGAGTTCACTTGAGCTTTTTCACCACCTGGGACTCAGGCTTTCCACCTGAGGTTCAGCCAGGTGAATCATAGCTCAAGGGGGAGAAATAGGTTCTAATTTATGGAACATTTGACTAAAATGTGGGAACTCCCTTCCTTTTCAATACATAGAGGAAGTCCCAAGGAGCTACACCCAAATAGTTATAAGAAACAAAGGGAGGCTTTCTTAGCAAGAACCAACTTCCTTTTGTTGTTGACCTTCTTCTCTGTATGCATGAGCTGCCAATTTTTCTTTTCTTCCAAATATGTCAATACTGAACAAAATGTTCTTTTTTAAAAAAAAACATCCAACAACCAATGGGAGATACATGTGTAAATATTTGTACAAGTTGAATGGAGGAGAGGGTATTTGAATATATATATATTTAAATGATGGCTTCATTTTCAGCTTCAAACAGCTATGAATGCCTATATCTAAGCTAGAAGAAGAAGAAGAAGAAGAGTAGTAGTAGTAGTAGTAGCAGTAGTTTGGATTTGATATCCTGCTTTATCACTACCCTAAGGAGTCTCAAAGTGGCTAACATTCTCCTTTCCCTTCCTCCCCCACAACAAACACTCTGTGAGGTGAGTGGGGCTGAGAGACTTCAGAGAAGTGTGACTAGCCCAAGGTCACCCAGCAGCTGCATGTGGAGGAGCAGCGATGCGAACCCGGTTCCCCAGATTATGAGACTACTGCTCTTACCCACTACAGCACACTGGTTAGTTGGTAAATCCAACTGGCTTTTGGGTCCCTTTTTAGATCCAGGAGCCAATGTATTTCTTTCTTTCTCTGTCTTTTACTGTTATTTGGTCATCTGTGGGGAACCTCTGGTTCTCCAGATGTTGCTGAACTGTGACATCCATCAGCTCTAGAAAGCATGGCAAGTGGCATGGGATGATGGGCACTGATGTTCCAGGAACACCTGGAGGGCCAAAGGTTCCCCACACCTGCATTAGGCTGACTCCCTCACAAGCCAATAGTGTAGTAGCAAAACAGGGAGATGAACTGTTGTTTCTGTGTTGTGTGATGAGATTCCAGGAACAACACCTGGAATAATTACAATAATTGCAGTGGAAAAGGAGGCAATGCTTTATAAGGAAAAGATAAACTTTGCATCTTGCACAAGCATGATCAGCATTCAGGTTGCTATTAACTGTTCTTTAAGTACTCATCATTCACACCTGATTACTAGAATGCACCTGCCAAGCCAATTGCTTGTATCTCAGAGCATGGGTAAATGATGGTTCTCTCAGGAAAAAGCAGAGGGACTGAAATGAATCCCACAGTTTCCTTATCCTAGGATTTCCCCCACAACATTCTTTCTGCATAAAGCAGAAAGGTTTGAATATCTGATGAACAATGGAAGAGCCGTCCCATTTCTTACCACTGAATGACTAGGTTGGACTAAGCAGTGGACACTTCATAACTATTATAATTTATTTATTCATTTTAAAAAAACTAAATTAAAAAACAGCTCTTCTACACACCGCAAAAATTAACATATTAGCACAAGTCAGCCATACCTCATGCCTTCAACATAACTTATTCTCAGTAAATATTGAAACATCATAGTTCCCTCCAAAGAAGAAAAATTACTTCCATATGTTGTTATTCCAAATCACATTAATTTGACTAAGCACTAGTCAATAATTAATTAACCACCCACCCAATCAAATAGTCAGCAGTGTTGACTGTTCTCCGGAAGCTAGTTTAAGCTTTCTCCTGGTGCTGATGAAAATCCCAACATTCCTGGAACTACAAAAAGTTTGTGGCCCACAAAACCTCTGCCCCCCCCAAAAAACACAACAACAACAACAACAATTTGCTGTTGGCAGTAGTTTGCTTTTTAAAAAAATAAATAAAAATAAAATCTGGCCACTATTATTCTTGTTATTAAATTTCTATCCTGCCCTCCTTAAGCAGCCACAACCAGGTAGCAAAAACAATCCAATTAAAAATAAGATGAAAACATGTCCCATGGTGCTCTGCTGTCCTGCTGCTGTGTTTCTGCAGGTATGACTATGTGGTGTGCATATCTGACAAATGTGTGTGTGCTAAAGGAGCAGCAACAGTCCGTTAACATGTCGCCCTCCAAGAGTTGGCCAATCTCGAATGAGGCTTTCAGGGCTGAAAATATCAACCCTCCTTGTTGTACGACAAACCAATGAACTACTGTGCATTTACTGCATGAACGAAATATTGTTTGGAAAGGCACTTGGGTTTCTGACACCTGTAAACTGAGATAACCACATGGTTAACTAGAGTGTTGTGAGGATTTGGAAAGGTTCCAATAAATTATTTGCCTATGCTTGATCTGCGTAAAGTACCATAAGTGATGATATTCTGCCCCACTTAAGTGTAACTTTTTAGGTATACTCTGCCTCCCACTTTAAGCATAACTTTGTCAAATTAAGTGCCTCCTGATTAAATTTAACTTTGTCAAATTAAGTGCCTCCTGATCAAATTAAGTGCCTCCTGATTTCCTGCTTGGCAGGGGGTTGGACTTGATGGCCCTTGTGGTCTCTTCCAACTCTATGATTCTATGATTCTCCAGAAGTCGCTAGTGAGTCCATGCAACTGTGCTCACTGTTCCAGGGCGTCTTCGTTCAAGAACAAGTTAATTGAACTACAGCTCAAGCATTATTTAAAGATTATCTGTAGTACCACAAATTCCAAGCAGCAAGAGTAGCTGGCGATTTCACCTGAGAACCAATGATTTTATTCACCTAAAAATTAGCTTAGCAGTTACTAATCAGCTTGCAAGGCAAATATAAAGGAAGAAAATCAATTTAAACTCCCTGTTTGAAGCTTGTGCCAGGTCATTACCGAGAAAGCCTAATCTGCTGAATAATTAAGGCTCTGCATTTGTGGAGCGAGGCGAAGGAAACTTTACAGACGAATAATAATTCTGAGCTGCTGTTTTGGCTCTTTTAATCTATAATTAGACTATGCACTTCAAATATAGATATTAACCTGACTCAAGTTTAAAAGGAGAGCCTGTGGAATAGGCTATGTCAAAAAAGCACCTGGGCTTTGACAAGGAAAGTCATTCTGTTTGGGAGGCAACTCTGGTTCAATGTCAACAGCGGCACCTGTCGCTCAACCCGAGAAGAGAATATTACAAGCAAGCAGCTTTGAGAACAAGCAAGTCCACCCAACGTAATTAATGATGCTGTAACACCCATTCTCTGCTTGCTTGTTCTCCCATCAGCACACAGAGGGGAAAGTAGGGACAAGTTCCCTGGCATCACGTCCCTTGCCAGCCCTGCCTTCTGCCCATTAGTTGAAGAGATCTGAAAGAGAGAACTGCTCTAAGGCTCTTGATCATGCACGATTCTAAATAGTGCAGTGAGCCCATTCACAAAGAACAGGCTCTGTGCTACAGACCTTCCTGAATGAGAGCTGGGCCCTGCCAGGCACAGCTAGGATGATCTCCATGTTGGTGGAAGCAGGACCAGAGGAATAAACCATTTCTACACATGTCGCTTTGGGTGCCGTCACTTCTTACCTCTTTGATACGCAGCTGCACTTGGAAGGCTATTATTCTGTTGCTCAAAAGGAACTTGACCTCACAGGACTAGAATGACCTGTGCAGCCTGCAAAGTAGATCCCCAAGTCAGCTTTTGTGCAGCCTGCCAGCTGCTGTACTGCTACTTTTGAAGCAGGCACAACAAGCATTTGGGTGTGACCTCAGTTGTGCTCGTCATAGCCCAGAAGTAACGTTGGGCTTCTAATTAACTCCGGGGTTTTCTTTAATTTTATTTAAAGCTTGGCAAATGCTTGGAAATTATCCCACGCTCTTTCATACTTATCTGATCATACTTTTCTTTCCTATTGGATTTTAACTTTAGTTTGTTCTGAATGTCATACTGTGTTTTGGTTACTGTAAGGTGTCTTGAATTTGATGGGAAGTTTGGGCTAAAGACTTTCAAATAAACACACAGTATATACATAACAGACATGTAAATTTGAAATGTGGTTTTAAAAGTTGAGCAAGGTTCACATAGGTATTTGAAGTGCATGAACAATTCTGGGCCAGGATACCTAAAGGACTTTCTCCTTCCATGCAAGCCTGCCTACCAAATACCGTATTTTTCGCTCTATAGGATGTACCCGACCATAGGATGCACTGTCTTTTAGAGGGAGAGAACAAGAAAAAAAAAATCTCCCCCTCCCTGGAACGGAGCCCCTTCCATTTCTCCTCCCGCTTCGCTGAAGGGGCGCTGCGCAGCTCTCCCTCTCTGCTGAAGCCAGGACAGTCCTGCTCTCCCGGCTTCAGCCTCTGGAGCACAGCGGGACCTCCCACTGTGTTCCGGAGGCTTCAGGCGGCTATCCCTGAAGCCTTCGGAGTGCAGCGCGAGTTCCCACTGCGCTCCGGAGGCTTCAGGTTCCTTTCGCTGAAGCCAGGAGTGTCTTGCTCTCCCGGCTTCAGCAAAAGGAACCCAAAGCCTCCAGAGCGCAGCGGGACAGCCTGCTGTGTTCCAGAGGCTTCAGGAGGCTATCCCTGAAGCCTGGAGAGTGAGAGGGGTCGGGGCGCACCGACCCCTCTCGCTCTCCAGGCTGCAGCAAAAGCAACGCGAAGCCTCCGGAGCGCGGAGGGAGTGCTCTCTCTGTGCTTCGGAGGCTTCGCATTGCTATCGCTGAAGCGAAGGAGCCTGCATTCGCTCCATAGGATGCACACACATTTCCCCTTAATTTTTGGAGGTGAAAAAGTACGTCCTATAGAGCAAAAAATACGGTAGGTTCTCCTTGGCAGCACAGGTGCAGCTGGTAAAGACATTGAAGCCTTCTCAGTGGCTGCACTTCATTGTGCAACTCCCTGTTCAATGAGGCTCATCTCGCCACCCCTTCCAGTTCTGATGGCCTTTGGCAATTTTGCAAAGACCTTCCCTTTCTGGGCAGGGTCTTGGCCAGTCAAGTTTAAGCTCCTTTGCACTTGTATTCTTCCATTTTAACTTCTAATATTTCTTATTGTTGAGATGTCATTTCTGATTTTTCAATATGTCATAAGCTACCTTAAGCACTTTATTTAAAAATATGGGATTTGAATGAATACACCCCCCACCCCAGTTGTACCTTGGAAGTTGAACGTAATCCGTTCCGGAAGTCCATTTGACTTCCAAAACATTCGGAAAACAAAGTGTGGCTTCTGATTGGCTTCAGGAAGCTCCTGCAGCCAATCGGAACCTGCAGAAGCCCCATTGGACATTTGGCTTCCAAAAATAGTTTGCAAACTGGAACAGTCACTTCTGGGTTTGCGGCATTTAAGAGCCAAAACGTTCGAGAACTAAGCTGTTCAAAAACCAAGCTACGACTGCGTGTGTGTGTGTAGTTTAATTATTCGGGTCAGGTTTTTCTCCACCATGCAAAGAGACAAGAAACATGACCGTTTACTTACTCTTCTTGGAGAAGAGCTTCTTTCGCCGCCCGATGGGGCTCAGCTTGTATTCGTTCTCCTCGCAGTAGCAGTCCTCATTGTTCCTGCTGTAGTACTTGGGCATGAGGTTGGAGACACCTTTGCTGCTTCCTGGAGCGGTAAGGCTGGCCATCCCTTTGCATTTGTGCAGCTTGAGCCTCCCGCTGGCATCTTCCATGCACTGCCATTTCTGAAACGGAAGGGAAATGTTCCCAAAATGGCATGATAGAGGCAAATGTTCTTCTACGTACTTTGGACATTCAAAGTTGGTTGGTAGTATTCTCAGAAGATCAAATCACAATTATCTGTCCCATAGCAGATGTTGTTAATTCGACAGAAACATGATAGTGGTGTAGAAGAGCTACGGGGTGTGTGTGTCACATTTGGCAACCAATGCGCCCCCTTGGCTTTCAGATAGTACATGGATAGATGAGTCTAAAAAGCCAGGGACACAAATTTTCACGGCCCTCCAGTGACTATGGTGGCTCATTTACCAGAGGCTTAGTTGGGTTAGAATCAAGTATACCAGGCATAGGCAACCCTCGGCCCTCCAGATGTTTTGGCCTACAACTCCCATGATCCCTAGCTAACAGGACCAGTGGTCAGGGATGATGGGCATTGTAGTCCAAAACATCTGGAGGGCTGAAGGTTGCCTATGCCTGAAGTATACATTTCCAGACTTTTATACATAAATAAAAGGACATTTTATCAATTTTCCAAAGACTAAAAATAATGTTGCATGTCCAGGTTTAACCAACTCATCAAAATGCAACACTGAATATTGTCTTGTGCAATATTATGCATGTTTACTCAAAAGCAACATCCACTGTATTTACGGGCCTGACTTCCTAGTAAGTGTGTTCTGGTTTGATGCCTTAGTGTGAAACTCTGTATCTACTTTTCTGAGAGTAAAGTCTACTGAACTCGGTAGGAAATACTTTTCAGTAGACATTATTATTTTGTTGAAGTCCCCCTTCCTCAATCAAGACAGTTGTTGATAGCTCATATTCCTATGCCTTGGTGATATGAAGGAGAAGTGAAAATCTCCCCATTTCAGCTGCTATGAAAACTTGGGATATGCTTAAAAGATACTTAAATCCATCAATATCTGCAATGGGTTTTTTAGTTAAAATGAAATATTAAACATAGCAAAGTAATCTGAAATTTTCGGTATGAAGTGGTTAAGACTGCTAAGGTGCTTTAAAACATTGACGCTCTATGAGATTTAATGAATTTAAGAGGGACTTCAATGGTCAGAATTTGCAACATCCAATATTTTCAACTGAGAAGTTACATGAACAGTGAAATCACAAACTTTAATGAGCATCTCTGCCTGAAATTGATTATTATCAGTACAAGTTCAAAAGGATTGTTAACAACTATTCCAGCTAATTGTGACGGAGGCAATACAGAGTGGAAATAAATTTAAAGCATGATGTGAAATGAAGCCAGGTTCAACAAGTATGGAAACAGACTGGATTGTGGTGGTAGTGTTGTTTTTAAGTAGAGCAACAAATTCTATTTGTAATATTAAAAGCTTTTAAGATAATGCTGCTACTGAACATTAAACAAGACGAACAAGATAAATAAGGCCAATATTGTTTTCAAATATAAGACAAGGAGATGGAGGTTGTTTCTAAAGTACCTAGCTTCCATATAATCTAGGTTTTTATAGACAAGACCAGCTCCTTAGTTTGTGGCCAAGAAGCTACAATGAACCACTATGAACTCGCACTCTAAACCCCTATATAACTGGCGCCTGATGGTCCATCTCTTTAAAACAAGCTAGTGTCTTCATTCTGCATCAGTAGCAGTCTGTGAACTGTCTTCAAGGGCAAAGAAGTAACAGAAGTAAAGTCTTACACTCACAAAGGCAACATGGACCTAGCACTGAAGGCACAGATACACAAACAGAATTCACATAAGTATCAGTGGATGCAGAATGCTGATTGGTTCGTGTGTATGTGTTGGAGGCGGGGCAGGGAGAAAATTGGGTGGGTGTGGGGAATGGAATATCATGGTGGATGAAGGAGGGCAAAAACAACTGACTGAAACACAGGCACTCTCTTAACTGCAACTTTTTGTTGCAGATCCATCTTGCTTCCTGAAGAAAAGATTGTCTGTAGGTGATACACATCAAATGTACAACTACTGAGTAGAATCAGGGGAAAATCTTGATGGGAAGGGCAATAATGACCATGTCTGTGCTTTTTTCTTTCATCCAAGTCTGTTGCTATTTAACCTCTGAAGATGATTTGTTGGGGGGGGGGAGGCGCAAATATCTTGTGATTGGATTCAATAAACTAAATATGCAATAAAACAGACATATTTCAGTTTTAAATATTAAAGGCTGTCTCTGCTGGTGTTCCAAGTTATGCTGTAGTCTAAAAATATTACCCTCTGGATCCCAATTATTCTGTTATAAATTTCTGGATTTATGACTCTGTACCATTGGGAAGGATTTTCCAAACTTCTTGTTCTTGTTTTCCGAAGACAGGGACACAGCTCTTACTTGAAGCAACTGTTTACAGCTGGTCATGGCTTTGAGCTAAAGTGAGACTGCATACGATTTCTTTAATTAAAGCAAAACATTTTTTATTTTATTTTTTGGCAACAGCTTTTCCCTGCTACCTTTTAGTTGCAAAGAATAAATATGTATTTTCTGCTACCAGTTCTTGCTGAAACCGGTTACCTCCAGTCACTACTGGCTGCAAAATGGTTGTGTTACTGGTGCAAACACCTGCTTGGGTAGTTCTTGTTATACCACTGAGGGCATATCCTTCCTAATGCTCTACACTTACACTAATGTAAGCATTTTAAATCTGAGTTATTTAAAACTAACTTGTTCTGCTTTTCTTTTCCCCACTCTCTTTTAAAAAAAAGATCTTCTGGAGTGCTTTTCTGCAGCAATGTCTGAGAGTTCGTGCAACTAATGCAATCTTTAGGCAGCATTAACTGAACCACAGTTTCCAGTTCACAAGAAGAGTTAAGTTTCACTTTGTTCTGCACTAGTTCAGCCACATATGGAACACTGTGTCCTTGGGTCTGGGCAAACCATACTTGAAGGAGACAAGTGAAGCCATTGTCATTTGGAATGGATTCAAAGGAGAACAGGAAAAGACAGTCAAGGGTATGGAGAATAGGCCCTTTGAGCAGAGCCAGCCCTACCATTAGGCAGAGTGAGGCAAACGCCTCAGGCAGCAGACACAGTTGGGTGGTAGCATTACCTCCCTGGCCATTCCCCTCCACTGAAAGGCAGAGCTGTTCCTCCTACATGGCCTGTCCTACACTCCCTTCACTAGCCATCTGCCTCAGCTGCAGTGAGGATGTTGTCTCATCACTAGTGCTGAGGCAAAATTAAGCAGCCTGTCCGGTCAGCTTCTGTACACAAAACGGGGGACATCATCTTTGCTGTTGCCTCAGACAGCAAAATGTATTAGGCTGGCACTCCCTATTACAGGGGTCAGCAAACTTTTTCAGCAGGGGGCCGGTCCACTGTCCCTCAGACCTTGGGGGGGGGGCAGACTATATTTTGAAAGAAAAAAGAATGAATTCCTATGCCCCACAAATAACCCAGAGATGCATTTTAAATAAAAGCACACATTCTACGCATGTAAAAACACGCTGATTCGCGGGCCGGATTTAGAAGGCGATTGGGCTGGATCCGGCCCCCGGGCCTTAGTTTGCCTGTCTATGCCCCATTATAATCAATATGCCACCAATTCAAATTGCTGGTTTTGACCTATAAAGCCTTTTAAACAGCTTATGAACCCCCATATGAACCAACCCAGAAAAATCGATCAGAATCAAGGAAGAAAGTCTAAATCGTTTCTGCAATCATAGAGATTTTTCAAACGGCCCCTAGTGTGATGGTATCAATTTCTGAATAGGAACAGTGCAGTACTGATCTTGTGCCACATGCCTCTCCCCAAAGTGCCAATTAATACATGCAAAATAGCTATGGCCCTTCTTGAAGTATTTTACACACTGTGTCAGTTTTGTCACCTGCGTGAGAGCCCCAGTAAATTCCTACTATATTACCCTATAAAGTATGCAAGTCAAAGGTCTCAGTCATTTTTGCTGTGTCATGCATGAAGAATTCCTATATAGTAGAGGAAAATCACAAAACTGGTATATTACTTTGGTCATCTGGTGACATCAAACAGGCCCTATATTCACACTCTGACACCTTCAGCAGTCAGGAGGGCATAACTTAAGAAGGAAGCAGTCAATCAGTTCTTGGCAAGGGTAAAGGGATAGGCCTGGAGGCTGCAGATAATACACTGGGATATGTCAGTCAGTTTCTTCCACTGATTAAACCAATTCCTTTGCTCAGCTCTGCTAAATTCTTAATGCAAGTAAGGTTTATTTAAATGCAATTAAAAGGGAATTTGGCCTTTTGTAGGAATGCCTCACTGTTATTAGCTGTAAGCAACTATGTTCCTCTGTAAGTGCATGTAAGCTTCTAACACCTCCACTTCATTCCAATAACACATTCATTAAAGCAACTCGACAGATGCAGCATGATAATATTAATAGCTGAAGAGAGTCCAGCGAACTGCAGGAAATTGCAGCTGTTGCTAACACCCCCCAATAAAACTATTTCTAAGAAAGTGTTATTAATGTCATCCCTCACATCACTGACTTATACAGATGAGTATATGGAAGTTTGTGGTCTAAAATCCCAAATAGCACTCAGTCTTTATTCTAGTAACGGCAGCCAGAATTTGCCCCAAAATGGGAGGAAGCAACAGCTGGCTACTAGGCAAACATATTTAGCCAGAGTTTGCATGCTATTTTAACTCTTCTTTTAAAAACCAATACTGTTTCAGACTTCAATGGCATATGGTATTAATTTTGTTTTCTTTCTGGAAAGAATGTGGCACTGGCCATAATATTATGACAAAAGGTCAAGAGAACTTAAAGAGGACCAAAATTCGATTTTGACAATATGAACAGTTAGGCTTGACTTAAGTGATCCTGGTTTACATGTCTGAAGAATATTATGTGTATTTTGCCAAAACATTTCTACAAATATCTGAAAACTGTCTTGCGTAGGAAGATACTAGTTTTGTGATTTAATATTGCAATTCATACCTTCCATTTAAGTGTGGATGCCCATGTTTAGTTAAAGTTTGCATAAACTACCAATGTCAGAGTATCGTAGGAAGAAATCCTCCTTTTCCCATAAGCTCACATGCCATTACGTCACCTAATTTCCTTAGTGAGTCCTGCTCCTTTAATATTTGCATAGCCCCCATTGCCAGACACACACCAGATTTTGTATTTCTGTTGAAAAGCCTTGACCTCCTTCCAAATCCCCTGCCTCCACGCCAAGTGGCTTTGCATTGCTGCCCTTCACAGCTTTCCTGCAACTGCAGCAATTACAGATGTTAACTCAAACTCATTACTCGGGGCTCCAATCAGGGATAAATAGCTGTGACCTTCCTGGAAGGATTTTTCTATTACTGGATGCAGTTTGCTTGTTTCGGTAACTCGACACACAGTCTTAATCTTAGAACACTGTTACATCAATGAAAAGGCACAGAAACAAAGAATACAATCCTAAACACATTTATCCAGAAGTAAGTCCCACTGAACTCAGTAGGGCTTTTTCGTGAGCATACATGCACGGGATTGTGCTGTTAATCAGTATGCTTTTGCTTAGTCATTTAGTCGTGTCCGACTCTTCGTGACCCCATGGACCAGAGCACGCCAGGCACTCCTGTCTTCCACTGCCTTCCGCAGTTTGGTCAAACTCATGCTGGTAGCTTCAAGAACACTATCCGACCATCTTGTCCTCTGTCGTTCCCTTCTCCTTGTGACCTCAATCTTTCCCAACATCACAGTCTTTTCCAGGGAGTCTTCTCTTCTCATGAGGTGGCCAAAGTATTGTAGCCTCAGCTTCAGGATCTGTCCTTCCAGTGAGCACTCAGGGCTGATTTCCTTAAGAATGGATGCGTTTGATCTTCTTGCAGTCCATGGGACTCTCAAGAGTCTCCTCCAGCACCATAATTCAAAAGCATCAATTCTTCTGCAATCAGCCTTCTTTATGGTCCAGCTCTCACTTCCATACATCACTACTGGGAAAACCATAGCTTTAACTATACAGACCTTTGTTGGCAAGGTGATCTCTCTCCTTTTTAAGATGCTATCTAGGTTTGTCATTGCTTTGTTAATCAGCATAGCCAGCCTAAATTTAAACACATGGAACACCACATGGACTGGGTCCAAAGGAGGACTTTGCTCTGGTCCCCTCCCCAGAAATAAAAAGTACAGCTTGCCCATTTACTGGCACCACAGTTATTTTCCGTTTCTCCCATTCTCTCCCTCCCGCCCCCCACCGTGGGTTCAGCTTGTGCCTACCCGTTCTGGGGGTAGTCGCTTGGTATGGATGATCTTGGCCACCATATTCAGGGCCCTGGGAGAATTTTCCAATCAGCCTAATTGGCTTCATCTGAAGGTTTTGTCTTCCTCATAGCAATCGTCACAACTTTGGTGGGTTAGGCATTGGGTAAAGCCTTTAGTCATGGTAGGAGGAGAGGTTGCAAGTTTCTGCCTGCCCCTCTGGGGAAACGGGGTATCCCATTAAAGGGATCAAGGAAGAAGTGCTTCTGTCCAGATGCCCAGGCAGAGACTAAAGCTATAGCACTCAATGCAGGCAAGAAGACACCTAACTTGATGTATGTTATAGGGCTTCCCCAACTCTGGATTGACCCCTAGAAAACATCTAGCAAGCGGGCTGGTTGATATAGGATATGCCCAATGCCTAATCCTCATCCCTTTACATCTGTAATCAATAAAGTTGGGGTCAAATTCAGTGCAAAAGAATGTTGTCATGTGTGGTCCTTTGATCTCAGGTGGAGGGGCAGTTTCATGCCACTTTGGCATGCAACAGGCCGCTGGTCCAGATGGGTCATTGGTCTGATCCAGTACCCCTTCTTATGTTCTTAACACAGCAAAGGCCTGGAGTTGTACGCTATTCAGCATAAAAATGTCACATATTTAACCTCTTGCACCTCAGATTTACAATTCTCCTTCTCTGTGCTTGAATGCACTTATGAGTACGAACGTGTCCTTTATCACGTATGTAAGCCTTGCAGCTGAAGACAGCACTTAATGTGTTTCACAAAATGGACTCTAGTACTGATAAGCTTCTGCCACAATGAACTTGTTGGCTTTAAGTTGCCACTATTCTTTTTTTCCCTTTTCAAAAGTGTTTTGAAAAACTAACCCAAAAGACAAACCTCCAAAGTGCAGTGAATAATTTATTTGAGGAACAGGGGCGGTGGGGAATCACTTAAGAAATAACCAGAGTGTTTCGTGTAAGCCACTCATCCTCAAGGGCAATTTTGATCCTACTCTCTCCCTCCGGGGAGAGTGGGGGGAGAGACGCTGCTCTCTTTATACTACTCGGAATATGCTTAGCACCTTGTAAAAAAACACTTTGTGGTGGAGGAAGTGAGTTGCTGCCTGAATCTATCCACAGCTGCAAGCAAGTTTCAGGGAAGCATAAGGTGAGCTTCAGGGATTCTTCAATGGTATATCAAGGGGCAGCTTCAAATATTAGCTTCAATCAGTCACAGGAACAATCAGGAACAGTTACGAAAGTATACTCTAGAAATGTGATCCCCAGTCTCATACCAGACTTTAAAATCAGATCGTTAATTAGTTGTTTAAAATGAAGAGTCTTATAGGTGGAGTTCACACGTTTTCAAGGATGGAACTCTGTTGGTTATCTGCCACTTATCACCAGCAGGTACCTATCTCATTGGAAAGTGTTCTTTAGTGCTTGACAGACAATGGAAGATGTAGAAGTTTCTGTCGTACAAAGAAGCATTTGTAGACCAGCAGTGAGGTAGAGGTGTTCAAAAACGGTTATGGAAGCTTTCACAAAGTTTGCAGAATGCCAAAGACAGAGAGGTGTCAAAGACTGGAGTATGGACGTAAAACAACTGTTCATCTGACACAGTGAAACTGTTCTTGAGATCTTATACAGGAGTTACACATTTTCAAGTCATTTCATCCTTCCTATGCAGTGCCTGCCTGATTTATTAAAATGACAATAAGTATAAAGCTCAGTTCAACGTGCTGGTTTTGACCCAGAAAGTCCCATGACCCCAATATGAGCTTACTCAGACCCTTTGGTCTTCACCAGAGGCCCTGCCCCCAGGTGCCCCTTCTGAGGGAAAAAGCTGGAGGGTGGAAATGAGGGAGAGGGTGTTCTCAGACTGTGAGGTCTGCCTGGTGCCATCATTAACATCCTTTTGGCACCAAGTAGAAACCTATATTATCTCCCAGGCATTTGATAGCTTATGATTACTTTGCTGTTTATTGGTTATATGCTTTTGCTGCTCTTTTATAAGTTTTATGGGCTTATTGCATGGTAATGTGTTTTTAAAAATCTATTCTATGCTTTATGCTCTTAAAATTGTGTAGGTTGCTTAGAGACCCCTTAAGCGTCAAGTGGCCAATAAACTGACCATCATCCAAATTCAATACAAGAATGAATTCACCCTGAAAGCCTTCCAGTCAAGTGGATGAAACCACAGGAACAAAATCTGTACAAACTTTGCAAAATTATTGGAACAGAGTTTTCACTCAACTGTTATGATGATGCTACACTACCGCTTCTGGGAATGCTGTACGGATGAGAGATGTTACCGTAACTGGCTCTTAAAAGAGCTTACTAAGCAGACAGAAGTGTCTGTTTCAGGATGCAGGGCTGAGAAAGATCTTGTTCCTAAGGCTTTAGAGCGCTGTTGCCAGTCAGGATAAAGCTAGACAAGACAATTGCATGTACATTACACCTCAAGGTTTGCTTGTCTAGGGGTGGGTGGGTGTTGTTGTTATTTTAAATCAAAAGCAGTCACAGGAGACTGCAATTCTGAGCAAAACACCTGCATGGTGAAGTGAGAGAGAACTGCTCTTTTCCCCCCCTCTACTGATTTTTCTGCTCAGCACCAGCTGTTTTTCAGGTAACTGTGTTTCTTCCCTCCTCCAACCTACCCCTTAACATGGGAAAGCTGTGGGGTCGTGGTGGTTATGATTAGAATAACTGCTGGAGGAGAAAAGGATTTAAGAGCCTTTCCACCTAGCACTGGCCTGCCCCTCTAGATTATAGCCTCCTGTAGCTGCATTTGGATTTAAGTAGTGGTGGGAATCCCTGGAGGAAAGTTCATAGGCAACAGCTACCCAGATGTACAGTATCCATGGGTATGGAATGCAGGTGGATCTGGCATGGCAAGTTCTACCTCCAGCTGATATGCATTCATCCAGATGTCTATAAAGAGTCCTTGCATGGATGGCTCTATGCACGTGTTTGGGAACTGTCTGTAGGTGTTGCATGTACAACTGGGAACCACACAATCAAGAAACAGCTTTATGCATGGGTGCCCTTTACAGATGTCTGATGCCCATGAATTGGGAGTGCTGCTACGCCTGATCTATATGGGCTTACTGAACGGGCAGATAGGGTTAGTCAAGACCAAATATCTTATTCCGTATAAAGGAAGCTCCCTACATTCTGATGCATAGCTACACAGATCATATAGATATGCATATCTTTGTGAAACTAAGCAATGTGAAAAAATAATAATGATTTTTTGGGTGAGCTACAGTATATAAAAACCCCACCATAAAAGGTTAGCAATACAGAGATGTAAGAGCAGTTTTATCTTTCAGACACATTCTCCACACCCCACAAAGAGACTTGTTTTTTTGCCTAGATAGAGCAACAGGTGTAGAAGAGGGGCTTGATATATGATGGGGAGGGTGACTATTTGAAAATCAGCTCTGACTCTAATCAACTTGATTGCTGCAGGTTCTGTTGATGTCTTTGTTGCTCAATTCCATCTCGTGCTGAACTGCCCAAATCAATTCACACTGAAAAGCCTTAAAACAATCCTTCTATTCCTTGACGACTAATACATAGATGACAGCATTTTTTATCATTTCCCTCTTTGCCAGCAGTAGGGTTATTTTTACTCACTATCCACAGACATCAGATAAAAATTGTATTATCCTTAAAAGAAAAAGAAAGGGAACAGGCAAGGTGACATGTGCAATGCTTGGATGGAAGGCTGTTTACCGTAAGTAATCTTGAATAGCCTTGTACCAAAGAGCTTGTACCAAAGCCATACAGCAATAACTTCATTTACTGACCCTTTTCTGTACATCTGGACTTTTAAAAAAGGAAATGAATATTAATATGAAAAAGGAAGAGAACATGAAGGTCCACTAAGCTGAATTTGAGAAGGAACTGAAATAGAGACGTAATTCAGCTCTGAAAAGTTTCTCCTTGTTTGACTAAGATTCCAGGGAAAATCTTGGCCTCTTGCCCTGCAGATACATTTTCTTCTACTGCTGGAAGAGTAACAGAAAGGAAAGCTAGCTCTAAAATATTCAGTCCATCTGTTGTAAGATGGATAACAAAGTAAAGGAACCTCCTAAATCCTTGCTATGCCTTAGACTTGTGGTGCAGATGCTCACCTGCCCAAGCTGTTCACAAGCACTTTGATACTCAGCTCGCTGGCAGAGGTCTTTCACCCGTTGGTACTTGGGCAGGAAATTTTCTTCTTGAGCATCCATTTTCTCATTCTCTCTCTTGTGTAACAGTTTCCTGAAAAGGGAAGAACATGCACAGCTCTGTAAAGGCTGCATCCTCATCCAAGAAGTTGTTCACATAATCTTTGTTCATGAAGAGTGAGTGCCATCTCTACCATATTTCATGGAGTAACGAGTGAGGAGCGATTGAGCGCTAGCCACATGGCCATTCAGTGAGGAGGGCCAAGGACATGGTAGCAAGGCCAGGTAGGTTTCCAGGGCCCAGAGACCCCAGGCAGCGAAGGATGGGGAGCCAGGAGTTGGGCCCACCAGGATACGTCTGGGCAGGACGGGGATCTCCATGGAAGCTGGCGCCTGTTTGGGGGTGCCTAGTTCACACCCCCTCAAAATTGTGTTCCTGGGACCATGGCCCCCCGTTCCCCCCACAGTATGCCCGTGCACAGGACAGTATAGGATATGATCCAAAGAAGCTTACTGGGTGACCAGTCACACTCTCTGAAGCTTTACCAATCACACAGGGTATTTGCAAGATTAAAATGGATAGCTGGGACATCATGTTCTCTGCTTTAAGCTCCTTGGAAAAAAGGCAGGATATATAGGCAAGAAATAATTAAAAAATGCATTTTCATTAAGTAGGAAAGTAGACTGCCTATTTCATGTGTCTCTCATAGATTTTACAGCAGTTCCAATGAAAATGAAAAATGCCAACAACAAAACATTGAAACTACTAATACGACTTTGCCTTTTTGATGAATTAAGTAATTTCACAAATGCCAAATGCAAAAGACTAATTAATGATCTTGCCAAGGAAAGTTGTACAGGTATAACTCTTCTTTTGCTGCAATGATTCCTTTAAGACAGGCTTCCTCAACCTTGGCCCTCCAGATGTTTTTGGCCTACAACTCCCATGATCCCTAGCTAGCAGGACCAGTGGTCAGGGATGATGGGAATTGTAGTCTCAAAACATCTGGAGGGCCGAAGTTGAGGAAGCCTGCTTTAGGAGGTCAGAACTCTCCAGAATAAAACACAATCACCACCTATCACTTACCCTCTTTCCACCAAGAAGGAGTCCCTCCAGACCTTCATCTTCTTTTTCAAATGGAATCTGGAAAAAAACAAACTTAATTTGAAAGTCGAACTAGATCTGGGGACAGGATTTGGCTTCTCCCTTGAAGATGTGTGATTAGAAAGCAAATGGCAAACATGCATTTTCAGCCTCAGCTATGAGATGATACGGCAACTTTTTTTGTTCACTACGGCAAGGCCTGTGTAAGTTCCACAGAATGGGATAGAAAAGTACCACTGACTCACAGACCTATTGCAGACAGATTGTTTAATCACAATTGCTTAAAGTACTTGGCGATCTGCAGGAAATGTTGGGCTCTGTTTAATGCATTTCCCATCCTTACCTATTGACCGGTCTTTCAGAATCCAGCAGCTTTAGAATGGATTTCCCATCCATGTCAGGTGGAATGTCCAGGCCAGCAATGTCTAGAATTGTAGGAGCAAGATCGATGTTCAACACAATGTGAGGATTCCTGAAAAGAAGCATATTCACAAAACGTTTATCAAACATCTGCACGGTAACCCCAACGTAAGACCACAGAAGACACAGAATACCTGAAATGCACCCATGGGTTAACATCAAATAGTTGGAAAGAAAGCACAATTACACATTGAAGCTGAGTATGAGAAGCCATTTACAAGCTAAAGAAAGGTCAGGGGAGACTACCTCGGAAAGTGGTGGACTCTCCCTCACTGGAGATTTTTAAGCAGAGCTTGGATGGCCATCAGTCAAGGATTCCTTAGCTGTGATCCCTGCACTGCAGGGGGTTAGACTGGATGACCCTTGGGGTCCCTTCCAACTCTACAATTCTATGAAAAAGAAGGAAGTGAAAAAGCTTGTGACCTAAACTTCTTCACCATTTTGAGAATCAATCCTTGTCTTGTAGTTCAGGTTTTACTGAAGAGGGAATCTTGCTCTGGCAGTTTTAGGAAACAGTGGGTTGTTCTAAGTTAATGGACATTAATAACTTGGCTTTATTAATTTCCAACAGGTCTCCTCTGAGTCGGACTAGCACTGGATAACCCAGTGTAAAAGATAATATTGGCACTCACCGAAGTGGGGTTGTGTAAGCAACAGCAGATACTGTACTACACTGGACTATTGGTCCTTCTACGTTAGTGCAATATTGTCTGTTCCCACTGCTTGTGGCTCTCCAGGGTCTCAGGCAGAGGCAGAGAGAGAGGCCATTCCCATCATCTGCCACCTGATCCTTTCAACTGGAGATGCCAAAGATTGAACCCAAGAGTTATGCATGCAAACAAAACATGTATCCCACCACTGAGCTATGGTACCATCACTTGGAACAGGGAATCTTTGGCTGTCCAGATGTGGCTGGGAGGCCAGCTCCCATCACATACAACCAGCATGACCAATGGTGAGGGATTATGGGAGTTGTAGTCCAACATCTGGAGGGTCAAAGGTTCAAATGGCCCATCCCACTACCCACTGGGGATAGATTTAGAAGACAGTTGAAGGGTAGATGGCAGCAGGGGGATGGTAACAGACACCAGGCAAGCAAAGGTGAAAAAACAAAAACAGAACTAATAGTAAAGGAAGCTCATTTTGCAATAATGCTTAATACTCAGTATCCAGGAAATCAGATTTGCATAAATTTTAAAAGGAAATCCCCCTAGGGTGCAAATGAATAGAAGAGTCACACCCTGGAAAATTTCCCTTCTAGCACCAAACATCTGCAAGGTGGGATTGGTGGTTGTGCTTATTCAGTTCTTAACAAATCACTAAGTTTGAGCATTCCTTAACGCTCATATAAGGCCATAGCTTCCTCACCAGTTTCTCCAAACCTGTGAGATTCACACTTTATCTCCTTGTCATTAAGGGTGGGGATTTAAGTGGATATTCCAATGGTATGCTTACTTCGTCATGGCATTCTGCACATGCACTTATAAACTCTCCTTAACAATACCTTCTAAGCAATGGTAAAAGGTAAAGGTACCCCTGACCATTAGGTCCAGTTACGGACGACTCTGGGGTTGTGCACTCATCTTGCTCTATAGGCCGAGGGAGCTGGCGTTTGTCTGCAGACAGCTTCCGGGTCATGTGGCCAGCATGACTAAGCCACTTCTGGCGAACCACAGCAGCAGAAGTTTACCTTCTTGCCGGAGCGGTACCTATTTATCTACTTGCACTTGACTTGCTTTCGAACTGCTAGGTGGGCAGGAGCAGGGAACGAGCAATGGGAGCTCACCCCGTCATGGGGATTCAAACTGCTGACCAATGAGTGAATCTAATACTCACAAAGAGGGTGGCTTTCCTCAGGATCCATGCCTTTACCACTTTGGGAAATTATTTAGGAATACTATTTACTTCTACATTTTTTATTATTAGATATATGTACCGCCTTTCTTCCAAGGAACTCAAGGCAGTATAAATTGCCCTCTTCTGGCCCTTGTTTGTTTTGGGGGTTGTTTGTTTGTTTGCATTTTTAGCCAGCAGACTTATTTGTCAAAAACCACTGGTTGGTCATCACAAAAATAATACATTATGGCATTTATTTTTTTCATCTGAGAGTGCTACACTTTACATACATTATCCTATATTCCTCAAATCCATCCTGTAGGGTAGCTCAGTGTTATCATATCCATACTGCAAATTGGGGGAGGCAAAGGGCTTGGGGTTGAAAGAACATGGGTGCCTTGTTTCATGCCACCTAGCTGAGTTCACAGCAGAATCAAAGTTCAAAACCAGGGCCTGATTCATAGCTCAGTCCTTAAATCAATAACTAATACTAGCTCCAATTAAGGTACTTACAAAAACAATACAAGCAGAAGAACAAATAAAGAAACTAAGCATTAAAAACAAACAAACAAAAATTATATGGATCTTTGAGGACAAGAACACACTTGCCATAATTTACAAGGAGAAATTACAGTTCAAAGACGGAGCCATATGGATAGTTTTCTGCTTCTGCGCAGATTTCCAGCTCAGAAACACAGCACAGCAAGGCAGCAGCATTCTAATTTGCAGCAATGAATGAGACCGCTTGTGAATTACTGGATTTGAAAGCAAACAAACAATGACAAGAACTGAAGATAATACATTTGTTCATCTGCTTGACAAGTGCAGCTTAATTTTAATTACTAGTTAATGCAGTGTAGCGCATCAGGGTAAAAGTAATGAACCTATGGTAATGAGACCTCACTACAGCAACTGCTATTAAATCAGGGTTGATAAGCGGGGACAGCCAATGATTAGTTTATATGAAAAATAGAAGGTGCAGCTCACATTAGCAAAGCTGATACTGAAGTGGGCGTTTCCCTCCTTATGGAAACAGAAATGCCATGTTTGTACCAATTTTACAGTTCATACATCACCTTTTGGAGTGTGCGTGAACCAGTTTCTCTATGGGGATAAGCTCTGACTTACTGAGTCTTTAGAAATCGGTTTTGACACTCAGAAGGCCCTGAACGAGGAGGCTCCCGCACAACATAATTGGCTGGCGATTTAAAATGATGGGGTGTTTCAGGATCTAAAAAGAAGCTATGAAGAACAGCTTGCTTTCAGGGCTAGGGGCAGTGTTTTTTTTCTGGGGGGGGGGATGCAGGGGTAGGCATACCCCTAAACATTTTGTGAATCTAAGTTTGGCCTCATTGAGGGGCAGTATTTCAATATGGGTAGGAAAATGAGAGTACCCCTAAACATATATTTTTTTAGAAAAAAAGCACTGGCTACGGGCATGCCAAGATAGCAACTCCCTGCGTTTTTGCCTGGTGCTTGTGCACTAAACAGAAATGGAAGAGTTACAAGAAACTGAGCGACTACAAAAAGTGGGTGCAACTCTAGCCAGGAGGGGCTCAGTGGAAGAGCGCTTGCTTTGTGTACAAAAGGATCAGTTATCCATCCCCAATGTCTCTAGGTAGGGCTGGGAAAGACTTTTGCCCGAAACCCTAGACAGCTACTGCCACTTGGTGTCAACCATACAGAGACAGGTAAACCAATGATCTGACTTGATATAAGGCAGTTTCCTATGTTCCTATGCATAGCTCATTGTAGACAGGGAAGGGTGTGAAACCACAGGGAAGGATGAGTTGTGGGAGACAAGAGCTGCTTGGATATATATGCACATCCTTCAAACCTACTGTGTGCTTTGCAAAAGATGACAAAATTGTCCTGGGAAGCCTACAGGCAGTGGCTGATTTATGGCAGTGCAACTGGTTCTGCCACACTGGGTGCCAAGCCCAGGGGGCGCTGCAGGGTGTCGCAATTATGGCACAGTGAATTGAGCAAAATGCAAGGCGAGAGGTGCAGGGTGCCGAATTTTTGCCTTGCAGAGGGTGTTGTTGAAATTTGAAAGAGCAAAGTCTGTTCCTGATATAGGTAGGAATATCTCAGCTCTCACTGCATTAATCATATAATTGTTGAAATACGTCATTGCAGACCACTTCTGATAATCTCCTTATAGCACAGAGTTTATAACATCACCTGATTCTTCAGGTTGCCCATGTTTGTTTTGTAGGGTTCTCTTTTAGCTGTCCTGCAGCACTGGAAATACCAGTGGGGTTTTTTTTCAGAACGAAAGAATTCTTCCCTTTTTCTGCTTCGATGGTTGAAATTCATTTAAATTCAAAACCCAGTGAATATTCTTTTTTATTATTTTAAAATGGGATTGTTGCTGCTTTGCTATGTTCGCAATATTGTTGTTGGCTTGCATTACTTTTTCTATATTAAAAGGAGGAAAGTATTATGGGTGGAAAAGTACAAGAACTAATTATGCTAATATATACATAGTGGTATACATTAAAGAACGCATATTGTGGCACTGTGTCCAAAATAATTGCTTTGGTGCAAATATTTGCTATTAAAATAATTACTTAGAAGGTATATTTACATAATTTCTTAGCTGATCAAAGTTACAATTTTAATTAACAGTCACACTCTGTACTCTTGTCTGTCACTGACAAAGGGTAAACCAAGGAGATGAGTCATATTTTCTTTTCTTTTCTTTTTTTGCAAGGGAAGAGGAACATATAGAAAATATTGCATTCATTTTCTTAACAGTGATTCCATTGTTATTATTTAATTAACCTCTAATGACAGCTATGCACTTAGGCTGTGAACATTACGCAATGTTATTATTTGGAAGCCTCACAGACTGCACCGTCAAAGTTAAACAAAAGGAAATGACTTTGCATTTCTTCAGAAGATCATACAGAATTTCACATGAGTCTAAATTCCCCCTTTCTCAGTGCAAGAGGTAGCATGTATGTGAGCTGCCTAGTGCTAGGAAGACATTGGGAATGGATCTGGGATTGGGGGTGTTTTGGCTGCACCTTTAGCCTTGATACAGATAATTCCACTGAAATGCAAATACTTTGGGTGATATGCATCCATGAGCGGAACAGACTTCCACTCCTACAACAGGACTTCCCCTTCCTTTCCTCTCTCCTGTCTCCTCCACCCAAAAGCTGCTCTGAATTTGGAGCAGGGGGGCTGCAGAGGAAGGGAAGGCCTCACTGCATGATTGAAGACTGCTTGGGCAATGTTAGACATCACACCTTAACAGCACATAATTGTATGCAGGAATAAAAATTGACACTGTAAATTTGCTCTTCATCCTGCACTAAAAGAAAGAGTTTGATGGAGAGAGGAACACAACTGGTTATGAGAAATCAAGTCCTTTCCCCCAAAGAGATGAGCAAAACCTTAGAGAAACATACTTTGCTCCATGAATGTTTTGGAGAAAGATGATCCCTGTCTCTTCCCTCTTTTTATTTTTTGCTTTTTTCCTTATCATTAAAAAAAAAGACATTTAAGAGTTTGCATTTAAAATTATCTGTAAACAGATGTGCAGAGGGTGGTGAGGAGAAAAAAGATTGATGAGATTTACTGCTGAAACTAAGCCAACCTCAGAGCATCTTACAAAAGGCCATACAGAACCAACCAGAGCAGGATTCTCTTAATTACTCCAATGCCACAAAGCCCCATGAACTTACAAGGATCCAGCCTCCACATTTGGACCGCGGATATAGAAGGGGACTCTGATGTCAAATTCATAGGGCATGGATTTTCCTTTCACCAGCCCAAATTGCCCTATATGATAGCCGTGGTCTGCCGTATATATTACATATGTGTTATCCAGTTCACCTGTTTCAACCAATGCATTGTAAATCTGAAATGAAAGAGAAGCAGAACATTTTGGATTGAACAAAACAGTATGGTATTACACAATAATCTTGTATATAGACACAAGGGCAATGAAAAGCTTGGTGAATGTATATATTGGCTTTTTGTGCAAGCTGCTCCCTTTCAGCTGAAGAGAAGGGGGGGCGGAATAAAAATAAATAAAAACAAACATGAAACTACTGTGGCCCTACTGAGATAGCGACTGCATTTGTTTTTTGAAAAGGCAACATGAATGATCTGAAATCAAATTTTGGAACTGCAATGAGTCAGAAATCATGACATATAGTTTGGCCATATTTGCAAGTTACATTGTCACAAACCATTGTTTACTGGGCATGAGCAGCTGCTTGGTTCCTCCCCACTCCTCCTGGCTTGAATTGGGAGAAAATAAACCACAATAGCTGGGCTTAGCTTTACATCAAAACTAGGCACCATGATTTGTTTTGCTCTCAGCAAACCATGAGCAGTTAAGGCAATAACCACAGTAGAAGTACTGCAGGGGAAGTAAAGGGTTAAAGCCACCCCATCTACGGTCCCGAATTTTATGGAGTTTTGTGTACCCTGTGTTAACACATCTTCCTCCAAAGTTGCTTTCCTTCAAGCACAGTCTGTCTATGGGAAATAGAGAGGGGAAACCGAGACGTATTATGATGACCCAGATACCTCCTTGTTTGTTTTAGAAAAGCAGGTCAAGCCACAACTATTTTTGGAATGCACTTGTGACAAAGCATAAGGTTAGGCTTGACTAGCTGAATGCATTTTAAAATTCATTGAGCCTCTTTATAATTACAATTTCAATCCCAGCTTGCTGACTTGAAGTTAAAAATAAAGCAAGCCATCAATTTGAGCAAGCTGCAACACTGATGGCAAGCCTCCCCAAGCGTATGTAGTAGCACTTGAGAGAGATTATATCTTCCCAGAGCAAACCACCAATCAGCAGTAATAGTAATCACCATAATCACAAACAGGCTGATGCAGGGCCTACCTATAATCTTAACCTTGTCTTCTCAGGGTGCCTGCATTATACTTAAATCACAAACAAAATGCAGGAATGCTGGGAGATAAGCAGCAATAAACTGTTTTGCCTCCATGTTAGACTGGCAGCTTTGCAGGCTTGAAAACAAGCCCATCAATTTTCACAGAAGGTGCCAGTCAGGATGAATATTGCCAGAGCACAGAAGCACAACTAGCCGGCCCACCCTTGAGGCAAAGTGAGACGATCACCTCAGGCGGCAGGATCCACAGGGGCAGCAGATCCCAATGTTGGTTTTTATTCCCTCCTTTGTTCCTGATGTAGATCTTCCCTCACTCCTTATTCCCTGGTGTGGTGAAGGGCGCCATTTTGGGGTCTGCCTGAGGTGCCAAAATGTCTTGATCCGGCCTTGATGGAACAGTTCATTTTACTTTGTTCTCATATCACAGGCTTAAGGGCAAACAAGATGCCAATAAGAGGTGTGTTATAGAAGATAACTGGACCTATGAAGCAACCTGATGGTGGATCATAGCAGGCTTTGTTATGACAAGCCAGACCATTGGTCAACCGAGCTCAGTACTATCTACAATACTATCTTCTGAAAATAGTGCTGTGTACAGGAACCCTCTAGTGTTTCCAAACAGGGGTCTTCTCTGTGGCAATGACAGGGAATAAATCTGGGACCTTTCTCACACAAAGCTTCGGATCCTCCTCCAAATCTGCAGCAGGCAGAGTCCTCCCTAGACATCCAACCCATGCTCTTTTTAACTGCACATACCAGTGACTGAACCTGAGACCACATGTGGTCTATCACAGAGCTATTTACAAAAGTTTGCCCCATAAAAAGTGTGCCAAGTTTGCCACATATTCTTGCAGACTATGGATATTGCTTGGCTCAGTTGTCATGGTAGGACCATCACCCACAAAAAGGGGGATTTGAGTCCATTTATTTTACATTCATTTCCTACTCAAGAAACTTATGGCTGACATGGGCATCTGGCCTAAGCATTGTCTGCACATTTCCGGCACATCACACTGACCAGGAAAAACGGTGGTATGTTAAGTACATATTACTTAACAGAGAACTATTGAAGACAGAAAGCCCAAGCTTTTGGTACAATTTTCCCTTTATGCACTGTTTGCAACTATAGCAGGCAACTTAGGATGTTTTGCTATTTGGAATATTTTATAGCATATCATTATTATAAAATGGGTTTCTTACCTGCCCTGAACCACAAGACCACCTCTTTCTCTGCAGACCCTCTTGGGGGTCAGCTGGGGGCCCCCTCTTGGTAGTTCTGCTACCCTCAGTGGCTTGGTGGGGGACATGACCCAGGAGACAGTATTCTCAGAGGCAGCCCCCTAATTATGGAATTCCTTCCACACAGAGGTGCACCCAGCACCTTCACTGCACAGCTGAAGATGCACCTTTGAAATCTGGGATACATTGGGACCCACTCTACTTGTGATTCTAATTTGTTCTAAACCGGTGCCAAGAAAGCAGCATATAAACACATTAAAAAACAACACCTAGATAAATAACGTTAAAATAACTTAGTACAATTCACAGTCAGAAGAATAGGGTGAGTCCTAAGGTGCAAAAAAGCAGCTAAAGAGATGCATCTTCAACACGATGAAAGCTATACAATGAAAATGGCAGACACACCCAGTGGCGTAGCGTGGGGGGTGTAGGGGGGGCCGGCCGCACCGGGCGCAACATCTGGGGGGGGCGCGCTCGCACTCGCAGCTCTCTGCCCCTACCTGGCTCACTCACTCTCTCTCACTGCAGTGCTGGCTGTGCGAATCCGATCCGAGCCGCTGGGTCGCCGCCCACTGTGGAGGGGGTGGGTGCCAGGCGTGCGGTGCGGAGAGAGAGCGAGGGACTATCTGGGGGAGGGACAGTGCAGCGGCCGCCCAGCGCAGCGCTGAGCGCGGGAGAGAACCACACCAGACCAGACCAGGCAGCAGCAAGAAGAAGCTGGCAGCGGCGGCAGGTTAGGGGTTAAGGGGCGCAAATTAATTGCCTTGCCCCAGGTTAGGGGGCGCAAATTACTTGCCTTGCCCCGGGTGCTGACAACCCACGCTACGCCGCTGGACACACCTCTGCGGGGAGGGAATTCCACAGCTAAGGCAATGTCAGAGTATGCCCTCTCCTGAGTTTCCACTCCTGAACTTTCAAGGGAGACGAAACTACCTACCAAATGGGCTCCCTCTTAACATCCAAGAAGAGAAGTTGGGATGGAGACTTGGTGCTACCATTCTGCCCAGAGCAATTCAAACCTTATAAACCAAATGGGGAAGTTGAGGCCCTGTGATGAAGTGCATCTGTGCTTATATTGGCAACACTTAAACTCGTGTTTTGGATAGGATAGAAAAGTAGGGCGCATATGCAGGACTTGGGGAACTTGGAGGGCCGATGTTGAGGAAGCCTGCAATAAATCTTACCGCCTCCATAGAGTCATCCACAGACATGAGAGTCTGAAGGCGCTTCTGCTGTAGCATATTGGTGAATTCCATGTGAATAGGTTTCATGGGGCCAGTATACCTCATTATCCAGTGCTTGTCTGGGTTTGGAGCATAATTATAACTGGGTGTGCTAGAGAGAGAGAGAAAGAGAGAGAAACAATTAACTGCCAGTAAAATAAACATGGCATGCCACCCACCCTAAAATGTGTATTCTGGGTTTCTACACAAGTTCCACACAAACATAGGGCAGGATTCATCTAACCAGTCCCACTAGCAGAAGACCCATACAAAGACTTCCATTTGTGCAATAGGATTCCCCCTGTCTCCCCCCCTTGCACCCCCAAAAATTGGCTCTGGGGGTTGGGAGAAGCCCCAGAATGGCGCATGAGGGAGAGGAGAAGGGTATCGTGCCATCTGGTAAACTGGAATGCTTGCACAGATGGGACTGGAAGAACATGATGTTGAATTCTATCCATTGCATTGAGCGTTCTGTCCTGACAATTTCAGCATCCTGAGAACAGCAGCTTCCACTTTCAAAAGTAGGTTTGGGGGCTTCTGTTTACTTAGCGTTGAGTACAGGAAAGTTTTAGAAGCCAGGAGGCAAATCTTAAAAGATGGTCCCTCTCCATCCACAGCTTTTTACACCGTATGCCATACTGTTCCTAAGGGTGCCCCCAACCTTTAAGGAGCCCAAGTGACTGCAGAGTGAAGGCAATAAGGCCTCGTTTTGTGAATGGAATTCTGAATGGAAGAAGTCAGGGTCCAAGCTAAAGAGCCCAGCTGCTATCTTGCCACACCCAAGTTAATGCAAATACAGTTAATTCCCTGAAAATGGATGTGCAAATGAACCTTACCACTGCAGCTTCTACTATCTTTAAGCATGTTTGAGGCACACAGGGGTGGCAATTTTCCCTGTTGGGAATAACCCTCCATGGTAGGATTACATTCTCCGTGGTAGACAGCGAAACATTATAAATCTCTTTTATGATTTATCTAAAAGCCGGGAACGGGAAAATTGCTCTGCTCAAACTGAAGCCTATTGAAATAGCAAGTATCATTCAGAGTAAATGAGAATATATTTCAACTGTAGCAGCTTAGCATTAGGCAGCTAACATTCTAACTGGGGAGCATGAGAATGACATAGCTATTCCAATTTCATTCTGCACGGATGATTGTGGCTCACGCAGGTTCCTTAACAATAACTATCCAGATTGCTGGAGAGTCTCTACTATGTTATTTAGCATCTGTGGTGAATTTAAGCTTGACTACCTGAGCATTTAGCAGGAAACTATGGGCATTAAAATGCTTATTATAACTTCAGTCCAATAGCCAGCTTTTAAAATGATGTTCTACTCTATACTAGTCTTTAAAAAGAAAAAAAGCTGGATGGTGCTATTACAATTTCCTTTGCTTGAACAAGTAGCCTTGAGGTAGGGATCTTCCTACCCCGGGAGCTGTAAAAGGGAATTCCCATCCCACTTGACAACAGCAAAAAGCTAGGGTATCTGAAACAGCAAACTAGCTCCAGAGTCTGGTTCTGAACAATCTTGGAGATTGGTCTGGTCAGATAGGCAAGGGCTTTGGGCTTCAAACTGGGGGTCCCTTGACCAGAGAATGGGTCCTACATCTTAGTGAGCTACACAACTCCTACTGTAACTCAGACCTCAAAGCCTTCTTTAGGTGCAAAGAGGGAATAGGCATGTGCATCATTGGCACCAGTCACTGGCAACCAGACTTCAGCCTCTGGATTGGCAGGGTATAGTGTAAATACCTGGCCTTCTGCCCTTGCCTAGTCAACAGAGCAAGGGCTTCTGTATTTCAGGCTCCAGTTTCTTTGTGGTTTTTTAAAATTAATCAGCAGAGTTTTGCAGTGGTGCTGTATTTATGGCCTTGGGAAGTTAGCTTGAGCAGTATTATCCATAATTACGAACACATATTTAGCGTGTACTTGTGGGTCTGTGCAGAATGAAGCTGGCAGGTGAGGCTGTTGTGAACATGCTGCGAGAGGGGAGCACAACTCCTATTGTAAGACTGCGCTCTTACCGTAACATTATTCATATTCAGGGTTGCCCCATGTGCTGAGTGTGTGTGTGTGAAAGACATGCTAAAGTGAATTGCATTGTGTTTTAACAAGTGGGAAGCTTTGATATCAAGGCTGCAGTCCAAAAAGTGCTTTGTGATGGGGAAGAGAGTATTTTTCTTCCAGGGAGGAGAGGTTGCTTATTATTCTCTCCACATTGTTAATGTTCTCTCTGATTTCAGAATGTTATTGTGGCAGGATAATGACATTGCTGCTTTGAAAATGCTGATGGTTATGGAAACTGTTGCTATGTAATGCCCTGAACGAATCTAAAATGCTTGGCAAATTCCTTTTCCAGTATGCTTTGTGATTTCCTGGCTCATCTGACACCTCCTGCTGCTTAATCCACTCAACGTCCACAATCTTCTTTGATTACTACAAACGTAACCCTCTTATACTTAACAGATTTGTCCGTCTTACGGCCAAATACACAAAGCACAACAATTCTGGAAACTGAACAAAAATAACCACTTCAAATTCATTCAGAAGTTGGAGGTGGGGGCTGCACTACAAATCCTGATTGTATTTGACCTTGGAGAGAGAGAGAGAGAGAGAGAGAGAGAGAGAGAATAAAATGCTTACAGAAACAACAGTAGTGGTTGTCTCTGGAAAAAAAAACCCACTATGCAACAATCATGGATAAATGCCTATTAAGCAGCTGAAGCAAAGAATGATACATGTTGGTGATATGAACCTGCAGGTATAAAATAAAATGCAAGCCTATTTTTTATATATCCAAAAGTGATTGTTTTGCATATGCTGGAGAAGACTCAGGATTACTTACTGAAAACTATTTCCTCTCTCCTACCAAAGTCAATTTTTTCAGTGACTGCTATTGGGTCTATATTGGCATTTCTATTCTGCATTTACAGAGCATTTATTACCTGCCTTTTGATTTAAAATCCTCAACACACACAGAGAGAGACAAGCCAGGGAGGGGATTCCACAGTTTGGGTGCCACTGCAAAGAAGGCTCTGTCCCACATCCCCGCTCCCTTGATTTCTTCACACAGCAGAGGCACACAGAGCAGTGCATAAAAGAAGCTCTTAACATATAAGCTAAGTTTGTGTTGCATATCATCAACATACAACTAAGTTTAAAGGAGCAGAAAGACCTTGTGGAGGGCAAGATTAGATAATAAGAGAGACATGTGGTTGCCACTACAAGGGACAACTCCATGTCTACTCTTCCTCTTCTCCCTGGTACAACATGTAGAGAAATGAAATGTTCAGAGGAGGTCATAACTTGACCACACCCTCTTACACACCTTCAGTAAGGGGCATCCAATGAAGTCAAGTGAAGGAAAGGGGTGATATGATTTCACACCACTCATTTTGGTTTTTCTGTGTTAGCAGGGTACAGAGGAGAAGAGATGTGGGATTGGATCAAGAAACCTAGACTAAAAGGGTGTAATATTGTGCAACCACATGTCCCTAGTTTTCAAGGTTCTGGAGAAAAGCTCAAACATGTGAAGGTAAAGCACCTGATGGACAAATCTTATGTGTGTCTGCTCAAAAATAAGTCCCACTGAGTTCACATGAACCCAGGTAATTGTGCATAGGGTCTGAGTATGTGCCTCATTCTTATCCTACCACCTGATCTCAAACTCAGACCTCATCATATTTATTTACCCAAGTTCCATTCTCTCTTCTCCCCTTACTCTCTTTACAAAGCCTTTCCCAAAAAGGAATAAATTTGTATAAATTTGCAAATGGAAAATGACGGGATTGTTCATTTTATTGTGTAGATTTCTACAAGTTATAAATTGAAAAGCGCCAAGCTGTTCCATTTCTGCTACCTGCGATAAACTTATGCCAAAGCACAAATGATCCAGAAATGATTTCCCAGGAATGCTATGCCTTTGCTTGGAAATGCAGATAATTGGTTTGGTGCTTTGTTGCCTTTTCCTTACATGTGCTGAGAAGCATTGGGAAAGAGATGAGAATACTGAGGGGCTGAGTCTTCAGGACCGTGAGGAGCTGCATGGCTGAGAACCATCAAAACTGGCCTGTGAGGATACATCTTCTTTGAGATTCGGAAGAAGCTAATACTGTCATTGGTGATCAAGTCAGTCAGATAATCCTGAAAAGAGTGAGGAAGAGAAGAAAAATCAGCAAAATGACATCAAAAGTAATCAATGAGCCTAGAGGGGACACTGCAATCATTTTAGAGGTGGGAAGAGAAATCCTGATTTATTCACTTTTTTAATAATTGGAAATGTAAAGGGCTGGTATGTTTTTAAACATGCTTTTTTAATTTGTTTTTTACAATTCCCTATAGTGTTACCAAGCTCACATCCACACCTCCATTTAAAGCATTTCAATTCCACTATAAGAGTCAAGTAAAGGTAAAGGTAAAGGGACCCCTGACCATTAGGTCCAGTCGTGGACAACTCTGGGGTTGCGGCGCTCATCTCGCTATACTGGCCGAGGGAGCCGGCGTACAGCTTCCAGGTCATGTGGCCAGCATGACTAAGCTGCTTCTGGCGAAACCAGAGCAGTGCACGGAAACGCCATTTACCTTCCCGCTGGAGTGGTACCTATTTATCTACTTGCACTTTGACATGCTTTTGAACTGCTAGGTTGGCAGGAGCAGGGACCGAACAACAGGGGCTCACCCCGTTGTGGGGATTCGAACCGCCGACCTTCTGATCGGCAAGCCCTAGGCTCTGTGGTTTAACCCACAGTGCCAACCAAATCCCATAAGAATCAAGACTTCCCCCTAAAAAAGAATCAGACAGCTCTGTCCTTCCAGAACTTTGCTGCTCCCCAACTTCCAGCACCAGTGCTGGATTTACGTATAAGCTAAACAAGCTATAGCTTAGGGCCCCACTCTCTTGGTCCCCCCCCCAAAAAATTATGAGTCTTTGTAAATTGTGTTTCTAAATGAACTTTTGTTATTGCCAAATGCCAATGTGTTTGCATTATTAAGTTTGTTATGAATAAAAAATCATTTTAAGTTAGAGCTTAATAATTATTTCACTATTAATATACTTCTTAATTGTATTTCAGTTCAACAATTACTTTGATAAAATACATATTTTGTTATGTGCAAATGACTTTAGATACCCATTAGGTCTATAAATTATGATATAGCATATATTCAACACAAAAAACAGCAACAATTTGTTGTTGACAAATGACAGCTGGACATATAAAGGGCCCTATTACCTTTAGTAGCTTAGGGCCTCATCAAACTAAATTTGGCCTTGCCCAGCACCCGGCTGAGGTGGCCACCTCACTCTGCCTAATGGGAGGGCCAGTCTTACTGTTATTTGTTGAGCCCTGAATTGAATCAAACTAATCTGAGACATTCCTGTGTGTGTGTGTGTGTATTATATGGAACAAGTATTCTTAAATGTAATGGTGATAAAATGCTGGAGAGACTTGCTTGACAGAGACGGTCAGTGAACACGAATGTTGCGTTATATTTTGATTACACGTCACTTGGCACTCAGACACCTGAGATTACAAAAAGGGCAACCAATGGGTTGCTAATTCTACTGCCAGCGGGGAAGATATTTTTGGAAACAGAAATATACTTGCTGCTACCAAAATGAAGGTTCATTAAACTAATCTCTCAAAAGTCATGTTATTGCACTGGTAGTAGGAAATACACTTAATGAAAAGACGTATTTGGAGAAGATAGCAAGGGGTTCCACTTTTGGACACTTAGTCACATCAAGCATGGTGCTGATACAGATACTTCTTGTTATTATGCACAGCAATTTAACCACGCAGCTGCTGAAAGCCCAATTAGATGCACAAAACATCTTGGTCTGAGTATGTGCCTCATTCCTATCTTACCACCTAATCTCAAACTCAGACATCATCATATTTATTTACCTGCAGTGAAAACAATTTTTGGAAAGATTTCCATTTCACAGATGGACAACACAAGGCTCAGAGATAGTTGTGAGTAATTCATTTAAAACATATACTGTGCCTTTGTGAGAAGGAACGTGGGAAGAAGAAATGCTAGATCCCGAATTCTGTCTCTTTGTCACACTCTGCTGCGATGTGACTGAAAAATCTTTGAAATGAATTATGCATTAAAAGGCAGTTGCCTTGCCCTTAATCAGATATTTTAGATTCAGAAGCATACCTTTTAACAACCCTGATTTAAATTCAAGTTTATTAACTGCTTTAGTTCTGACTAGTTGGATAAAAAGCAGGTGTCAAATATCTTTATTCCACTGTATCCTTTTCTGTAAATAATGGAAGCTAACCCTATAGGAATATTTTAAAAAATCAGGTGTTTTTAAAGTTACTCGTTCGCTTCCCCCAACCCACCCACCCAACATATTTCTAATTAGAATAACAGAACCTGAACCTCTGATCTCCGTTTCATAACACTGCAGACAAACACTAACTGAGTTTGTGGACTACTGACAGATTTAGGACTCCCTCAAAATCTGCATACCACCACCATGGAAACAGCAATTTTGCAATAAAGAGAATTAATCACATGCATGCAGCAGATCAAGAGTATGTCTCTCTGTGTTAATTAAAGCAGGGAACACCAGTCAATAGAACATGAGTCAAACTACGATCAAATCCATTTCCCAGCTGGTAGGACATACTGAAGTGCTTACCGGCTTAAGAACTGCTTGCTGTCACTAAATAAATTTTAAATTATACATCCCTCCAGAAGTAAAACGATAATGTGCAGTCTAAGGGAGCAGGTTTATGGATTGCAGTTTATATTACCAGCAGTAGCTTTCAAATATGAAACAAATACTTTAATTAGACTGAAATCATAAAGCATCCGAATTGTTCCCCCAGTTGTGGCCAGGGGAGGGAAATGAAAATAAATCAGTAAGACCTACCCTAGAGTAGTCAAATCCGTGCTTTTCCTTCACTCCATTTCTACAGAGTGTGTAGTTGTAAAAACGAGAATTCTTGAGCAATCCAACCCATTCCTTCCAGCCAGGAGGCACATAGGAACCATTATATTCATTCAGGTATTTCCCAAAGAAAGCTGGAAGCAAAAGGGGGAGAGGAGACATTGTGAGGAGAAAGCAATACATATAAATGTATAGGAGATAATCATGCTATAGTATAGAGCTCTTTAGTTTTCAGCTCTTGCAGACAAAGTGATAATATTTTCCCTATCCAGTCATATTTTATTTTAATATTTTATTTTAAATCAGATGCTTTAACACTTACTTAGCACTAACAGTACATTAAGCATAAAACAGAATAGGGAAGGGACTCACGAGCTTGCCCAGAAAATTTACAGCAAGGGCTGCAAATGGCCATTGGCTTGCTCACCTATAACAAGTGATTAAGGATCCCTTCCTAACAACTGGGAAGGAATACTTTACCCAAAAAAAGTTACATTTTTCGCCTTTCAGGTGATGATGGGCATGTAAATTGCATTCATTCTGTACAATCCTGTCTGCCACACAGCAAATGACTCGTGACACCTTTTCAATGACCAGAGCCTCTTAGGAGGCATATTCTGTCTAGTCTGCCTGTCCTTCCTGGTGTTTACAGAGTAATTCAACACCCACTGACTCCAGACTTGAGTCAGTGGGGGAGCTGGATTAGGTGGAGGGGGTCTCTGAGCCCAGATAAGGCAGCTCCTGTTGGTGTGGCACTCTCCCTTCCAGCTACAGGATGTAGACCCTGAAGAAAGGTGCTCCAGAAGTGGGGAGGGAGAGGGGCTGAGTCAGCCCAAGCCCAGACATTTCAGCCATTTCCACCGGACACTTAGGGCTGAAACCCTAAGCAACAGCATCTGGCCTGATCATCCTGCCTCCCAACCTACTGATACTGCCAGAGAAGCTGGGTTAGGGCTGCTCCCTTAAATGTGAATGGACTCCTGGCAGTTATCTCATTCATGACTTGCCCAACTCTGTTTGGCCAGATGCAGATCTGGTCTGGTTACTACAACTGTACAAAAGAGGTGGGATCAGAAAACCACTCTTGGTCCTCTTTGTTTATTCTTAGAGAGAAATGGGCTGCTCCAGAAAATTATGGGCAAGAGGTCATGAAATCAACACCAACAAATCAGAAATTGTTGAAGAGACATTTGAAACCTGGTTTTTTATGAGCTGCTTAATAAACCCATCTTAGCCAAGAGTGAGCAAGGAATGCACTAGCCTTTGCTCCACTATGTTTTATGTTACTATTTTATTGCTGTAGTGTCTATAAAGATTCATACAGGTGTAGCTAAAAACAAGGGCCTGCTAGACAGATAGCTTGCCAAGCCTAGCTTCCCTTCATCTTCATGCCACATATTCTTGCCTCCAGATATCCAAGCACCATTTTTCCCCAAAGAGAAGGGTGTGTGTGCTTTGTGATGTCACAAGTGCATCACCAAACAGTACTCTGCACCGTTCTTGGTGCTTCAAAGCAGCAAAACTGGTTTCCTTCCACCTCAGTTCTAAAGAGATAGTAGATATACACAACAATGTGCTGTTTATGCACATTGTTTTCAATGTATGATTAAATCTCCCTAATAAAATACTTTGGTTTTGTAATTGTATGTGTTCAGTGTCCCAGAGTGACTGCAGCAGCTATCAGCTCTGACAGCTGCTACTGCAGAGAGCTTCCTTCTAGCCCTCTCAGTGCTGCTCATAGGTGCCAACTCCCTGGGGCCCTGGGTGCCCGAGCACCCATCAAATTTTGATGCCAGGGCCATGCATGCTTCATGGCACCCACGGCCCCAGGCACCCATGGTTGTGGGGCCAAGTTGGCACTCCTGGTGCTGCTGCAGATCTCCTCATCCACTCCATGACAATGCTCAACTTCTTTTTCCAGCAGCAAAGAGGAAGAAGGAAACCAGCCAGCCAGCAAAGAGATAATATACATTAAAATACCATGCAAGAATTCCAATCACCTTGCACAGGCAGGCATAGGAATTTTGCACAGGTACCTAACAGCTAGTTTGTATCCAAGTTCATGCAAAGCCAGAAGAGTGCTAACAAATTCCAGTTCATCACTGTGACTGTTAAAGTCACACTGCCTTTGCCTTTAATTAGGTCATCTGCAACAACCAGACTAAAACAACAGCAACATGCAAAGTAAATGCATGCGAAGTGTTATGATGTCAAGCAGCGTTCACCTACCTGGTGCCCTACAGATGTTTAAGATGACAACACTCATCAGTCTCAGCCATGGCTGATGGAAATTGCAGCCTAAAACATCTGGAGGGCATCAGGTGGGTGAATACTGGAGTAAAACAATAAATGGACAGCCATGCTCTCCCAAGAAAGGACTGTGGAATCAAGCACTTTCTCGGGTTACTCTGCTTCCTGAGGCACTTCCAATATTTAGAGAGTTAAGTGCAATCCACAGTAATGTGTGGGTAATTGAATAGTGGAGTAGATTTCTTCTCCTTGCCTCAGTATCTAGGGATGATGGATTGGGATATTGATCCTTGTCCACAGTGAAAGGTTGGAACACAGCCATCTGAAGGTTTTCGTGCCTCGCCATTATATCACAACTAAACACAGCTGCATTTGGCACTATTCCTGCTCCTCTCCTTGCCATTCATTTATTTATTTAACAAATGTATAAACCACTTCACAGCCTGAAGCCATCAAAGCAGCACTCAACAAGATAAAAAAAAGAGATAAAATACAAAACTAAAGTAACCATTCTAAAACTAATTAAAACCTTTCCTACCAAAAACCAAAACCCAATAAAACCATTTTTTACAGATGGAGAATTAATATTCCATAAATGACTGAGTCGCAACTCTAAGCTTCTGGCCGGAGCAGCTGTTGGGCACAGGAGAACAGAACATCTCCAAATGGCAAAACAAAGCAATTCTTTTCAGCAGCATTTTAGCCCAAGTTAGCATGATGTCCCGTATACTGCCACTGCTTGTACACAGTGGGTTTTTGTTTTTGTTTTTTAAGTTTCAAAATGCTAAGCAGATTTTGCACCTGGTGCCATGATACTATCCAAAACATCCTTACACTTTTCACCTCTTGATAGGCTAGTCATGTAAAATTACATTTGGCTCTGCATGGAGGTCCACTAACATGCTTTTCAGCTGACTACTGGCAGATGCCTTTTTAAATCTGGCAAAACACCCTCCCTATCTCTAGAGCCTGCAGAAGGGAAGAGGCTCTCAGCACAATGCAATATAAATGTCTCACTGGTTTCCAAATGGCTCCAGGGCTCAGCAGGACAGGGACAAGCCTGCTAACCCCAGCTTAGTGCTCAGGATGGAGGTTGTAGGCTCACATTGCCCACAAGGCTCAGCAAGATGGCACAGACCTTAACACTTCCCCCAGCAGCAGAGAAGGAATGTTGGCAAGTACAAATTGTCGTTGGCTACCAAGGCCAGTTCAAGCTTTGTGGATCCCCAGTGCTGTGAATTATTTCTGCAGAGTGCTATGCCTTGGGCTGCATGTTTCATTCATTTAATATGCTTGATATTGCCATTCTAAATTTGTTAGCTCTGTCCAATGTAACAGTGGGATAAAAATCCACAATTTATAATTTATCTGAGTCCTGGAAATGTAATCCATTTACGCGGACTCTTACCTACAGTGAGCAGAGAAACCTTTACATTATGTTCTGTATCTGCTGATAAGATTTTTCACAAACTTACAGTGCCACATTCAGACATCAGGGCTATTTTTTAAAATAAAATAATAATAATAATAAATGTATGTATGTATAATTTTGCCCACAATATTTATTTATTTTACAAGATTGCTTAACTTTGGAAAGGTCCCAGCTTACGTTATGTAAAAAGTACCTTTATAAACAGAATTGGTTTTGTTCCATTTAGCAATAAACTTGGAAGACGCACTAGGAAAAACATGGGTTTATAAATAAATAGACAAAGGAGACAGTATAGTCTTAATGAACTCAATTAAGAGAAGCCTCCCACCCATTAAGAGTCTGACTGGTTCTTCTGACCACAAACATTCCACCCTCCCAGAAGTCGCTTTCAGACACAAGGAACTGTAAGATACCGTGACATTTTAAAGTAGCTTCTTTCTGGAGAAACTTTGGCAAGAAGCACAGACGTCTATGTTTTTATAAATGTTGGTTGATGTTTCTCTGTGAGTTAAGGTATGAAAACCTAACACTGCTCCAAGTTTCCCTTTCCTTTCCATAAATGTATGCTAAAGGGTATTTACTGATCACGGGATTCACGAAGAACAGGATTTAGTTGAAATTTCATTCCCGTTTCAAACCCTGGAGCTTAGAGTAGCAGCTGAAGCAAGGGCAACAGGGATGAAACAAAATTTGAGGACTAAAACAGAGCAAAATGTAACTAGGGAGTGCCTGGGGGTATATTACTCAAGGAAAGTTGTTCCTGCAAAGAAATTAAGAGGTTTGGAGAAGCCAAACAGGATATGTAGAGCCAGTTCCATGTTAGTTCCCAGAACGCTCTTGTCTCCAGATTGGGAACAGCAATAGGCATGGTTCATTGAGAATGGTGAGTATGCTTAACCAGGGTTTTGTTTAAGTTCTTGCATTTATTTTTAAATAAAAAAACATTTATTCAATACAGCTTTGTCCACAGCCATAGTATGACAGGATGATCACTCCAGTCCTCAATTCCACATCACTGTCATGTTGGGTCACCAAATATACTCAATAGGAATCCAACAACCAATCTGGTTGGCTAAACATTTTCAATCAATATATCCCCTCCACAGACACCTCTGTGGTGATGATGATAGCATTAAAATACCCTGCTCTTCTTTAAAAAAAAACAGAGTAAGCTGCTATACATCTACACTTTCTATAAGGAAGCCCTGAAACTTGCCAGCTTTGCCTCCAAACCTGACACAACCAAGGTCATGCTAACACAGCACCACGCTTATGAATACATCATCAGCAAACAATAAATTTTCAAATACAACTAATGAATCACAATCAGCCAAGGGCACAACCAATAAGCAAAGGGCACAACCAAAAAGGCCCTTCTCCTTGCTGTCCCACTAGGTCTTGCTGAGTTCACTGAGTTACTCCTGGCTCAGTTCATACATAATACCAAGCTAACCCTTGGCTTAGTGTGGATGCATTAGTGTGGAGGTTCCTGGAAAGGAGATCTCGGCAGCAGTTGCACTCCTTCCTTGGTCACCCTGCTGCCAAGCTGCCTGCAGCTAAGCCGTGGTTTGGCTTGTCTGAACCTGGGGCTCCTGGTTTGTCTGATCCAGACAAACTGTGAGCAGTAAATTCAAGAGTAATCCTTGGTTACAGCTCCTGATGTGTCTTGAGCAAGACAAACCAAGAGCTCAGGTTCAAATGACATGCTACACCAAACCATGCCTTAGTCTTGGGTAGCATAACAAGAGGACTGGGGAAGGAGCACAACAGCCATGATCTCCATTCCAGGAGCTCACAGGTTCATGCTAAGCCATGGTTTAGCTTAGCATTACACGCAAAGTGGGTCACTGTGAGTGCAGAACAATGGTGTGTCCAATGCAGTCCCCATGATTCTTAATTCTGTGTTACAAAATTCAAATTTGGCACTGAAACAGTAATTTGAAGGGGAAGATGAATTCTAGAGGAGAGGGGTTTCCTATTTTCCCAATGGCTTTCCCCCACTCAAAATAGCTCTCAAACTGTGGGGTGGAGAAAAGGAACCACGAGGAACTGCAGCTTTCCCCTGACTAGAGGTAAAATCAGAAGGATGGCAGTGATTATTTTGTGGGGGAAATGACAGCTCTCATCCTATGACAGCTTCCCTCTTCAAACTGTATCTTCAACAGCTGCATTTCGCAACAGCCGCAAGAAGAAACTCCGGCAAAAACACGCACCACAGAATGACATGGAACGTGTAGCTCCACCTTCCAAATTTTCAACAGCAGTTCCGCATGTTAATGTCAGAACAAGATCAAAGCTGGGAATGTGGCATATACACCAGGGCCAGAGTATATTCTTAGGCTTCTATAAATTGCTCGTATTCTCAAGGGAATTATATCATCTTTCCGAAAAAGTCATGGGTTCAATAATGCAACAAAGCCTTTTCTGTTTCTTTATTTTAGTAATGCAGTCTCCATAAGATCTAAATCTAACATGGATTGCAGAAAGCCTTTGACAAACGGGCAAATACCCTGCTTAGGTTTTTACTGTTCTGATGGCTTCAAGATAAGAATCCTATTTCTTTGCAAATACCAAACTAAATATTACTTCTTGGCTGAAATGATAAATCAATATGAGAAAGCATTATTCTTTAAAGGCAGGTGCTGGCATCCCTTCAGAACAATACATTAGCAATGGAGGAAAAATGAAAGGAGAAGCCTCTTAAGACAATTTAAAAATACACTGAGCAAAGATATATTCAGGTAAAAATAAAGGGAGAAGGGGGGAAGAGAAATAAAATAGACTTATAATGGTTTGCAGTGTGGCAAGGGAGCATTAAATGTTTGTATTGATTCTTTAGCTTCATTTTTATAGATATGGATACATCCAGGCTGTCTCCCTTTTTTTCATTATACATCATCAAATATATTGAGGCACATGAGGGACCAACCATGTTAATTCCTCACAAGAATCTGATCGTTAATGGGGTACCTGAAGGTGTGGAGGGCTAGCAGCTGGTTTCTTACAGTGAAGAATGGTTGACATATTTACGGTTATGAAAGACAGAAACCAAACTAGATCTAAAAAGGCTTTTAGATTAAGTTTTCATGCAGTTATATGATGTTAACGAAAGTGTTTCAATACACATCATTGGTAAAAATCAAGTTTAGCAACAAATCAATCAGCTGTATAGCTTTTAGTGGATCTCTCTCCAAGGATTCTGAGTCAGTGGAGGATACTTAAATCTATTGTTGCTACTTTTCGGTAGGAAGATATAGGCTATTAGTTGAGAATTCCCATTCTGATCAATTGTTTTCTACAAAAGGTCAAACCATTTATCTTAACACTCACTGGGTAAGGGTCAGGCTTTAATGAAGCAATTTACTGCTGTTGGGTAAGGAATGATAATATATTCCGCATATCCCCCTTTTCTTGAATGGGTTTCCCATCGGATATTGTTATTGATTTCTTTTCCATGGATTTTGGAGACCTGCTTTCTGAACAATTTATTTGATGGGACTCCCCGCCCCCCATGCAGAGAGGGTATCTCTAGCATGTTTTGTTAGTTACTATAAAATGCTGGAAAAATAGAAATTAGCATGGGGTGTGGGGGAAGAGAATGTAAAGGAAGAAACACATGCATGGAAAATATGTCAATATTAGGTATGAGGCAATGAACAAGAATGACAAGATTTTTGGTCTGGATGCATAGCAAGTCTGGATTAATGGCTAGCATTCTGCTATGGCTTCCCGTCAGTGCAAGGATTTCTGCAACAGACTTTCCCATTCCCCTCCCCCATGTGCACCTCACATTCTCCCAAAATCTCCAGAGGGTTGTAGGATCCCCTAGATCAGATTTAGGGGGCATGAAGGACAGGTGGGGAAATCCTATTCTGCAAATACAAATCCATCTGCTGACGGAACATTTCCCATAGCACTATGTTGAATTCCACCCTGTAGGTTCCACTTTTTGCAAGTGTACACATGAAATGAGCTGTACAGGTTAGATTCTTGCCATTAGGACCCCCTCAGCACAATTCTGATGTTGCCTGCTTCAGAAGCTACCTTCCAGGTATCATTTATAATCATTCTAGAACTATTTGGAACGTGTCCAGAGGAGGGCAACCAAAATGGTCAAAGGCCTGGAAACGATGCCTTATGAGGAACGGCTAAGGGAGCTGGGCATGTTTAGCCTGGAGAAGAGGAGGTTAAGGGGTGATATGATAGCCATGTTCAAATATATAAAAGGATGTCATATAGAGGAGGGAGAAAGGTTGTTTTCTGCTGCTCCAGAGAAGTGGACATGGAGCAATGGATCCAAACTACAAGAAAGAAGATTCCACCTAAACATTAGGAAGAACTTCCTGACAGTAAGAGCTGTTCGACAGTGGAATTTGCTGCCAAGGAGTGTGGTGGAGTCTCCTTCTTTGGAGGTCTTTAAGCAGAGGCTTGACAACCATATGTCAGGAGTGCTCTGATGGTGTTTCCTGCTTGGCAGGGGGTTGGACTCGATGGCCCTTGTGGTCTATTCCAACTCTATGATTCTATGATTCTATGATTTGCTGCAGAATAAAACACCCCTTTCTTGGTTCAATGTTGAATTCAGGCCTTCTTTTTTACCTCGGCTGTAATGCATACAGCATAAACAGAGACGTCCCAGTGGGATTAGATCTGGTTTCAGTGGTTAGGAGTCAGCACAGAGAACTGTGACTCAGAAACCAGAGTCCCTATTCCTGGCTCTGACTTATTCTGCAACCTTTGATAATATACTTCCGTTATTTGCCCTTTTGTCTCTTTGACTCTGAGCAATTTTCTTCCCTTTACAATCAACCACTTATTTGCAAAAGGTTACAATTCAGATATTATTCTAGCAATATTATCTGCTGCTAGGTACATTAGCAGTGGCTGGTGAACTTAAAAAAACCTGTGATCCTATAGAAAGTATTTCACAGGAACAACACGTTGTGTTTAATTGATTGCATTTTGTGCTTAATTGATTTTATAGTAAACTTATGCATGCTTGCATCTGTGACATATAGCAGTAAGGAAAATAAAACCTACAGCTAGTATGTGGGGCAAAAACTATTTGCATCCCTCTTCCTAAAATGCCCCCCATTGTGCTGAAGCCAGGATGGGGTGGGGGGTTCAGTCATGCCCTGACAAAAATGAATACAGTGGTACCTCAGGTTACATACGCTTCAGGTTACACACTCTGCTAACCCAGAAATAGTACCTCAGGTTAAGAACTTTGCTTCAGGATGAAAACACAACTCGTGGTCCGGTGGCGCGGCGGCAGCAGGAAGCCCCATTAGCTAACGTGGTGCTTCAGGTTAAGAACAGTTTCAGGTTAAGAACGGACCTCCAGAACAAATTAAGTACTTAACCCGAGGTACCACTGTACAGATAACAACTTTTCCTAAAAAGGTTAAAAATAACCTTTTCATATTATCCTTCATATTATCAGTCTAACCAGACCTTATCCAAGGAGGAAACAGGAATCCTTGCAGTAAAGCTCAACAAAGTTCTCAGGCCCAGTTCAAAGTGCTGTTTTTGACCTTCAAAGCCTTGGGACCCAGTACTTACAGGGATGTCTTTCCCCATATGAACAAGGATGCTGAGCTCACCATTTGAGGCCCTTCTTGGTGTGCCACCCCCGAGGGAGGTCCAGGAGCTGGGGACAAGAGAACTAGCCTTTTTTTTGTAATAGCTCCCAAACTATGGAAATGCTCTTCCCAGGGTGGCCCACCTGGCACCATCTTTCAACTTTCTCAAGTTTTTCATGATGCGGAAGCTGTTTTTGTTTCCCCATGCATTTGGAGAACACCAATGATTTATGTTGTTGAATTCTAAGTGTGTTAACATGCCAATGTAATTTTTATTACTGATTCTTTTTGTTGGCTGTTAAGGCTTTTTGCTGTGGGAATGGATATATAATGCACCTAAACTACTTTGTGGTTCTTTACAATCAAGAGATGTACAAATTTTATGAATAAATAAAGTAATAAAATAAAATAAGCCAGTTGGAAATTCTGAAGAAGCTGCTGAGTTAACCTGTCCCATGAGCATCTTGCCAGCCCCCTAATGACCTACTGACCCCTGACCTCTTTCCCTTCATGCCAAGATCCTGCTTCCTTATCAGCTATGCCCTTGCTCCCACTTGAACACCATGTTACTCTTGACTCCAGGAACAAGGAACAGACCTCTCTTCCCAAGTCACATACTTTCTTTTAAATGCTATCTCCTGGAAGGAGATACAACCAACAAGAAAGAAAGAAAAACCCAAGCAGATCATTCCTTTTGTAAATGTTTACATAAGGAGACTTTAGCAGAAACAGTTTTTTGACACCAATAAATCCTCACTGCAATGAGTCCTTTGTTTCCTCCTTCAGTCTTCTTTTGCCACGCCCCATTCAAGAGTGGCCACGCTTTAATGCACTGATGACTCAGCCTGCAAGTGGTAGATCTTCCATAGACTAAACCTTCAACTTTTAACTTGACATGTTTACTTAAGTTGCTTTCCTGCTCAACTTCCAGCAGCACACAAGAAAATACAGGGACCTCTCTATATGGGTAGGGTCCTTTGGCACACAAGAACAACTCCTCACTGTTTGTATATATCAAATGCAGCGGTACCTCAGGTTACATACGTTTCAGGTTACAGACTCCGCTAACCCAGAAATAATGCCTCAGGTTAAGAACTTTGCTTCAGGAGGAGAACAGAAATCGTGCTCCAGCAGCGTGGCGGCGGCAGGAGGCCCCATTAGCTAAAGTGGTGCTTCAGGTTAAGAACAGTTTCAGGTTAAGAACGGACCTCCGGAACGAATTAAGTACTTAACCCGAGGTACCACTGTATGGAGATATGACCTCACAGCCTTAATATTTGGCTGCCTCTTATCACACAGGCATTTTTTTAAAGACAGCAGTCAACATTAATGCAGAAGGGGTCCTGGCAAAGTACAGTGGTACCTCGCAAGACGGAAAACTCGCAAAACGAAAGGGTTTTTGGTTTTTTGAGTTGCTTCACAAGACGATTTTCCCTATGGGCTTGCTTCGCAAGATGAAAATGTCTTGCGAGTTTGTTTCCTTTTTCTTAAAATCATTAATACAGTTGTGACTTGACTTCGAGGAGCAACTCATAGCACGCAGTGTGGTAGCCTTTTTTGAGGTTTTTGAAGACTTTGGTGATTTTTGAAGCTTTTCCAAAACTTTTCCGACACCGTGCTTCGCAAGACGAAAAAAACCGCAAGACGAAAAACTCGCGGAACGAATTAATTTCGTCTTGCGAGGCACCACTGTATTCTATAGTCTTCAACAAAACCTGTTTTTCCCAGTCATGTCCAGCACATTGCCAGTTGCAAATTTTTTATTTTTTCATTTTTATGAATGTAACAAATGGGTACATATTTGTATACCAATTTGGTGTAGTGGTTAGAGTGTTGGACCAGCGTCAGGGGCCAACATCTTAATCAGCCATGAACCTCACTGGGTGACCTTGGGACAGTCATTGTCTCTCAGCCTAACCTACCTCAGAGGGTTGCTGTGAGGATAACATGGGGAGGTGGGGAACCACATGCACCATTTTGAGCTCCTTGGAGGAAAGGTAGAATATAAATGTAATCACACACATAGCTTTGCTCTCTCAAACACCCATCCACCCACAGGTCTAGAACATGAAATGCTGTCCACATGCTATGCTTGCTTACTCCCATTCTCCAAAGTGTGGGCAAAACCCAATTTATGCTGATTCACCTGACCACACAAAGTAGCATTTCTCCACTGCTGGTAGCAGTAGCAATATTAAACCTGGCTACATCTGCATCTGCCTGGATTTTATTCCTCTTTCGAAACCTCTGCTGCTATTGCTACCGGGAAAAGAAACCCCACAGTGTAAATAAAGGAACAGGTTAAAAGATGATCACTGTGGACAAAATTCATCTGCAGTCATCCACTCGGGTGGAGCCAGGGATAGCAAATGGAAAGCAGAATTGGAAAACCTGCAAGACAACTTATGATGGAAGAAGCGCTTCCTTGTTAGGATCTGGCTGCGATGCTGACCACAGAAAAGTAAAAATAAATACAATGTTCAAAGCTAGGAGAAGTGGCTAAAGACAATAGTCCATGCAGGAGTTCATTCAAAGTTTTTTTAAGCATTATGAATCTAAGTTGAGGGTTGAACTGAATTTTTGAAAAACAATTCAGCACAGAAGGACTATGACAAGGCAGTGTGGGGCAGGGAACAGAATATCGGATTCCAGGATCTCTAACCAGGGCTGTACCAAGGAGGAGAGCTACAGAACAGTTTGTTTACTAGAAACTCAAGGCCCACCGACTGGAACTAAATGCAAAATGGTGGCTGTGGGATGAAAGAGCCAGATGCAAAAGATGTCGTGTGCCCCTCAGCTTCAACAGGATCTGGCATGGTTTAGTCAGGATCTGGCAAGGATTTGGCATGGATCTGGCATGGTTTAGTATTCTTGAGTGGAGGTTGATGAAGGAGATGAAGCAGAGGGGGTGGTTGAAGGCTAGCACTCAGGGATGGAGGACAGAGCTCCCCACCTTTCAATCCCTGAGTGTGAGAGAGGGAGAAGGTAGTCTGGCAGCTCTTTCCACTACCCTTCCTGCAGAGCCACCGTGGAGGGAGATGGACCTCAACCAGCTGGTGATAGTAGTGGAGCAGGAAGTGACGGCAATGGAGTCTGAGTCAGGGGGCAAGAAACAGTCACAATGTCTTTCCCCACAACTCTCCCCATTTCCAAGTGACTACAAAACTTGCTGCAGTGGAAACCCAAGTGAGATGAGCAGTGTTAGAAACTGAGATATGAAAGCTAGGAGCTAAATGGCACCTTAAACCTAGGTCAGGCTTCCTCAACCTCAGCCCTCCATATGTCTTTGGCTTACAACTCCCATGATCCCTAGCTAGCAGGACCAGTGGTCGGGGTGATGGGAATTGTAGTCTCAAAACATCTGGAGGGCTGAGGTTGAGGAAGCCTGACCTAGGCTATGGGCGCAATAACAGAATGTCTATGTGCACTTTTTTTATAAGAAGAATTCAAAGCTGAAAATGAATAAACTGCAGCTAGAATCTTATGTTCATTTTTCACATGGCCTATTCCTCATCTGGAGACTGCAAAAAACAAAGCCATGCATCCCCTGCCTGCCCCCCCCCAATATTCTTAAGAGGGTCTCTTCTCCAGTCTTCAGAGAGTGGCTGGAAGTGGGAAGGCAGAAAAAGGTCCTCCTTTCCTTCCACTCTGCAGTTTTAATCTGAAATGTTAGGCGCAGCAATGCACCCAGAGCTCAGAAACTGCTTGCGCTAATGATATTCCTTGTTGCAAAACGTGCCTAGAACAATGGGAGTTTCAAACGCTGGAGATGAGTAAAAGAAGTGGTGAAGGCCCACTCTGAAAGAATGCAAAACATGCCTTCAGAGAGTGCTTTCTGATCCTCCAGCTAAGTGCAACACAGCAGTCCAATGACATCATCCATTGATTTTTGGTGGCTGTGCAGATGTTTTTTAAGCTGGTGGTGACAGAATGATTGCCCATTGCTGAGAATGATTCTGCCTGCGTGAGAATTCCCTGATGAAATCCTAAATGCACTCTGTGCTCTACAGGGACCACAGAGAAAAAGAAATCAGAAAAGCTTACAGTGAACTTTATTTACTCTACAGTGATCGAAGGAGAAAGAAGAAATGAAACAGATAGCTCATAACCTTTTAAACAACAATAACAAAATATCCTCTATTTGGAGCATTTCGACATGGTACAAACATGTTATTATTCTGCTTTAACCGATAAGATATAAGGGGTTTTTTTGCATTATTGTACTATTGGATGCTCAGTTTGTGTAGTATGCTATGCATGATAGATATTGTGCTTTTAATCAGGTGTTTGGTACTTCTGAGTTTTGCTTTTTATTAGCCTGAGGTTTGTACAGTGGTACCTCAGGTTAAGTACTTAAGTTCCAGAGGCCCGTACTTAACCTGAAACTGTTCTTAACCTGAAGCACCACTTTAGCTAATGGGGCCTCCTGCTGCTGCCGCGCCGCCGGAGCACGATTTCTGTTCTCAGCCTGAAGCAAAGTACTTAACCAGAGGTAATACGTCTGGGTTAGCGGAGTCTGTAACCTGAAGCGTATGTAACTTGAAGCGTATGTAACCTGAGGTAGCACTGTAATAGATTTTGTTTATATGTTCCAAAATCTAGGTGTGGAACCACCAGTTTGCAGACCTAACTTGGCCCACCATGCCAAGTTTGATATAGTCTGCATCATCATCATCATCAACCCACTCTTTACCCAGGGCGAGTTACAACAAGTGAAACACAACATTAATATTAAAATATTACACAATATTAAAAACAGCTTAAAACAACTTAAAATTAATAATAATAATAATAATAATAATAATAATAATAATAATACATGGCAGCAGGTATGGGGTGGGTAAAGGTGGGGTTTCAAAGGTACAATCAGGAGCTGAGGGTGGTCTCCCAATTGTTTCTTTGCCGGAGCAAGGTGTGTTTCAAACGCCCCACCAGCTGATGGATGGTAGGAACACACCTTGCTCAAGGAGCAGGAAGCAGTTTTCATTCAATGGAAACTGCTTCCCTCACCCAATCAGTGCTGATCCTCTCTCTCTCAACCTCCAAAAGCAGCACAGGAAGGTTTGCAAAAAGCCACTTTGTGCAGTTCATTTGCACCTCTGACATAATCAAAGGGATAAAAGCATATTCAAATTAAAACGATGGTCTGCAAGGTGCACTCACTAGGTGCAGCTCAATATCCAGGGAGTTTTCACTGCATATTCAACGTAACTTGTACCTGAACTTATTCACCTGGAATCAATGCTAGGAATTCAGAGCTGTGCATGAGCATGACACGGTTTTTCACAATTTGGCTCCAGAACGCTCAGACAGCTGGGATTGGCATGATCAAACAACAACAAATCCAGTACGCACAGGAAGGACAAAAGCAGGTGTTAACTTTTGTCTGTGGCACATTTTGTAGGCCCCAAAACATTAATGCCCTTATTAATAAAACAAAAGGAAACAGCTACAGAGTAATAGGGTGTCTACACTTCCCTCAATTTATTCAATCGCAGACTAATTCAGGGTCTTTAACTGAACAGAACAAAGCAAGGAAATTATCTAATTTGTTCAAAGACATGTTCCTAGTCTGGCTGCTGAGTAGAAGCAACACGAGAAGCTAGAAAGTAATGTTACTATGTTTACTAGTCAACTTTTAAATTGCAGTAACACCTCAAGGCTTCCGTCTAGACAGGCAACTCTATTGTTCCACAGAGCATAAGTATTAATTATTGCTCTTCACCTCCCAAAATAGCATTCAGACACAAGAATGGTATGAAAACACACCCGCTTGACTTGCCATAAGATGGCAATGATTACACTACATTAATCACAAGGTCTCCTGCCAGCCTGCAAGACAGAAATGTGGATCCAGAGTTTGCTCCAAAGTAGTGGTGGGCATTAGCTCAAGCCTTGAATGTTGTAATTCTCAATGCTGCAGAAGTGCAACAATGGCTCCGAGACCACTAGACTGGAGGCTCAGCTACATTAGTTAAAAAACAGTGTTCTGAATGGTGCTACAAACATGCAACACCAGATGGCACTGGAGAGCAAAAAAAAATTCTATGTGATTTTCCATAGTGTTTTTCTTTTCTTTTGCTATAATGATTTAATTTCTGACTTATTTATAGTGTTTTCTTCTTGTGTGTAGACCAACCCTGGATTCAGAGTACTGCTGGTGACAAGCTACGTCAATGGAATAGTTCAAAATGCAGGTGGCAGTTGCAGCTTCCTCTGCCATAAAGGAAATAAAACAAGAGAGCTCTAGAGGGAGATGATGGATGTTGGCAGCTATTTTGGTAGACCAAATTCAAGACAATTTTGGAGAGAAAGCAACAGTATGGAGGAAAGGGGCTTAAATGATAGGGATTTTGGATCTGCAAGGGTAGTGTTTAGGCCCAGGGGAGGGGAAACAGGTGATTAGAGATGTGCTGTTTGGGCAGGCAAGATTAGGAAGAAAGGCAGCATGGAACTGGATTATTACTAACTATTCATTTTATTTATTTATTTATATTTATAAAGGTAACCCATGTGTTCCTCCACCATCAAAATGAGTGAATAAAGAATGGATGAGAGACAGGTGCTGGGCAAACAATATGAATCTCTAGCCCATCTGAGTTAGCACCTCTGTTTTAACGTAATCAAGACCGGCCCAAGATAGTTTGAATCCCAAGACAGAAGTCCAAATGCTGTCCCTTTCCACACACAAACAAACTAAAATGCCCATCTACAAGCATTCTGCCCAAGGGGCGTTGAAAGGAACAGGAGTTGCGTAACAACATTCGTTTGATCTTGTGCAATTCTCACTCCTTTCAAACAGGACTTGAGCAGAAGCACTTTCTGGTAGTAATGATGGATGAATCTGTCCATTTTGGTTTCTTTCAGTTCCTCTCACCCCCCCCATCTTATTTTCAGCTAAATACATTTCCACATCGGTTTACAAATTTTGACAGCATTTACGTAAGTACTCATTTCTCCAAATAGACACATTTTTTACAAGCAATTTCCCCTTTCGTATGTTACTTTCACTAATTTTTGCACATGCTTCCCTAATATATGCATTTTGTACACACCTGGGGAATGCACAAGAAAATTCAGAGAAGTGCGAATTTCAAAGGAAAGCTATGTTTTGGTTCACACATAGTTTCAGGAAGTGTCTGTTAGGTAGGTTGGCATTAAAATGCTAACCAGACCAAATTTCTCTGCCATCCATCTGGCTGGTGGACTGTTGCCATGGATCACACCTGTCACTCAGCTCCCTTGATCGTGTGCCCAGTACCTATTTCACCTTATTTCATAGTAAGACACATAAAATATCTTCTGTCATATTCTTCATCCCAACGCTAGTGATATTCAATGAGTTTAATGGAGATCTATCTCTGCATAAATGAATTCTGGGTTTGTCGGGCAGATGACAAGAGACTAGGAGAAGTTATGCATTGTATTCCTTCAAGTGCCAAAGTTGATAGCCTCAGGGGTGAGCCATAGGGCTGAAGAACCTATCAGGGAAGTAGCTCACCCATTTTGGTCTTACCTGTTCTATAGCCTGTGTTATTGAGGTACACTGCAAACGTGCGAATTTCATGCTGGGCCTGCCAAGATGGAGAGGAGCAGTTTTCATTGTTGGTGTAGGTGTTGTGATTGTGGACGTACTTCCCTGTGAGTATTGAGGAGCGGGACGGGCAGCACATAGGTGTTGTCACGAAGGCATTGATGAAGTGAGCACCTCCCTGTTCCATGATCCTCCTTGTCTTATTCATCACTTGCATTGAACCTGAGGAAAGAAAAAGCACCACCGTGTCATCAAAAAGAGATCGAGAGCTGAAAGCTCATTGCTCTGCTTTTGTCAGAAAGTTTCATTGCACGTAAGACAAAAGAAGGCACTTTATGATAAAACGAGCATAGTTGTTTTAACCAGCGAGGGCGGAGAAGGCTGTGCCAAATATCTCCTGCTGGTTACATCTTCACAGTAGTGTAAGTAGCTTTGGAATTAAATCCCTCAACTTTTTTAAAAAGATCTTTTTAACCTTTCAGTTTTAGGACTTAATTGCCTCATACTGTGTATATATATAGAATCCTAGGTCTGCTCAAGGAATCTGCTACTGCTCAGTATGGCTCTCATGCTACCTCTGCGGCAGATTGTTAGCTACATTTTGTGTGTGTGTTTGTTTTTAAGCCGAACAATTTTCAGTGGTTTTTTTAAAAACAACAACGATGAAAACAAATTCTGTATCACAGTGAACCAGCAAAGAAAACAATTTGGGGCAAAGGAACTTCAAAACTATCACTTTGTTCTGATAATCATTGCTCTGTGAGTGGATTAAGGAAAGACTCAAGAGATGTTCTGTTCTAATCCTCTTCTAATGCAATCAGGGAAAGGGCCAAAACTCAGCTGTAATGCTTTGCATGCTGAAGGCACCACTTTCAATCCACTTTTACTTGGGGAAGGTTCAAGTAGCTGGCGATGGGGAAAATCTGTGCCCAAGACTCTGGAGAGCTCAGCCAGTCAGAAAACACACACTGGGTTAGAGGGACTAACAGCCTGACCTGATATACGGCAGCTTCCTAGGTTTTTAAATCACTGATGCAGCAACAAGCTGCACACAACCTTATTGACTTTTAGCATGTATGAGAAAATGCATAAGGTGGGTCCACAAGCAAAGGCAACCACAATGAATAGTGAGCATACAAGTCTTGTTCAAGCAACCTGAAAGGAGAGGGAGGGTGAGTCTTATGCTTCCAGGCACCCCATCCCCAGGGAGGAAGGAATACAGGAATCACTGCAATATAGTGGCACCTTGGGTTACATACGCTTCAGGTTACAGACTCCACTAACCCAGAAATAGTACCTCGGGTTAAGAACTTCGCTTCAAAATGAAAACAGAAATCGTGCTCTGGTGGCGCAGCAGCAGCAGCAGCAGGCCCCACCCATTAACTAAAGTGGTGCTTCAGGTTAAGAACAGTTTCAGGTTAAGAACGGACCTCTGGAACAAATTAACTACTTAACCCGAGGTACCACTGTAGAGTGTTTATCCATACCCTAAGTGAGATACTGCCTCCTCTTGGAGTATAAGTCCTTGAGTCCTCTCCCTACTTTACCCAGCCATTCCATTCACTTTATTTAATTATTCATCATCTCAGCCATTTTCATTGTTATTGAACTAGTTTCAGTTATTAGCATCCATTTTGCTTCCAATGGGAGCCACGGTGACTCTTCTGTTGCTTGTCACTTCTGTGTTTTCCATCCAACTGGTATGAAATTGCCAGGGATTCTATGTATTGTCAAGTTTATCCAACTGATTAAGACCTGCTAAACTTTAGACGGGGGGCGGGGGGGGGGGGAAGAGTCCTCGTTTTGTAGGCTGCTTTAAAAATACTCACAGTCTGATCCACAGATCACTCCAAATACTAGTATCTCTCTCTCTCTAATGATGAATTAAAAATAAGTTAAGTACAAGGAAATGGGGAAGGTAGGAAGACAGTGTGGACTGGATTAAAAATGCTTTTCCGGACCCAATTCAAGTTTCTCAAGTTAGTGTTTAAAACGAGTTACCCCCCAAATATCTGAAAGATGGCTGACTTCCCACCTAACTCTCCCAAGTGTTAAGAGGGCCCCTACTCCTGATCTTGGGACGCGGGTGGCGCTGTGGGTTAAACCACAGAGCCTAGGACTTGCCGATTAGAAGGTCGGCGGTTCGAATCCCCGCGATGGGGTGAGCTCCCGTTGCTCAATCCCTGCTCCTGCCAACCTAGCAGTTCGAAAACACGTCAAAGTGCAAGTAGATAAATAGGTACCGCTCTGGCGGGAAGGTAAACGGCGTTTCTGTGCACTGCTCTGGTTTCGCCAGAAGTGGCTTAGTCCTGCTGGCCACATGACCCGGAAGCTGTACGCTGGCTCCCTTGGCCAATAAAGCGAGATGAGCGCCGCAACCCCAGAGTCGTCCACGACTAGACCTAATGGTCAGGGGTCCCTTTATCTTTACTCCTGATCTTAATAGTTCCACCTCACTCACAAGCAGGACTTTTTTTTCTAGAAAAAGAGGTGCCAGAACTTGCCGTGCTGACCTCAGCCTTTGGTGCACAGAGAGGTGCCGGAACTCAGTTCCGGTAAATTCCAGCTGAAAAAAAGCTCTGCTTGCAAGTTCACAAGAGAGAGCATTCTTTGTGGCAGCCCCTATGTTGCAGAATTCCTTCTCCACAGAGGTTCATCTGGCTTCTTCACCATGAAGCCTTCTGTGAATGATGAAGATGCATCTCTTTACCCTTGCCTTTGACACCTGAGGTGTCTTTTTTTCAGGGCCCACCCTATTTCCGTGATTGTAACCTGTTTCAACCATTTTAAATTTTAAATTGTTGCAGCCTCCCTGGGACCTGCTGGTGAAGGGCAAGTAGCACAATTTATGATACTCGTGAACAGAGCAAATGGGCTCCATATGTTTCGATACTTCATTACAAAAGGAATGTGTACTCTTAGTAGGAAGTGATCAAACATTAACAGGAACACCCTGTAAGAATTCCGACCGGTTGCCATTGTCACTCTTTCCACTTGGGAATGCCGCCCCCTCAGGAATTTATCTCACAAGCAGTTGTAGTTCAGATTTCAATTTGTCCTTCAAAGGCTTTTCACAAATCTATGCACCCCATAATGGTTTCTATCGTTAGAATAGCATGCAAAATTTCTTAAAGAATGGGCAGAGTGGGGGAGGGAGGGAGAGAGAGACTTGAGCTTTTACAGGATATGGGAAGATTCTAAAGGGGTGGACATGTTTGCATTTGAGTGGGGCTCTCCTAAGCCATTTTGGAACAGACAAAAATGGCTCTGTATCATATTTGCAGCAATTATAAGGTTTGTTATGCAAGACTGAAGCAGAACAGGCCTCTCTTAATGCAGAGTTCTCTCTAGTAGCCACAAGGTCAAGTTGCCATCAACCTTCTCCTGCCATTGAAGAGATGCCTTCATGTTTGGGGGGATGCCAGTCCCACACCTGTGTGCCCTTAAGCCCCTGAACCAAGGTGTCCAGTGAGAGCAGCCGCAGGCTACAGCATGCTGAGTTTTAACTTGACTAAAGCCTGCACCAATGTATTTTCAAGACAAGAGGCTCACGTTAGAGAATATTTAGCTGGCTCACGGCACTGGGATTTCCTTTTATCTCTCCATCAGCCATTCAAAGTTAGCAAAGGTCAGGTGTGCTCAATTACCTAAGTGGCTCTAGGCCAGTCTGTGGTAAAATGGCATCACAACCTAGTCCCTAAGAGAGAGATGACAGCCAAAAGATGCTTTAAAGTCTACACTCTGTAGGCGAACCCCCCCAAAAGTAGATGAAACTAAAAGGATAATACAAAGTGGATCAAGAGAGCTAGCTTTTGCCACTACGTAGGGATATTTGGCTAACCACCCTATGGCAGAAAGAACAGAGATATTATACATGTGATGAACAAATAAATAAGTGGGTAGGAAGATGCACATGGCGTGGAAAAATGTGATAGAGGAAAGTTTTTCTCCATCTCTCATAATGCTAGAATTCATGGGCATCCAATGGGAATGAATGTTGGAAGATTCAGGACAGATAAAAAAAGTATTTCTTCATTTAGCACATAGTTACCGTATGTTTCGCTCCATAAGACACACTTTTTTCCTCTTAAAATCTAAGGGGAAATGTCTGTGCGTCTTATGGAGCGAATGTGTGGTCCCTGGGGCTGGGGGGGGGGGGAGGACCCAGGCTTCCCCTGCCAGCCCCGACAAGCTCTGGGAGCCGACCTGCTCTTTGGGGCTAGTGGGGGAAAGCCGGGCTTGCCTTCACTGAAGCCTGCACACCGACCCCTCTTGCTCTCCAGGCTTCCAAGGTAGCTGCCTGAAGCCTCCAGAGTGCAGCAGGAATTCCCGCTACGCTCCGGAGGCTTTGGGTTGCCTTCACTGAAGGCGAATGCAATGTGGGAGAGGGAGAGATGTGCAGCACCCCTTCAGCGAAGCGGGAGGAGAAATGGAAGGGGCTCCGTTTCTCCTCCCGCTTTGCTGAAGGGGCGCTGTGCAGAGAGGGGGAGAATTTTTTTTTCTTGTTCTCCCCCTCTAAAACAAGGTGCGTCCTATGGTTGGGTGCATCCTATAGAGCGAAAAATACGGTAACTACGGACATCACTTGCACAGGAGGCAGTGATGGCCACCAAACTGGAAGGCTTTAAAAGATGACTGAATTATCAATGGCAACGAGCCATGATGGCTGCGCTCTGCCTGCATGGACGAAAGCAGTAATGCTTCTCAACACCAGCTGCCTTGAAACCACTGGGCATGGGGAAGAGTGCTCTTGTGCTCGGATCCTGCCTGAGAGTTTATCCACAGGCACCTAATTGGCCACTTTGATAACAGGATGCTGGATGAGATGGACCATGGGCCTAATCCAGTAGGGTCTTCTTATGTTCACCCCTGCACTAGATCAGGCTGTTTTGATGAAGACGGAATGAAAAAGGGGTGTTTTCTTTTGCCCACTCTCTATAACTCCATCTCCATCCTCCCTGATAACTATAAATGCTCAGATTTGGGCATCCAGCCCTCTAATGCTATATCTCACAACATGGGAAGTCATTATAGAAGATGACACTGCACCCCCCCCCCCAAAAAAAATGAGGCCAGGAGAGCATGACAAAGCTCTCTGGAGCCCCAAGCAGGTGCACTCCTTTTAGGGTGTGGGGATGCACTGCAACATTTTGTTGCACATCCTACTTCTTTCCTCTAATGTTAACGCTCTTCACCACCCTTTTTTTTTTTTAAAATGCATGGCCATTTGTGGACCAAATGTAACTCTGAACACAGTTTGGAAGACACAGATACCAGCTTTTTCCTCTCCATCTTGTGAAGCGAACCCTCTCTCCCTCCCCTCAAAACCCAGGTCGAATCACTGTTTTGTCATTCTGCTATTAAAACGCAATTTTAAACAACCCCTTTAAATGGCAGAGGCATCTGTGCAGAAATAACACTACATGTTAACTCCCCCCTTGGGGACACTAACCTCCTTTAATAAAACCACTGTAATGACAAGGCCCTATATATCAACAGTCTTTAATACAGAAACATATGATCTAATCTACTTCCACAGCTTGAGAGCTGATGTGAAGTGACAGATCAGTGGAAGGTAAAAATCCAGGGTACCCCTTCCGTGCAATCTTAAATAGGCCAGCTTTAAATATTTTACAACAGCGCCAAGCCATCCAACAAAAATTCACTTCGTACTGCCTCCCAACACAAACTTTGGAGAGGCGGAAGAAATCGGATTCCTTCCTTTTGTAGGACATTGGTTGGGTGTTAATCGGTCGTTGTAATCTAAGCAAAACAGCTGCCTCTGGAGTAGGAAAAGCTTCCAAGCTGTCACCAATTCGGTTCTGATGTTACTTAGTAATGCTGCTGCTTTGAAAATGTGAGCATCCTCTTCAGAAGGTGGTCTCCATTGCAAATAACTAAGCCCTGTTTATGTTTGCAAACTCGTGTTGAAAGGGCATGGCGTAAGATCAGACATTTTTAGTTGACCCAGAGATAAAGTCTTTCTAAGAATTCCGAACTCTTGGAATTTTTTTGTTTGACATATACAGAGAAGACCAGTGTATCTTGGCTCCTTATGGGTGAATCAACACTGGATATTTGCTTCCTTTCAGTTCTTCTGAAAAGAGAAAGCACAATACGTTCCTGCCCACAAAGAGGTTAATTTTGTAGTTTTCTGCACCAACAATGCATCCGTGTTTATGTATGTTTGGTGCTTACTTGAAAAACATGCTGCACTGTATCCTGCAACTGGAATTCTACATGATGCACATTACACAGATTTGTATAGCTTATTCTGCAATTGCAAGTCCCAGAAAAAGGCAAGAGTTAAGGCACTGAAGCCTCCAGCCAGTATCCACAGCAAAATTCTGCTGAGCACCACTCCTGCGGGCAAGAAACATGGTTTGGTTTTGCTGTAAAAAGAAAGTTGAGAATCCCAAGATGATAAACCCTACAATAAGCCAACACCTATTTCTATGGTATGGCATGGCCACAGAAAACGTTCAGCACATTTGGTTGAGATTCCTTCATAGCAAGGGGTTGGATTAGACGAACCTTGCAGTCCCTTCCAACTCTACAATTCTATCGTTATATGATTCAGCTGCTATGTTTCCACACAATGATGCCACATGCTGTCAGTATCAAAGACATGCTTTGCAACAGCACCAATCAATCAGTATGATAATTCAACACAGGAGCTCTTTATTCTCCTGGACTAACATACAAGGAGCTTGTCAGTTTTCTCATCAAGTATGGTCCAATAGACAGTACTGCCTGGATTTGGGCCTGGGAGACTAAAGTTCAATTTGAGTTCAGCAAGAGACTCCTAGGACAGCCTTGGGCAAATCAAGTTCTCTCAGTCTCTCCCTCTCCAAAAATGTAACATGAGAACATTAATGGCCTGCTTCATCAGGCTGGACTTATGAGGACACTAAAGCATTTCACACATTGCAAGGGATCTGCAGAAATGACTGGGGGAAACACACACATCAAATAAAGGAAAACTGCTCCGTAACATTGCAAAATATATTGCCATGCAGTGTTCCTGCACAATCACTTACTAAAATAATGTTTTAATATTTCATAGAATCATAGATAAATAATAGAATGGTAGAGTTGGAAGGGATTCTGAGGGTCTTCTCATCCAACCCCCTGCAATGCAGGAATCTCAACTGAATGTGTTGAATCTTTTTGCCCAATGTGGGGCTCGAACCCTTGACCCTGAGATGAAGAGTCTCATGCTCTACCAACTGAGCTAAAGTGTGGGGGGGGGGGGAGAAGTAAAATGTGAAGTTGTCCAGCACTGTAAGAAAAAAAAATAATGGTTGTGTGTTACAACTCTCAACAGAGATGGGCTCCTTTACAAAAAGTTGCAATGCTAATTTAGCAACCCTTTGCAGAAGCAATATTGAAATTTTCACCAGCTAGTATCACATTGTCAGAAATCACACCATTAATGCCAAGTCTGACAACTTCAATTACCAAAGAGCTAGAATTAAATCCAAATGCTCTGAGTGAGTAAAATTTGGGGAGTGGTAACTGCGGGTGGCAAAGTCAGCTCAGCCTCTGAAACTTTAATTAAAAATCTTGTCATAAATACTTTCTAATTGAAACTTTTCTGTAAATATATTGTCATCCAGGTTTTTAAAAAATTGCCATTTCTTGCTCCACATTAAGACTAAACATTAATCTTCCATGCCACATATTGAGCTGCTGAATAAGATTGTAGACAACTTGCTCCAGTGTTAACTTGTCCTTTTTAAACATCAACTGGTAACTCCTAAGCCAGAAGGCAAATGAACCTATGGAGGTTATGGTGGCTCTGGCTTTGGAACTTTTCAGCTGTCCATGGTGGGTGGCTGTGCAGGTCTGGCTCATCTTTCATTGAAAATATCCCACCAGCAGAATGAGTTGCTGATCAGGGATCTACAGGATAAAGAACACTCTAGCACCCAGTAGCCAAAGCTATTAAGTGAAGTAATCATGCAAGCTAACACCAGTCCAGCTTTCATTGGTACAGTAAATATGTGACTGGGCTGTACAGCTTCAGAATACAGGATCAACCATAGAAAATATTCCCTCTAGTTCAAAAATTAGCATGTCACCATAGTATTCTCCCTGATATGGTACTGCTTTGTGTGGAATGAATGTTTTGTAGGAAGGAGCATGCAGTTAAACTCATGTGAACTTAATTCTCAAGTGAATTAAGTAGTACAACCACTTGTACCACTCATTCTCAAGCGGTACAACCCAGAATTACCACTGAGAACTAGGTCTTCATTATTTTACTTCATACTAAAGCAGCAACAACCCTGTATCCATACAAAGGCCTAGTTTGCATGTCACGGTAAGCCAACTATGGCTTACCAGGACCGCACGAACCTGCTTAGCCTCCCTGTTCATAGAATAATAGAACTGTAGAGTTTGAAGGGATCCCAAGGGTCATCTAGTCTAACCATCTGTAATGCAAGAATCTCAACAAAACCTCTGCTTAAAAACCTCCAAGGAAGGAGTGTCCACCACCTTCCAAGAGAGTTCGTTCTACTATTAAACAGCTCTTATCATCAGAAAGTTCTTCCTGGTGCTTAAGTTGGATTCTATCGTCTTGTAAGTTGAATCCATTGGTTTGAGTCCTACCCTCCAGAGCAGGACTAAGCAAGCTTGATCCCTTTTAGCCTCCTCTTTTCCAGGCTAAACATGCCCAACTCCTTCATAAGGCTTGGTTTCCAGACCCTTGATCATCTTGGCCGCACCCCTCTGGGCACATTCCAGCTTGTCAATATCCTCCTTAAATTGAGGCACCTGGAACTGGACACATCTAGACTACTCCAGGTGTGGTCTGACAGAGCAGTACTATTACTTCCCCTGATCTGGACACTATACTTCTGTGGATGCAGCACAGAACAGCATTAGCTCTTTTTTCTGCGGCATCACACTATTGACTCATGTTAAGCTTGTGGTCTACTAAGAGCCCTGGATCTTTTCCACATGTACTTCTGGCAAGCCAGGTGTCCCCCATCTTATATTTGTGCAGCTGGTTGTTTCTGCCTAAGTGCAGAACCTTATATTTTTCCCTGTGGATATTCATGTTGTTTAGTTTGGGCCCAATTCATCCCGAAGCCCACTTCTGTCTTCTGCAGCATTAGCTACCCACCCACCAGCAGCTTTGATGAGCATCCCCTCAATTCCTTCATCCATGTCATTTATAAAGACATTAAACAACAACAGGCCCAGGACAGAACCCCGCGACACCCCACTTGTCACTTTTTCCCCAGGATGATGAGGTATCATGAATGAGCACTCTTTGGGTTCAGTCCGTCAACAGGCTACACCCCCTTCCCCCGGCCACAACAGTTCCTTTTAGCTAAGCTTGCCGTAGCAGCTAAATGTGTCATCCAAATGTGTGGTGGTGCTTGAACTCTTTCCTCTTTAACCACGATTTGTAGCCAGGAGGAGAGCACCATGAAATCTGGGTTTTTGACACATGCTAAGCCAAGTCTTAATTGCCACGTGAAGCTAAAAGGAACAGGAAAGTACAAAGCACTTACCATATCCACCAGTGCCCTTGTGGTAAACCACAGTTTGGCTGAGCATTATATCCAAACGCAGCCAATTTGTGATGCTAGAAATTCAACCATGCAGGTGGCCTATCATTACATAAGTCCATAAATTTTCATGCATACCAGACCTCTTTTTTCCACTATCAAAGGATCAATGTATTATATAGCAACTGCCTGATTATTTCTAGCGTACACACACACACTGAGAAGCAGCCTCTGAGATTGCAATCGAGAAGAGAAGAGCATCAGCTAGGGGCAGTTTAACCCTCTTGCCTGCCTGCCTGCCTGCCCAAGCAGCTTGAGAAAGACAATTTTGAAAGGACAAAATGAAGATGGGGAAGGGTTAAGCTCTGGTTAAGCAGGCAGCCTCCAGTGGCGGCTTTCTATTAAACAAAAATCAAGAGATCATTCAAGCGTCTCCAATTTAATGTCTACTTTGGCCCATAGGAAGTAATAATAGCATGGGAGCTGGCCACTGCTGGAGAAATTGGTCTCTTTAGTAGCCTTAATTTAACAAGGGTATAGCAAATTGGAGGCCAACCAAGCTTTAAAGCATGCAATATGAGGAAAGATTAAAAGGAATTTGATATCAATCTCCAACTATTTAAAAGGCTCCCCCCCCCAAAAAAGGAGACAGGTGCCTATTGTTCTTTACTGATATGGACATGTAGACAAAAAGGCAGCAGGTTGTTTTCAGGGAAAGCAGACTTGGATGAAACCTGCATGGCTAATAATGCTTATTTGGAAGAAAGTCCCACCTAAATGAATGGGTCTTATTTTCAAGTAACTATTTCTCATTCCTGCGCATTCTATTTTATTTTATTTGTTGGTTTTAAGAACTGTTTCAATATGATAATAGCATTTTATTGTAAGCAACCCTGTTCTTGGTTTTGGAGGAATGTTGGTCTTTAAATGGTTCAAATAAATAAAAATATCATTAGGAAAGAACTGCGTGTCCTCATCTCCAGAATAACTGGGGAATGAAACCAATAAATGAAGACAGTTTGAAAGCACACAAAAATTTAAAATGTTGTGAATTAGATATTGCTTGATAGCCTTTGTAATTCTGACATTTCTGCACATTTTTTCAGCTTCTCCTTTGTATTTTGTCATGCAAAGCTCATAGACATCAATATCAGTACAATTTTAAGCATGCTTACTCATAATTAAGTCCCACCTAATTCAGTGGGTCTTGTTTCCTAGTAAATGTGTTTAGGATTGCAGTACAAGGACATAAGAAGAGTTCTGCTAGATCAGGCTAATGTCCCTTTTAGTCCAGTATCCTCCTCTCACAGTGACCAACCAAATGCCTATGGGAAGCCTACAAGCAGGACGGTGATTGTAGCAGCACTCTGCCCACCTACATGTCCACAGATAAACTGCCTCTGACAGTGGAGGTAGAACAAAACCATCATGGCTAGTAGCCACTGAAGTTTGCAATAAAGTATACAAGTTCCCTTATATTCACACATAACAATGCAAATTTCTCTCAAGTGTCTGGATTTCTGCATTTCAGGAGCCATTGGTTCTGCAATTTTTTTCTTTCTTTTCATGTTTAGATGCCTCCAGAATCTAGAACCTGACATTTTAAGAGCATTGAAGTCCTCAATATTTTCCAAAGTCTTGTTAAGGAGCTTGAGAACAAGCACATATTCACTTGTTAAATTTGTGCCCCACCTGCACACCACATGGCCCTCCGAATGTGCTCCATTAATGTCTCATAATTCCTATCGCTGCAGCAAAGCATGAACAAGCTCTTCCAAAGACCAAGTTCACTTCCACTTGATAAGAGATACAAACTGCAACGGGCACATTGCATCTATCACAACACTTTAACTCAGTGCGTCCGTTCTGACTGATCTAGTTGGACACATTTGCCTAAAGCTTTAGGCAAGATTTAAGGAAAAATCTTATTTCAAGCTAATATGTGGTCTCATGGATCGTCTAATGAGGCCTGAGGAAGACCACCCCCTGGCTCCACGAAATGCATTCTCTCTGGCCAGATCTTAATGTGTGTGGACACATGGGCCATTGTGCTTGAAATTGGCGAGAGACAACAGATCATCTGGAGAAAGGAAGTACACCGCCCAGAGGACTTTGACAATTGCATCAGAGACAAGCAGGCTGGCATAAAACAGATCGTGATAAATTTTTAAGGACCACCCTCTGGATTTTAGTCACAGGAGACTGAGATAATGTGCACAGCTTTTTGGAATATGCATTATTGAAACGGGTCTGTCTAGCTCTAAAACACACCACATTCTCACCAAAACGGTGAGATAAAAACCTTCCCTAACCTTGCTGAATTTGAACCATGATGCAATTCTTCCACCCCCCCAACTGCAGTAGAGATGTTCTAGTCACTTTACGAATTTAAAAATACATCTAAATGTCATTTGTGATTAAAAAAAAATTGAAAAAAATGAGGAGCATCATAAAAATGATGTTTCCTTTGTTAATGCCTATAGCTGCAGGAGCTGAGTGTTGCTTCTTTGGATTTCTCTTCCACGAAAATATGTTGTGCAACATGGAAATTCTATTTTAATACCCCTAAAGAAAAACAGAAGAACATGCTCACCAGCAGGATATGTATTTCTTATCCATTAGAGGCTGCAACAGCATAAAATGAACAGCAATGAAATCTCCCAACACTTGCAGGCTGTGCTGCGGTCCTATACTGTACAAGTACAGTGGACACTCGGGTTGCGAACGGGATCCGTGCGGGATGCACGTTCGCAACCCGCAGCGTTGCATCTGCGCACACGCGGGTTGCAATTCGGCATTTCTGCGCATGCGTGACCACCGAAACCTGGAAGTAACCCGTTCTGGTACTTCTGGGTTTCGGCGGTCCATAACCTGAAAAAAACGCCACCTGAAGCATCTGTAACCCGAGGTATGACTGTATACCTAGACATCCAATTGAACTCAATGGGCATGTGGAAAACTGCACTGTCAGCTACAAAATATATGTTCAAGCTAGCAGCCACTTTTTAAACCATGTGTACCAATTCCAACATTTCATAGTTCAAAATAAGGGCATGCTTGTAACCTCTCAAGCTATGGGTCACTGCCCAAGGCATCCCCTTGCCATCACTGTGTGCTACAGCATTCAGACATTCAGCTGAATGCATGGGACACCAGAGCAATCAACTGTCCACATACTGCTGTTCGCTCCCTCCATGTAGTCATCATATGTGAAATAGTCTACGATGAACTTAACTGGAACAAAGTAGCCCTCTATGCAATATGGAATGACCCGACATTAAACCATTTCCCCCCCTAATCTCAGTTACTTACACCACTTCCCAAATATTAGTTTAGGAAAGAAAATCCCAATCACTTTAACCACCGCTCCAAATTGTTATTGCAAGACCAAAAGCCTTGTTTGATCTTTGTTATCAACAGTTACACCTTCCACTTGTGAAATGGGCTATCAGCATCAGAAATGAAGGTGAAGTCTTGAATTCAGTATTTCTTGAGCAATTACAAATTGGGTATGCAAAAGACAAGAAGCGTTTTTTTGTTTTGTTTTGTTTAAAATCAGTATTGTACAGTGGTACCTCGGGTTAAGCACTTAATTCGTTCTGGAGGTCTGTTCTTATCCTGAAACGGTTCTTAACCTGAAGCACCACTTTAGCTAATGGGGCCTCCTGCTGCTGCCGTACTGCTGGAGCCCGATTTCTGTTCTTATCCTGAAGCAAAGTTCTTAACCTGAAGCACTATTTCTGGGTTAGCGGAGTGTGTAACCAGAAGCGTATGTAACCCGAGGTACCACTGTATTGCTGAAGTGGTTGATATTTGCAGATGTTCATGTACTTTTAAATTATATTTCTATAGTATATGGATTATCAGCCAGACAACAAAAGTGGGTTTTGCAAGTCCTTATGGTTGCTAAGAGACTTATACTACCATCCATTATGCAATGGTCTGAGGACCTCACCGCCCTGGCTACATTTGAAATATATATTTCGTATAGTTATCAGGTTTTGTGTGGTTACCTATCTAGACATCTGGAAAGCTTAACTTGCATGTTTAACTTCAGGTATATGTACTGGTGACTGTGTGTGTGTTATTAATAGTATTCCTTACAGATTACTTATTTTACTTTATTATTTTATTGTCTTCAGTTCTTTTTAATTCTCCTTCCTTTGTAAAATTAGCAAACAAAAATAAAATGTTTTTTAAAAAGATAAAATGAACACAACAAAATTAAGGAGGAAGAGCCTCAAGGTCACCTTTTAATTAATATAATTTTTAAAAACATTTTCTCTTCATCTACTACTTCCAATTTATCCCTTTATTTGGGTGCGGGGCTGGGGTCTGTATGTTTGTTGTGTGATATGATTCCATGTTATTATCTGTAAGAGAGGCATAATTAACTCAATTTTGGCCATCAAAAGGACAACTGCAGCTCATCCCTCCTTCTCCATTGTTCCATACAGTGCATCAGCTGACTCAGCAAAGACACACTGCACACAGCCCTACTCTGATTGTAGACAATGGAATTGCATCAGTAGTAGACTCCACCCTTATCTTTACAAGACTTATAGCCCATGATGGCAAACACTGGATAGTGAGAGCATGGTGTAGTAGTTAAGAGTGTTGGATACAGGTAACTCGCATCTTATGCTTATTTAACATATGCTTACAGGACTTTGGAGAGGAGGTGGGAGGGCTCTAGGACCCTGCCAGAGCCTTTACACTGCGTTCCCAAAGTCAGGTAAGCAGTGGGCCCAGCTCCAGATGTTCCTGGCTTTGTGCATTTTTGCACATGTGTGTGGACCCCTGGGACATAACCCTGAATATTTGTGAATTACCCATATCCTAAAATGAACAAAGCATGCACAAAGTGAATATACACGTCACATGCAATGTCAGGTATACCTGAGTTTCAGCTTAAACAACTCCAGAACACCTGGTTGCTAATGAACAATAGAGCAAATGACTTTTATTTAATTGTTGATACTGGCAGTTTTCTTACAAAAAAAAAAAAAAAAGGATTAGGAACTGTTTGATGATCCTTTGTACTCGGACCCTTTTTGCAATAGTTTGTTCATAGGCTGGAAGTTTGGCTGTTATAGCTCAGGTATGGATCTACTATAGATGAAATTCTGCATTGATGTAGGCAAAAGTGAAATCCATTGCACGTGTATTAATTACTGTTAATCAAACCTCTTACTGTTAATCAAACCTCTCTGGCTCTTACCAAGTTCTACATCCTGATCATCAGTGAGGACAAGGATGATGTTTGGACGGATATTCCTGCGGTCCCTTTGAAACCTTCCCTTCAGACGCTGATTTAGCAGGAAAGCTGAACTGTCACCCAGCAAGGATAAGAGAGTCATTGCTAATAATCCCACGGCGATGCTACGCTGTGCCATATTGCACCAATTTTGAAGAACATGCAAATAAAGGTGAGGGGAGGTTGTCTATTTCTTCTTCAAAGGCAGATCTAAGAGCAGGACAAAAAAGAGAGAGAAAGCAGGTGAGTATGGATGTGGTGAAAGTCTCAACAGAATATATAAATCATTGTTTCTAATGCAAAAAACCCAACAACACATTAAGAGCTAGTTCCTCTTTTAAGGATGAAAACTTTAAAAGACCTATAAATAACCCCACGCCATCTGCACCCTAACCACACCACTTGTATCTGCTAGAACGCAGGGCCAATTAACATTGATCTAGTGGTAGGAAAAGAGCTTTCTGTAAAAAGGCAGTGGACACCCATGAAAAAGTAATTGTCTACAGTAATTTCCCAGCACGTGCCCTCTAGAATGTCCTCTGTTTTGGAGGCATGCATCTCCCCTTCATGCTTTAGCTAATCATTGTAATGGAACAACACAGAGTTCACCAGTTAAACAAAAAAAATGCCTTCAGTATTTTTCCCCCTACACATCCATGTACACACACACACACACACACACAAAAAAAAGCAATATTTTTTTTAAATATAAAAACAGATCCACACATTTAGTCTTATCTAAGAAGCAGAAAAACAACCTGAAATGTTGAATGGGGTTTATAAGCAGTGTTAGTCCAGAGCAAGAATTAAGACCCTCATGGTTTACACAACAGCCAAGTCTCTTATTTCCCACATCAGTATATTATAAAATTGTCTATACTCAAGTTAATCCCGTGACTTTACAGGGAACACCAGCCTCAACTCCACCCTGGTGGAATGAAAGCGTGCCTACTTATACCACAGCTAGATTTGTTTCCATGTGTCCCAAAAAATACAAATTATTTAGGAAAGCATTGCGAACACAATTCTGAACAATACTGTGGGCGGGTGTTTCATGCTATGTCACCCAAGATCTGGGTTGTTTTCACAGGGCAATGGGTCCATTTTGAAAGAAGGAGACAAAACGCAGAGGTCTCATGCCAAAAACAAACCAAACACACACACACTAACTGCCAAAGACAGTTATTTACTGTGCAAAGAAGCATGCTTGCTATAATTTTTCTCAGAGGTTCTGAATTCCATTCCACTCCATAATGTGTACGTACTCTCTTTCTACACACTCTCTTTCAGTTCCCCCAGGCCTCTCTGCCACCATGTTTCCTAGTTATCCACTTTTTCTCTATGCACCCCATGGCAGCTGCTTCTTTGCCCCCATTCTTGTCACCCTTTACTACACTTGCCTGCAGCTCAGTCTCACCTTTATGCCCTCTGTTCTTTCCTGGCCCAACAAGTATCCTTTTATCTTTCTCTCCCCACTACTCTCTCTTTTTTGGGGGGGGCGGCAAGAGGTGAATGGCAGAGCACATGCTTTACATGTAGAAGGTCCCATGTCCCTAGCATATCCAGGGTGGGCTTGGAAACACCTCAAAAGAACTGCTGCTGCCAGTCAATGCAGAACAGACAGTACTGAGCTTGATGGACCTATTATCTGATTCAGTGTAAGGTTGTGCCCTATATTCTGTTTCTCTCCCCTTCAGTCTTTTTGCATTGCATTTTAACCCAGAGCTTCAAAGGATGCTTTCTTATTTCTGAACTCCTTTTTTCCCCATTGTTGTTCCTAATATGGAAACCGATCCAAGGAAATCAATTAGTTGCTTAAACTCATGCTAAGGTTTGTTTAATCAAGTGGCACTCCTAAAAATTACAGAAGCAGCCAGAAGGCTGATGATGGGTGGGGAATTCACCTGCTCAGCTTGGTTGGGTTTTTATACCCCTGCCCTATAAGGTCAATCAAGGAGAATCTACGGGCTTATAATAATATGCAAATAGAAAGCATTTCAGGATGCAGGAGTAAAAACCACAGCAGACTTAATGGAACAGGAAATGCTCCATTCTACCGCTTCCAAATGCATTATAGTAGAAACTGGAAACCATTATTTTTGCCTCCAAGCCACAATACTAATTTTGGGCTACAATTAAAAACTCTGATGCATATTGTCCCCCATCAATATACGAATGTGTATATACATGGTGGTTGCTTTTTACTATCAAGCACAAGCTTGGTTGAGACACATGTATGAGAGAAGTTGCTGCAAAGAATGGGAAGGCAGGGTTTCACTTCCTGCACGAAATCCTGAAGGATCCACCCTTTCCCATTTCCTTTAGTAACCCAGTTCCTGGATGAGACATGAGAAACAGAGATGAGTTTAGGGCTAGATAAAAAGGAGGGCAGTACAAATTAAAGGAAGGTGTCATAGAACAATTGCAAGGGTCCAGACTGGGTGTGTGCATGTGCTGATTTGACCCTATCCTATCACTATCCCACAGCCTTTTAAAGGTTACTAGTGTATCAAAAACTACTAGCTGGCAGGGATGTGGGGGCAGAAGATGGGATGGGGAACTGGGTCCTTATTGCAGCAGTCCACTGCATTTCTATGCTGGTGCAGAGGAGAGGGCTTATCTGCTTGGTTGCCATGGTGAGCCTTCATCCCTCTTTCCTCCATCTGCTCCCTTGCATGCATGTCATTAAGAAAATAAGAAGAGACTGTTGGATCAGGTCAATGGCCTACCTAGTCCAGTATCCTGTTCTCACAGTGGCCAACCAGATGCCTCTTCTGGGAAGCCCACAAGCCAGACCTGAGAACAGCAACAGTCTCCCCACTTGTGATTCCCAGCAAACTGCCTCCAATGGATGTAGATCATAGCCTTTTCCTGCATGGATTTGTCTAACCCTCTTTGAAAGCCATTCCTTTTTGCCTGTGGCTACCAGGCTAGTAACAGGACGGGGGTGGCGCTGTGGGTTAAACCACAGAGCCTAGGACTTGCCGATCAGAAGGTCAGTGGTTCGAATTCCCGTGATGGGGTGAGCTCCCGTTGCTCTGTCCCTGCTCCTGCCAACCTAGCAGTTCAAAAGCATGTCAAAGTGCAAGTAGATAAATAGGTACCACTCCGGCGGGAAGATAAACGGCATTTCCGTGTGCTGCTCTGGTTTGCCAGAAGCGGCTTAGTCATGCTGGCCGCACGACCCGGAAGCTGTACGCCGGCTCCCTTGCCCAATAAAGCGAGATGAGCGCTGCAACCCCAGAGTCAGCCACAACTGGACCTAATGGTCAGGGATTCCTTCACCTTTACCAGGCTAGTGCTCAGATACAAAGTCCTGTTTTGGCTGTGGTGGAGAAGCATTACCATCCAGAAAGGGCAAGCTAACTGCTCTCTCACGGCTTATAGGCAACATAATCTCACAATAATAGACGGGATCCTTCTATAATAGACTGAGGAATTAAATGTTTTAAGAACTCCTGTGTGTTGTAGTTTTGCACACATATTCCTGGAGCAGAGGGTGCACTGAATCACAGCAGAAAGGATCAAGTTGCTTTAGGGTGAGCACACAAATGATGGTGCAGCCCTAGCAATCGTGCATAAAAATTGGAAGACTTCCCGAATCACTAGCGTAGATAGCTTTAATTGGGGACCACACAGCTTCATGGACGATAAATCTACCAGTGGCCTTGATAGCTAAATTCTGACAACAGGTTATAGAGACGAGCAATAATATCTGCAGCCTGCTTGCAAGCTTTGGGAGAAATTGTAGCTTAGTGGAAGAGCATAAACTTTGTGTGCAGAAGGCCCCAGGCTCAATCCCAAGTAACTCCAGATACTTGAAAGCCAAAAGCTGAACTAGATGGATCTCACGTGTGCCACTGCCCTCTAGGGCAAAATTGGTGGCAGTATGCAAGGGGGCTTTTTCTGTGGCAGCGCCCCATAGGTAGAACTCTATGCCTCAAGAAGTTCGGTTGACTTTGTTTCTATTTGCATTCTGCCAGCCTTTGAAGACATTTCTTCTTAAACAACCTTTTGATCCTGTTGTTGCTTCATCTTATCTATTGTTAGCTCTGGCTTTCTGTGCTCTTGATGCCTTTTGGGCGTTTTGATGCTGCTTTTAGTCCTGCTTTGTTTTGCTGATGGTTCTAATGATGAGTTGCTCCTGTTTTTATTTTTGTGGTTGTATATAACCAGCAACTCCTTTCTAGAGCAGAAATGGGGAATAAAAGCTGTTCTATAAATAAAAGACAGCTTGGATATGATCCAAAGCAAATTCATTCTTATGGAGATTCACTGATTACTTTTAGCAGTTCTCATGCTTTTAAGACTTAGGCGAATGCAATAATTATAATTCGTAGTCATCTGACCCAGAGGATTTTTCTTATTATAATGGAAGGTAAAATTATAAAGAAGCTGCACTGGACATATCAAGTTCCAATTATTTCATCAGTTCAAGGAATCAATGAGTCAATTTTTGATAAAATTCCTTGCACACTGTCTTTATAAAGGCTGACAACAAGATCTAATGCGATGGGAATCAATTAAAAGTGACACTATGGGAATCTGTTTTTTTCCTGAAGACCAGAAGTGGCTGAGCAGAAGGGGGGAAAACCATAGCACAGCAATCTTTGCTTTGTGAAATTAAGTTAGCATTATGTTCATAAAGCAATAACAAGAAGCTCTCACCTTTTCTTGGTAGGTCATTTCTAAGTAAATATATCTGCACATCTTTGCTACAGATTCCTTTTGCACTGATAAGCCTTGATTAAAAGGGTTCTGAAGCTGTGACAAAGCTATCGGTATGAGAAATTATGACCAATTTTTCTTACACCTGCAGCAGCAATAGCAAAACTGAATTGCAATAGTGAACTGGGAGCTGCATATCTCTTAACCACAGTGAACAAGGAGAGGCTTACTTCTGAGTAAACAGGCATACGATTCTGCTGCCATGTCTTTCTGGCATGAGCACATAGGAAGGACCTGTGATGTGACAGGGCAGTAAGAGAAACATCACTTACCTTGAGCAGGTTCCCTTGGGGGGGTTTGATAATTCAATGACACCAGTGTCTGTACAACCTTAGATTTAATTTAAGGGGTGATAGTAGAACAGTAGGTTCAATGTTAATGAAAAATAAAATTGCTAGAGCGTGGCTAAATTCAGAAGGGGGCGGGGGGGGGGATCTTCTGGTCTCACTGTGCAGACAGCCATACCAGCTGTTTTCACAAGAACATTACAAGAACAGCTAGTACAACTGCACCTCATCCCAGGTAGTGCACTTGACTGCTGCTTCTGATTTATTTATTTTTACTGTTTAACGTCACTACTAGCTTTCCTGTAACTGAAAGACATCACAAGGAAGGAATGTTGCTGCTTTCAGGCTGCTGTCTTAAATAAGGAGGCCTCATCTGTACCAACATAGTGTTGTGGGTGCTAGGGTGCCAGATTGCTCTAAATTCCTGATAGGTCTTAGAATTTAATGCATGCTTGGAATGTTAAAATGGGCTACCAGACATGGGTAAAGGTAATGGGCCATCAGCAAAGTCAGAGAGAGGGGATGCTCTGCCAGATGGAAAATGGGAAGGGTTCCTCCCTCAACTCAGTTAGTTTGAAAGACAAAGGAGAGTTTTGAGGTAGAATTTTAGAGCTGAGTTTAGGATGAGGTTTTGGCAGTGATGTTGCAGGCTGTAAAAGGCTGAATCAGAGGGTCAGAGAGCCATGGCTGATTTCTGTTTTGATCCAAGGCTGCAGCTATGAGAGAAACAAGACCCTTTTGGGGTGTTAATGCTGTGAGACCCTCCATTGTAGGCTCTGATTGTCTATATGTGTAAATAAACCTTATATCATCAAGACACCACAGTCTCCACTGTGCCTCATTTCCAAAAGGAAACACAGACACCAGAAAACACCTGGAATCTCAAAGAATGCTCAGAGATTGAGATGGCAGGTACCACTGGTGTTAAAAGTAGGATTTGTGTTTCCTGGAGGAAACCCCTGTGGACAAGGTGAGCCTGGATTCATGATGGAGGGAGGAAAGGCATTCATGGAGCATTTCAAGTTGATGCTCCAGCAGCAACTCCAGCAACAGATGGGACGGCAAAGCCAGATGTTTGGCAAAATAACCCTGAAGCGAGGCCAACTGTTTGAGCAGTGGATGGAGCAGCAGAACCAGTTGTTCAATGAAATGAAGCAGCTGCATGCAGAGTGCATGAGAAGTCTGCATGGACAGAAAAGTGTGACTCCATGTGATGTGAGAGCCTTGCCTGATGAGATGCCACAAGGGGTTAAAAGTGACCTAGGAGCTGAGCTGAATAGCACCTAAAACAGGCGTCGGCAAAAAGTTTTAGCCGCAGGCCAGTCCACTGTCCCTCAGACCTTGTGGTGGGCTGGAGAAGCAGCACCAGGAGGGGGGAGCTGGAAGAAGAGGCGAGGGGGGCAAGTAGTCCTCCTCCCCAGCCCCAGCGCTTACCTTCTCAAGGGTTGCTGCTGCCACCACTGCTTCTCGTGGGTAGGCAGAGGGAGCTCGTCCACTCCGCTCTCTGGCTCACAGGAGCACCAGGGTGGTGGCGGGGGTAGCGGGAAGATGAGCTGTGCAAAAGGGCTGGCTCCAGATAGGGGCTGCTTAAAATGACGCTTAGCCAGCTCAGCCCAGCCCAGCCCAGCCCCCTTCCTCCTCTAGGCAGGGTGGGGAGAAGCTAAGAGGAGGGAGGGAGGAGGCGCTGCCACCGCGGTGTGTGTGAGGGAGAGGGGGGGAATGGAATTGTGCAGGGGGGGGGAATGGTGCCACCCGAATGTACAGAATCCCCACGCCGATCCACAGACAGTCCGCAGGCCAAATCCTGAAGGCAATTGGGCCTGATCCAGCCCGCGGACCTTAGTTTGCCGACCCCTGACCTAAAAGGAAAGAGAGAGATCCAGAGTGTGGATGGGCAGCTAAGCGGCTTGGACTGTGAAGAGATGCAATCTGTAGCTGAAGGCATGTGTGTGTGTGTGTGTGTGTGTGTGTGTGTGTGTGTGTGCGCGCGCGCACGCACTCTGGATGGAGCAGAGGAGCTGCCGCTAATTGACTTCTCTACTCCCTGCGAGCCTGCTGTGGAAAAGGAGGAATTGGAGGTGCCAGTGAGCATGCAAGAGCTGCTGTTGATTGATTTCTCTGCTCCCTGGGAGCCTGCTGTGGAAAAGGGGGAGCAGAAGGAAGTGGAGGAGAAGCCAGCTCCTGTGGGAAAGATGGTGTTTTCCTGTGTGGAGAACACACAGGAGCAGCTTGAGGCTTGTCTGCATCCACAAGAGAAGCCTGAAGGGAAACTGGCTCCTACTAAATTGAGCAAAAGAACCCCCCCACACACAATGATTTTGCCCCTTGGGTGCCCCAAGATGATCTTGTGGCATGGCGACCAGTCCCTATAATGGGTGCAGTCCTCAAAAGCAGCCAGGGTCAGCCAGGGTCCTGTGAGTTTGGGAGGCAAGAGACATTGGGAGAGCTATGAGCTATGAAGCACTCCAGAGACGTTGGATGTAGCGGTAACTGGAGAGGGGAATTCCTGGCCTCCAGCCTAGACTGAAAAATATTCCAGTGGCTGCCAACACATCATACCCAGGTATTAAGAGCACCTGGGCAACAGCAAGGATTTAACCAGTAGCTATAACCCTACTGAATGGTTCAAGCTCAAATGGACAGGGTTTGTAGTCATCTGCACTTCAAGAGAAGGCCAACAGCTGGGAGATATGAGGTTTGGGCACACACCTATGTTTCCCGATCTTCACAGTGACTTGATTGTAAGTTACTAGCCAGCTGATTTGCACTGTATACTGGAAAGGGAGCAAAAGTTACCGCCTCTGCAACACGCTAGATAAGGACTCCTTGGCAAGTCTATGGCTATGCGTTCCCCCTCCCTCACATCCCCCAAAACCAGAATAAGAGGTTGGTATCCTCTCCTGTTTAATGAATGTAGCCTTATTATTCTGTTTCACTTTTCTCCTAGTAGGTACTCAACACCTCAGGCTTCATCATGTATGTGGATACAGCCTTTGATGCAGTCTTTAAGGGCAATTCCAGGTAGCAGTTTTCCATTTCCATTTGACAATTCAGAATGTATATTAGCAGTCCAAGGAAACACAACAAGTTGGCCTCAAAATGTTTTCATCTGGCACCTGGCGAGGTGCTGGAAAACACAATTAGATGAGGCCAGTTTTCACAAAACATACCAGCAGTTTCCTGTGCTGCTCAAACCAGAGATTAGGGCTAAGCTAAGCAGGAAAAGCTTTTGTGGGTGGCAGGAAGTATTCATTAATTTATTTAAGTCACTTATACTCTGCCTTTAGCACCCCCTAGGCTCTCAGAACAGCTTACCAGAAGTATCACATGACCTGTTTTGTCCTGTTGCTGTCAAGAAGATCCCTTATTGCTCTGTTGGCCTTCTCCTAATAATTCTTCTTTCTTTTTTAAAATCCTAGCCTTGATTCCTTCATGTCCCATGTTCAGAACTTGCTCCAGGCTTGAGTCTCAGGAGCCTGTCACATATGGCCTGGCAGGAGACTGATAATTTTTTCAAATATGCACTGTGACAAGTGAACTGAAAACAGCAGAGAATTTCCTCTTTGAAAATGCTTTCTGGACTTTCCCAATGAGTCATGGCTGCTTCAGAAGTATTGCCTGCATGCATATCACTCCTGTTATGGAATTTGATTGGACACCATCCAATAAGACTTTACAGACAACACATATCTATGCTATGGAAAGCAAAAAGTTACCATGTCAGGTTCATGGAGTTCGTTGGCACTATTTCTTATTGAGAAGTGATACCCACCTAGGGAATTTAGGGTATAAATCAACCTTTTTCTTTATAGAATTTGCAACTGAGTGCATCTGCATGATTAATATACCCTTGGTGAGTACAAAGAGGAATTACTTTCTCTTTTAGCTCTCAAGTAGCTGGCTGCTTCTTTGAATGACATTTCTTACCAACTACTGAGTTAAAGTTTCAGCCTCTCCATCATTGTTGTTTTTGACCACACTTCTTTCCCCCTCAAACATTTCCTGGGAAGCAGGTTTGTCCTGATTATTCTTCCAAACAAAATATTGAGTCCCCATTATGTTATGCAACCCCAGTTGCCAGATCATTTTTCTTCCTTCAACCCATCATCACTATCGTACTTTGCTGTACACTTTTGCTGAATTTAAAATTAAATTGTGAGCTTGTTGAGACAGCTCTCACGGTTTTGATAAAATGCCTGTCTGTAGAATTTCTTGTTCGAGACCAAGAGAAGCAAACATAGGTATTACTCAAATGGTTTTAACTTACAGTTTCTTATGTGTATTTACAGCTGTTAAATTACAGTTATTTGCGAAAGCATATAGCAGCATGCTTGCTTTCAAACATTTTTTACCAAAATAATTACTTTTCTGCTTACCTTCCCTACACAGATGTTTAAACTATTTTCACACATTACATCACTGTCATTATCAAAATAAGTACTCTCTAAGTATCCTTTACAACCAACTAAAAGCCTGCAATCAAAATGTGTTTTGCAAAATGTGTTTTGGTTGTAATAACTAGGCAAGAAAACTTACGGTGGTTTTTTTTATGAAATAACCTATTTGCTCCTGAAATATTTGTTTGAATTTGACAGAGGCAGGCAATTGTCAACTCCATGTTGGTTGTAAAATCTAATTAACAGCTTCAAACCTCTCATAAACATGACATTGGAAGATGTTTCCACATTCAGAGTGGTCAAGATGTCATTCTAGAGCTGAAGTACTATTCAGCACAGAATTATATAGTACAGATTCCCCCCCCCATGTATTATTGAATTGACAAAAACAGCGGCATGTCAAGTCAGAAGACCATGGGCTAATTCACACTACTAAACTGGCATGCTGAGAATGTGAGCTGTCCTAAGATCTACAGATGAACGGCGGTATACAATTTTTAATAGTAGTAGTAATAATAATAATAATAATAATAATATAATGTGAGCTGATCAGATCTATACAGCCCTTGGCAAGTGGCAACATGGTTGCATAATTGCTCCATTATATGTTCAACTTGCCTACTCAATTCACATTTATTGCGTCAAAGTCTGACCTGTTTCTGGTACACCAATTGACAATGACCATCACCAGCCTCGTAGGAGTTGCCCTGTGATGTGTGCAGAGGTGGAAATGCACAAAAATCAACTACAGACAATGAAACTTTGGCAAGACAGTTGAAAAGCCCAATTCATAATAGACTATGACTAGTTCTTATGCATGCCATGTAGTCTAAAGTCAGCAGAAACAGCAGCATCAGTGTATGGCATGGTTAATTGTGGTTTATGCCGCAAGCTGGACATCATTATGCAGGAACTGTGTGACAATGCCAAGTTCAGCATTTACCCACTTGAACCACATTCTCAATTTGATTCCATAAACTAGGGAATGGGAACTTGTGAACCTTCAAGAGTTGCTGGACTCCAACTCCCATTATCCCTCATCATTAGCCATGCTGGTGAAAGCTGGTGGGAGTTGGAGTCCCACAACATTGGGTGTGTGTATCACAGGCTCCCCATATCTGCTGTGAACGTTGGTTGTTTCTCTGAATTTTCATTGTACAGTGGTGCCCCGCAAGACGAATGCCTCGCAAGACGGAAAACTCGCTAGACGAAAGAGTTTTCCGTTTTGGAGGTGCCTCGCAAAACGAATCTGCTATGGGCTTGCTTCGCAAGACGAAAATGTCTTGCGAGTTCCTGGGGTTTTTTTCCTTTCCCCCTCTTTTCTAAGTCGCTAAGCCGCTTATCTGCTTATCCGATAAGCTGATAAGCTGCTAAAAGCCGCTAATAGCGCTAATAGCGCTAATCCGCTAATCCCGTCAATGGGCTTGCTTCGCAAGACGAAAAAACCGCTAGACGAAGAGACTCCCAGAACGGATTCTTTTCGTCTTGCGAGGCACCACTGTATTTCTCTATTGGCCATTATATAGAAAGAAGCCAAGGAAATACCCAAACAGAATGAATAGCAACTTCTCTTCACATTTAATATAGTGCAATAAGTGAACAGGATGCTCAGCATCCTGTGGCCTGAAGGTTTCCACAGACCAGGCTTATATTGTCCAAGGGAAAACAATAATCTGCTCCATTTTATGAGAATAAAGCAAGACCCACAGCCTCTTGCAAATTAAGGATACAAGCTTGATTATCCCCAGTTAACATACAAGTCCCATTGGGAGACAGAATGGACTGAGCCCAGTCTGAAAGTTGCTGTAATGTAGTAAAGATGGGTGGTTTGGGAACCTATGGCCTCTTTCTGGAAAGAGTTTTATGCAGAGTGAAACAGCACCATAGGCTTGAACTAGATGCAATTGTTTGTCCAGCTCACAGAAGAAAAAGAAAACAGAAAACAGCTAGAACACATCTGTGTTCAGATGACAAATCCTAGGCCAAAAGGCTCAAGAAATTGGATACATGAAGAGTGTGTGTGTAGGGTGGGGTAAGATAAGGAGAATAATTGAAGGCCGAGGGCTTTCTGGCGGTTCCCTCGCTGCGAGAAGCCAAGTTACAGGGAACCAGGCAGAGGGCCTTCTCGGTAGTGGCACCCGCCCTGTGGAACGCCCTCCCACCAGATGTCAAAGAGAAAAATAACTACCAAACTTTTAGAAGACATCTAAAGGCAGCCCTGTTTAGGGAAGCTTTTAATGTTTAATAGGTTATTGTATTTTAGTGTTTTGTTGGAAGCCGCCCAGAGTGGCTGGGGAAACCCAGCCAGATGGGCGGGGTATAATATTATTATTATTATTATTATTATTATTTAAACTGAAGGGAGGTAGACCCAAACTGAACACAAGAAATCATTGTTTTAGACTGTTGTATTATTATATGTTGCTGGCCATTATATGCTCACTTTGCAGCAGAAGGACAGGATAGAAGATCAACAAACAAATCAACCAATGTAGAAACAGCATTTATATGTTTTTAGGAGGAGTTTGGTATGTCAGTGACTCTTTAGGAACAGACAACTGGACTGGATCCATTTAAATTCTCTACTTTTACAGAATCCTTTCTTCTTGCTGAGGAATCTGAGTGATACTGAGTGTGGGGCGTCCACTATCCCCGTTGCCCTGTGCTAATACAGAGAATGGACCTAGAACATCTCCAATACCCCACTATCACCACTGCATTGCAACGAGAGGCCAGTAATTGCGGAAAGCTTTTGTCCACAGTGGATCTTCTCATCAAAAAGCCCAATAAGCTTCCAAGGAACACAAGTGTTTTTAGGAACAGTCCAAAGACCACTGGACTAGGGGTTTACTGAGTCCCTGTCAATTATATTATTCTGTACTATGCATAGCAAAGAACCTTCATTTCTAAAGGTCGCCCTGAAACTACAGTAAGCCTGCAATTTATGTGGGAGTTACCTTCTGGGGGAAAACGCCTAAAGCCAAAAACATGTATAGTCAAAACACATTGGGTGCCAAAGCCCCTCCCCCTGACACCTGCCCCCTTTTAATTATTTCTTCTTCTTCTTCTTCTTCTTCTTCTTCTTCTTCTTATTATTATTATTATCATTTTGTCAAGCATGTAAAACTGAATGTGCACAAGTTAAATGTGTGTAAGTTGTAATCTTATTGTACTCTCTTTTGGGGTGTGGGGGTGACTGATGCCATTTGAGTGTCAAAGTGCTCCCGACTTAAGCAATAAAATAAAAACAAGTGCCTGCAAAAAAACACTTGCCTTTTCATTCAGAGTGCTATTTTCTTGCACACCCCACTTCAGTTCCCTGCAGTGAAACCATCACAAACCCAATCAGGGATCATGTAGTAAATGGGATGACATCACAACATGACATAGCCAGTCAGACTTGCCTGAGCCACCTATGTAAGCAATCCAGGAAACAGCAGCAAGGACTGGGGAGGGGAATGGCAGTAATACATGTGGGAAAGAATACCGCCAAAGGATTAAAGAAAACGCAAATAGACGCACAGTCAAAGCAATATTTGAAATATCTTCTACCCCAACCTTCAGTTTATACCCAAATATCAAGATCGGGTATATCTGGCACTGCTATAATTATGTATCATGCAATCTTATTTATAATGCAAGTGTTTGCTCCACAAAACCAAACTGTTTTCAGAATGTCTCCACCCCCAGTGCCCCAAACAGCTGTTGCAGCCTCTTCCATCATTTCAGCTTCTCAACTATGTACTAGCAACTTTGCTGGAAGAAGTCTGGCCCTGTTTCCATGTTGCCCAAGAGACAAAACAACTGCAGTTACTGGAATATGAGCAATCTGTTATGAGATGTTTCAGATTGCCTAATGGAGGGTTAGTAGCAGAAATAAAGCCTAGGCAGAAGGATGAAGAGTTAAATACTGTATATGAACGTGCAAGTGCTGGGATAGCTCAGTTGGTAGCGCATGAGACTCTTAATCTCAGGGGTGGTGGATTTGATCCCCACATTAGGTGAAAGATTCCTGCATCGCAGGGGGTTGGACTAGATGACCCTAATGGTCCCTTTCAGGTCTACAATTCTGCGATTCTAAGAAAAGGGCAATCAGAATTAGCAGGAACTGAAACAACTCAGTGAGGAAAGGTTACAACATCTGGGGCTATTTAGTTCCAAATAAAAATAAGATATGGGGCAATGTAACAGAGGCGTATAAAATTATGAAGAACATGAAACTAGAACCCAGGGTCATCCAGGGAAGCTGGCAAATTAATGCAGGATAAATCTACGTATCAATGGCCACAAGCTACGGTGGTTAAATAGTACCTCCATTATCAGGCAGGGGCTAATGCCACCATGCCCTTCTTATGGGCTTCCCATAGGCATCTGGGTTGCCCCTGTGGGGGGGAAATGATGCTGAACTAGAAGACTTTTGGTCTGATCCAGAAGCACTCTTACATTAATGGGAGGAAAAATACCTGGGCAGGTAGATGGTAAGGAATAAAGCATGACAAATAATGTGATAGAAGATCAAGCTGGGAGGACCAGGTCAAATATATTGGTTAGGTGGATCAGAACTGCATAAAAGCAGCAGCATGTTAGCAGAAAATAATCACATATCCAACTGAATCTGAGTTACTATTGTTCCTCCCCAAATTCAAGTTTTGGAAAGCACGTTCTTTCTCACTCTCACACTTCTTCTTCACTGTTAGCACTCAAGGTGAATTTTGTGATGCTTTATAGCATCATACGCACAAAGTACCACGTGAAACAAATATTGAGATTGTTTTGACTCAGTAATAAAGCTGATCTAGAAAAAGTCTAAAAGCAAAGATCAATCTTGAATTCCCTTTTAAGACCCATTTCACACACATACTGCATAAAAACAAAGAATTTCCCTGTTTTTAAATACTAAGCATCTTTACTGGGAGGCAAGTCTCATTTAACTCTTTGGTAAAAAAAAATTAGTATTGGGGTGCATGGAAACATCTCCTCAAACTATAGCCTAAATATAGGCAGAATACAAGGCAGCAGGACATCTCCAAATATAGGCCAATAGGCAACAGCTTGCCCCCGCTGGGTTTGGCACAGCTGTTGATTATGCCAGATGCATTAACTGATCGGAAAATGCAGAATTTGTCAGGTTTTAAAAATCATGAAAATAAATCCATACACCAAATTCATTCCTTAGCAACCATCCCAATGAAACAGGTATGCTGATCATTGCATTGCCAGTTCTACAATTTCTGCTGGAGCTTGTGCATTTGCCTCCCTCCCCAGCCCCTCAGTAACCTCTACTCTAATACAGATGTTTTCAGAGTGAGGCTCTTTGGTTTCGCACATGGCCCCAGAAAAGCAAAAGGTAGCTTTGCGAATCTCAATGGAAGCTGGGTTGGCCAACATTTCCCAATATTACACTACATATTACATCAACTGAAAGTTCACTTCACCATTTCATTTAACAGTTCATTGTGTGCATACAAACAGATGTTAAGATTAGTATTTCTAAACTTCTTATTTACACTGTAACCCTACTATAGTGGATTTCCCCCCCACCTCCCATTTGGTGAGTCTAATTCTAAAGTATGACAACAGACCGAAACCTCAAGTCACTGCTAATGATGACAGCTGAAGTTCTTTCAAGCAGTCCAATTTTACGTAGCTGAGCTATTGGGGGGTGAGTATACCTTTTGTGCAAATGTCTAACTTTTCATCAGAAATACCTTCCCCACTGAATACTCCAAGCAGTGAACATTGCAACCAGAAATGACTGCAATCAGAATCTATACTATCCAACCTTGTAAAGAAACACATTCTTTCCGAATAGACTCTCTATATACCCCCCCTTTTTTTTTGTTAACAAGAATGTATTTTAATAATGCTGACAGAAATCTTAAGTGTTACCTGGAAGCACCTTCACAGAAATAAACGATCATAACTGTTTCTTAGACCCAAGTTGCATGACTTTGGCTGTTACACACCAAATGCATCAACCCATAGCTGGCATTTCAGCAGAGCAGGAAAAGCTAGCCATTCTCATGTTAACACTTCGTCGTTTTTCCAGTATGCGTTCCAAAGATCTCAGAACCCACAGGTAAAACCTTCCTTTTACAGAGTCTTAAGTTTAACCCCTTTTTAAAAAAGCACAGCTTCGCTACAAATAAATGACTGCTCAGAAAGTTTATACACAACCAGCCCTGATAAGTTTTCCATCCTAAGAAGTCTCTACAGTGCCTAGCAGTTGTGAATATGGGATCATGCTCCTTATGGGGCAGTGATGTCCAAAATTAAGAGAGTCCCTGAAAATGAGGCGGTAGCCTGACAACCAAGCACTTTAAATTGTTTCATGTTATTTATAAAAACTTGGGGAGGGATCCGCACCATAGCCAAAGTGATGCACAAACTGACATTTCAGAAGTCTGACAAATGATGCTTTTGCAAAGGCAAAGAAGTCTGCAGTCGTTCACTTGGGAGTGTTGCTCCCTTTACCTCTCTAGCCTTAAGGCTCACTGCCTTTTAAAAAGTACTCCGGCGGGGCTAAGAAGGCATATCCCGGTTTTTTCGCAGTGACTTGCCCGTGGCTTCCGAGGAACGCCGCGCATGTCTGAATGAGCCATCCGGGCGAGTCACCGGCGGCAAGCAGAACTCTTCGTCTGCTCCGAAGCCGACTCAGGCGCACTGCACTTCAGCGGAGAAAGTTAGCACAGCCGGAGCCAGGCGTCTCCAAGCGACAAGTCCACAAGTGATAAGCAGGCGCGCGGCGAGCAGCCCCAAAGCGCCGCCAGAAGCAGGCAAATCCGGAAGGGAACGAAACAAGAACAAGCAATGCCTCCGCTCCCGCCGCTCCTTGGGCAGATGCTTCCCCTCGCCACCCCCTCTGCTAACGCGAAGCGCCGAAACATCAGCGGTTGTTTTGCAAGCGGCTCTCTGCCGCCTTGAGCGCGCAAGTCCCCCTCCCTCCGCAGCGCTCCGAAAATAAGTTGGGAGATCCCTCCCGAATCTCTCCGGCTTCCCTCCCCGGCGCCTCCCGCCGCCCACCCCAGCTCAGCTGCGTCTGGGACTCAGGCCCGCTGTACCGGGCAGAGATCGGGGAACCCCCCCTTCCTTCGCAACCTGCACCGCCTCCAAGGAAAGAGGGGCAGCCGGACGCACAACGCCAGGCAGTCCCGAGGTGGGTGGGCAGCTGGGGAGTGCTTCCTCCGGCGCGGCGGGGCTCTCCATGGGCGGCGCCCCGCTGTCCTCCTGCAGGGGCTGCGCTCGGCTCTCCCGTTGGGTGGCTCCGTGGCCCCGCGCTGCGCGCCCGCCTGCTCCCCCAACCAACCCCGCTTGGCCGCCCAACCTGCCCGCCAGCTCACCTGGCCGGGGCCGGAGGTGCATCGGCAGCATGTCCCTGGTTCTCCCCGCGTCAGGAGCAGCTCGCCTTTCCAGAAGCAGCAGCAAGTGCGGCTGCAGGCGCCGCGGAGCTCGGCCGGACGCCCCAGCATCGCCTCGTCTCCCGCCCAGGCGGAGGCTCCCCGCGCGCCGCGTCCCTGCCGGAGACGGAGTGAACGCCTTCCGTGGCCCTTCTGGGGTCGCTCGGCTCTCCTGCCCTCGCCGGGAGGCGGAGCACGAAGCGGCGGCGGCGGCTCGTAGGCTCGCTCTGCTTTGCCGGAGCAGAGGAGCTCTCTGGCTGCCCTCGACTATTGCGCCGGCTGCGCCAGGCGGCAGCAGCAGAGGCAGCAGCAGCAACAGCAGCTGGGCTTAGCTGTGCAACGCGAGGCCAAGTCCTTGGCGCGCGCAAGAGCTGGGCGCTCTTCTTCCTTCTGGCTTCTCCTCTCGCTCCTGCTGCCGGTGCGAATCCGAGCCGGGCAGGAGGCGACTAAGCCCCGGCGAAAGGCTGCGGCTGGATCCCATTTCAAATCAGAGCGCGGAGGGAGGGGCGAGCGGGGAGGGAAGGGAGAGACGTGTGGGGCGGCCTTTATGGTTTTGTATGTGTGTGTGTGTTTTTTGCAAGTTAATTTCTTTCCTGGAGGATCCTCCTCCCCAGCCTTGACGCAATCCCCGAGCGGTTTGGAGAGGGGGGGGCGGTTTGGAAACCTGTTCCACCGGCCCCCACCATTTGTTCAAAGTCCAAGTAAAGCCGCGGCGGCGGCGGCAAGTCTTCGCCACGCAGCGCTTCACCATACCCCAAATAAATGCTTGGGTATATACATCCCATCGCAACCCATTCATATGCACATTGACACACTGACCCGCAGACTGCTTTGCAAAGCTGTGTGTGTTTGTGAGCGCGCGCACACACGCACACACACACACACACCAAAGAACGATATCAGAGACACAGAGATTCAACAAAAGAAGCTTCTTTCTGCCACCGGAAGCGAAGTTGGGTCTTTCTGGCTAACTAGGCAACCCGCTATACACCTGCGCACCTACCTAACTCTCTCACTTCAAGGGTGGGGAAGATAGCTGGAAGAGAGAAAGCACCCTGAACAGAGCTTGGCTGTCGGCAGCCCATAATCTTACCTTGACGACAGAAAGGGAGGGAGTTTCCCTCCTGTTGTTGGACGAAAATAGCTATTAAGATATGCAAAGCACTAGTGCGGCTTGCTTCTTGCCAGTTTCCGCGGATTCGCTTTGGAACTGCACCCGAAGTAGCAAATGAAGGCGAAGCTCAAGGAGGCAAGCTGCAAATTGTTTAATCGACAGCAAGCTGGCTCCTCTCTTGTTAAAGGGCCAGGGTGGTGGCAGCAGGTTGTTAAAGAAGGGAATCTGAACTTTCTCCAAGAATGGGATGGATTGGAAAAATAAGGCTGTCTTTACGGTGTTGCCAGATGTGGTACCTAATTATACCGCATGAGCATAAGGCTCCTCTGGGTAGAGAGATGCAATAATACAAGACTGGGCCTGATCCTGACTGAAGCCTCTGGGCTCTGGCAACAGGAATAAACATAAAACAGTAGAGCAGGTTTGGTCCTGAAGATAAAAAAATAATAATGGGCCATGGCACTGGAAGATCCAAAATGGTTCATGGCATTGTTTCTCGGATCCAGTTTTAACTACTACTGCTGAACTCCTACCTGGCAAACTTTTTGGAGTAAAGAAAGCTTTGTAGTTTCTACTCCCCAAAATAAGCTTCTTCCATTTTAATATAGTGCATGGCACTTTGCTTCCCCCATCTCCCAGTTCACACTGAATAGTTTGTGGATAAACTGGGTGATTCAAAGATCAAGCTCATAAACAACACAAAGGGCATTTTTCACTTATGAGTGGCTGAAGTAGTGGAAATGCTTGCAGAGGAATGGGCGTGCTTGTACAATAAGGATGCTCCTGAAGTAGGGCAAAATGGAAGTGAGCCATTTGAAAATTGGATCTACATTCTAGCCAATATGGGGTTTTACAATCCAATTACAGGCACAGGAAATGCAAAAATGGAGTCAGTGTCATGTGAAAATAGCCCACAAGGGGCTAGTGAAATATTATTTTTCCATTTTTAGAGCCAAGCACCATGTCACCCCAAAACTCAACTAAATCCGCAGGAAAATCTTCCCCAAAGGAAACAGAATTAATGTGCCTGCCTAACTCGGTCTTAACCACTGTGTGTACTTTCCTCAAAACCAAATGACTGAATTGTGAGATGGATAAAGGATAGTTGAGATGGATGTCAAATGGTCCTGCCTTTGGACAGAGAGGCTTAGCTAAACTATTTCTTTCTCTCTTCCAATCATACTATGAAAAGTGTGCTTCTTATCGGAAGAAAGGGAAGGTGTATTTAAATGCTGGATTTCTGCTTGATTAAAATAAATAAATAAATAAGCATCAAACAGTAAACAAAACAGTCTAAAATCTAATATAGCAATGGCATAATCACCAATGCCATCAAAAAATAAGTCACAACAGAGCTTCCATTTTAACAAAAGGTACAGATTTTCTCAGCAAGTACACGTAATTCCAATCAATGTTAATGGAAGTTGCACAGATGCATTAAAGAATAATGTACCCCCTGGTTGGTAACAAGCTTGCAAAATAAATAGGGCTTCCCATTGAAGGGAAAGGATCTTCTAATTCATATGTCAAAAGGAGCTGGCTTGCTGGCAAGAAAACAAAAAGCCATGGAAAGCTGTGCATTTGGCAGGTTTTCAGAATTACTTCACTCGGGCAGTATTTTGTCAGGCTGCTTCAGCAGTTTATACATCTCTCTCTCTCTCTACACACACTCTTAAATAAATACTTAGAAGTCAGCACCATTGAGTTCATTGAGATTTACTCCCAGGTAAGTCTGAAAAGGACTGCAGCCTTGCGGATCTAAACTGCATCGGAAACAAACTTTGAGAAAATAAAGTTCTATGAAATTTACAGGCAGACACAATCACTCTATATATGCAAGTTTATGCCGAACACATACTAATTCATATGCAAAATGTGTACCTCCAGTGACTTTGGAAACATGCTAACACCCTGTTGAATAACCAACAGACTTTAGGAAAGTTGCTTTCCATCTCTCTTTCCTTGCCTTTTCTGTTCCCTAACTGTAAAACTGAAGTGATGGCAGTTGCTTTCCTTATTATGCACTCAAAAAGGATATATACTTGGTAAGTGAAATAGCTTCTTTAAACCTACTAGTTAGTGCGATTACATTTTCAGATTGCACCTGACAATTTCTCTCGACTTGCTTTGTATATTGCTTACTAAACTGGATCTGACCTGTTACCTCCTCCCACCCCCAAGTCCGACAGCACACCCCTCATTTCATTCCAGTGCAAGACAACTGGTATTCCAAATTCAAATTTTAATGATAGGATAGAATAAGCTATTATCTAACAGCTTTTGCTCCCAAACTGTAAAACCGGGGGGTGGGGGGAGAGATACCCACAATTCCATAATGTAAATAGTTCTGTAATACTTCTGACATCAATGGGGAGTTACTGCTTTTCTAGACAGCCAAAATCTGCACATACCAGTAACTGTGTTATACTAAGAACTGTAACTTGAAAAACTTGTGTTTGAGCTCGCTTTTCTCTCCTTCCTCTTAGTCCCTTTCCCTCACCCGCTGTGTCTTTTCGATTGCGAACCTGAGTCTTAGTGTGGATTTTTAGTATGGAAGCCACTTTTTGGGTAAAGAACAAAGTATAAACGCCATAAATATTCAGCTGAGAGGAAAATAGAAGGAAAACAATTAAACCAGATTGGTATAATGGACATGCAAGTTGACCAGATTTGGATGAGTTTTGTTTACAGTGAAGTAGTACAATGCTTTACTACCATGTTCATATAGGCAGACAGGTTGTGCACAAATTAGTGGCTTGAAACCCACCAAGGTTGTTTCTCCCCGCCTTCCACCGGCTGCGTTTCAAGCCACATTCTTACATTGCTGTACAGACCAGAGAGGGGGCAGGGATGTCTCCACCCAACGCCTATTACCTTATTTGTTTCCCTGCACTGAGCTCCAATTCATGTTTGGTCATCTGTGCATGTACAAATGGCTGCCTGAAATGTACACACCCCAGCTTAACCTCTGCTTCTCTTTTCAAATCAGTTTTTAGGGAAACAGCATCAAAACAGGAGTACTTCTCAAGAAGCTGCAGGGTATCTGTGGATTGTGGCTCTTGTCGTGTGTATTCAGCTTCAAGCATCAGCAGGGGGAGCATACTGGAGCCAGAGGTAATGTGTATATAGCCTGAGCTGTAAAGCAAATGACACACTGGTGTGTCAACTTGCCAAATCCCAGTGTTCTAAGGTCAGCCTCTATCCTAGTAAACAATAAACTTTGTGAAGCAGCCCTGAGAAAAAGCAGAATATTTTTTCCTACCATGCCATCTTCTCACAAACACTGTATACAGTGGTAAAGGTAAAGGTACCCCTGCCCGTATGGGCCAGTCGTGTCCGACTATAGGGTTGCGTGCTCATCTCGCTCTAGAGGCCGTGAGCCGGCGCCGTCCGAAGACACTTCCGGGTCACGTGGCCAGCATGACGAAGCTGCAGCTGGTGAGCCTGCACCAGCGCAGCACACGGAAACGCCATTTACCTTCCCGCTATAAAACGGTACCTATTTATCTACTTCCACTTAAGAGTGCTTTCGAACTGCTAGGTGGGCAGGAGCTAGGACCGAACGACGGGAGCTCACCCTGCCGCAGGGATTCGAACTGCCGACCATACGATCAGCAAGTCCTAGGCACTGAGGTTTTACCCACAGCGCCACCTGCGTCCCTGTATACAGTGGTACCTCGGGTTAAGTACTTAATTCGTTCCGGAGGTCCGTTCTTAACTTGAAACTGTTCTTAAGCTAAAGCACCACTTTAGCTAATGGGGCCTCCTGCTGCTGCCGTGCTGCCAGAGCACGATTTCTGTTCTCATCCTGAAGCAAAGTTCTTAACCCGAGGTACTATTTCTGGGTTAGCAGAGTCTGTAACCTGAAGCGTATGTAACCTGAAGCGTATGTAACCCGAGGTACCACTGTATATACATTGTATATACTTGTTCCAGAGGCACTTAGGGCAGCTTCCCAGCTATGGGAAGGAGGCATGAGGACTCTTACAGAGTCCTAAAGTTCTCTTTTCCAATGCCTAGTTAGCACTTGCCCAGCTTTGGGCAGTAGCTGGGAGGACTCTAGGACCCTGCCAGAGCCCTCACGTCTCCTTCCCCGAAGTCCACCCCCCCACAACATGGGGGCATGTATGCCTAATTTGGGTCTAGTCTGAGTGCCACAGTACCAAAGTCCACCCCTGCTTGCTATATATTCAGTGCAAACATTGTTCTGGTGTCTAAATGCCCCATATACGGTGCAGATGGTAAGGTACTAGCACAGATTGAAGTCTCATTTATGGGCAATGGAGTTCAGATATTTGAGCTTGGGTTATCTTCCTAGACATCTCTCCAGGCATACACCACTTGCAGGGAGAAAAACAAATATGTTAAGTAATGATCGTTTTGTGCGTCTGATTAATAAACTAGGAGTTGGGGGGGGGAGGTGTTAAAGTATATATGGTAGTGGTACATGGTACCAAAGGAGCAAAGGCAGAGCAACCAGT